ATTATTAATACATTAAGTAAATAAATTTAATTATCAGAATATCTGTATTTTTACTATAAACATAATATTTATAAACATAATATTTAAAATAATTAAAATATTGCATGTAGAAGTGGCAATTTTTTAAAGAAAAATTTTTTACTATTTAATATTTTATGCAAAATTTGTACATATGTGAAATTGGGCGAATTATAAAGACCTACTGAAAATAATTATTAAAAAATTTTCTTAAACAATTGCCCATACATTTAGTCTTAAATTTAAGTCTTAAATTTAAACCACCGTGTTACGAATCATAAACTTTTTAGCCTAAAAAAAAGTATTATTTTGGAATTTTTATATATATATAATCTGTTTTATTTTTGCAATTCTGTTGATACTAAACATTTTTTTTGCTGAAATTTATCAATTTCTATATCCCCTTGTTTTTGTTTAAATAAAAATCCGTAATAATAACTTAAGTATTCGAAAATCAGCTGCCAAATAAGAATTACGATCAAAAACACTACTCTGAGGTTAATTAGAGAACAATCAAACAAAATTGGTCCAAATCCATATTTAACACCTGACGAGGAAGCACAATGATGTATTAACTTATGCAAATGTGGCTTCCTTTTGAAAACATCAATCTCCTAAATACTTTGTACAGTATTCAAGACAGTAAAAGAAAAACACCTTTTAAAAATGATCTACATAATGATGATGAAAGGAAAGTTATGGATGCGTTTCTTTATGAAACGAAATCCTATATTGAAATTCAGAGAAGCTGAAAATATTACCAAAGGCGGCAGACACTGAGGAGAGCATACTGAAATGGTTTAACAGTCGAACCATTTGAAAAGTATAAACCAAGAATATAAATATTATAAACAACCCTTCAAAACTAAATGGCGATGAAACTAGCAAATTTATGACATAAAAGAAAAATAAAAGCAGAAAAAGGCTAAAGCAATTAAAAAATGAAGAGATTAAAGAATAAAAAAAACCAAAAAGTTTCTTAAAATTCGTTATTCGTTATTTTACTTTTCATGCTTGAAGTTCAATTTAAGTTCTATTCCTTTTTTGGATTTAACGGTGAAGTATTATGTGAAAAAACTGTACCTACTTGCATATTTAAAGTTTTTTCATTATAAACTTGGTTAACATATTTAAAAATAAAACCTTAATTTATTTAATTAGTCAATTTTTTAATAGAAAAGCACCTATATATCAAGAAAATTTGTATGTTCGGATACTAGAATAAAAGTGTTCGGCAACTAAATTTTGGTGTTCGGATACTAGAAAAAGTGGTACTTTTTACAAAAATTTAATTATTTATTATAAATATAATTTCAACAATTTTTTGACATATTTAATGCTATTAAGAATTCTTTCAGCTTTTAGAAACAATTTAAATATTTGCCTTATGTCTCGTAGTTAAAAAATAATATAAAGTTAAAGTTAGAAAATGTGTTAACTGTTCGGCCACTAGTGCTTTTACCCTATATACATATGTATGCAAACATAATATTAAATATATATTCAAAAATAAATAATTATAAACATTTTCATCAAATGAGAATTATTGTTAATTTAACAAAGAATATTATTAAAGTAAATTACGATCAAAATTAATCAGGTAGGAGTTTTGTTTTTTTTTGTATTATTTGATGACCTTTAACTAAACACAATACATTTATAATGTTTAGATTTCAAAGTTTTTTTTTTGTTTTCTTTCAAAGTTTTTTTTTTTAATTCAACTATGAATTTTTTATAATTTGCGTATAATTTTTATTTTTTAAGTACTTTACTTATTAAAGGCAATTATTTTCATTATTTTTTGTTATTTTTCTTCTTTTGGGTTTTAAGTAGTTTTAACACTTATTACAATATTAATAACGGAATTAAATAAGTTTTTGTTTTTTTTGAAATATATACACATACATAAGTATATGCGAAAGTAGAATAAAATGCAAAGTAGGTATAAATCTTTTATAAATATAGGGTGTACTGATTAAAATTAAATTTTATTATTCAAATATAATTTTTTCGCGTTTCGTGACTAACTACAAAACTTTAACAATATCGTACTGTTACACAATTCATTAATTATAACTTGTAAAGTAAATTGTGCATTACAATACCAGAATTACTGTGCAATTTGAAGTTGAAAGTTATAATAATATAATAGACAATTTTTAAAAGTTTGGGATGCAAAAATTTTAAGTAATTTTATTTAAGATAAATTGCGTTTAACATACAAAATTTTCGTAACAACACAAAATATGTATACGAATATGTATAAGTTTATGATTTTAAATACATATAACCAATTAACGGTGCATTTTATTTAACAAATTAACGGTGCGATAAAAGTAACTCCACTCTCAACTATCTATGGTACATGATATTTTTTTTTTTTTGAAAACCAATGCAATTAACTGTTAATAAAATTTTGTGTGTGCTGCTTTGTTATTTTGTAATTTTTTTTTTTTAATAGCGCATTTTTATTAAACAAAAAATTTAAGTGAATTGCCATTTTCAATTTGCTCTAAAAAAAATAAAATAAAAACCATATTAAAAATTTTATGTATTTTGTATTGAATATTAAAGCAGTGATTAAAAGTAAGTGACCTCAAAATATTATTGGTAAATAAAAAAACAAAATTATTATATAGATTCAAATTACTTTAAATTACGTAAAAAAAAACCAGAAACTAAATTTTATAAAAAAAATTACTAAATAAAAAACTTTAAAAATTCCAATATACACATATAACTTTACATTGTATGTGTGTATGTATAATTGAACGGATTTGACCATAATAAATAAATATTTATTTTGAGGCAGTTTATGATAACAAATTATTAAAAATAAAAACCATAAACAATTTATTATTAAAATTATTTACACGGTTATATTAAATATCCTATATATGTAAATTGAAATTCTCATACTTCAAATACTTGTGTTTATTAAAAAAATATAGAATTTATAAATAATTATAGTTATTTTTTTTAGACATGTATAAAATAACCGCAATTATTCAAAATTATATTAATATTAGTATACAATTTATTTATTTTTTTTTATATAGGTACAATATATAATATTGCAATATAAATATTTATAAAAAAATTATTTACATAACAAAAAATACACTTAGTATTTAAGTAGAATTAATTTATTTATAATAAAAATCCTTTGATTTTATAATACTTAAAAATTCTCTGAATTCGAATTTGCGGTAGTGCTGTATTGCGCGGTCTGTATTAATGGCAGAATTGAGTTCATGAATATTGTAATTTCTGAATTGTACATAGTGATACTATAGGGTACATCACTTATTGCAAATAAAATTTAAACTTAATTTTCTTACTTTTAAAAATTTTAAGAATTTATTTCCCAAAAAAACAAATATACAATTTTATAAAAATCCAACTTTTTTCTTAAATTTTATTTTTATTTTATATGTAAATGCAATATGAAAACCCTCTGAAGGTAAGAAAACAATAAACTATTCCAAAAAAAAAAAAAAATAAAGTGTAAATGTGCGAGTATCTCAATTTATTCTAAATCTAATTAAATATTTTTTTTGGGGGATTTTTTCTCGTTCATTTTATAAACATGTTTATATGTATGATATATGTATATATAAATTATTATAATAATATACCTACATTATTAATATCACTATTACAGTATGTTATTCATATCACTTGGTTTTATTTTTTTTATATACCAGTGGTACCGAAACTAAAGATTTAACTTCAAAATAAAGATTTTTTAAAATATAAAAAAAATGTTGATACAAAAATATTTAGAAACAGAGATAAGAATCTGTTGATTTTATTATATATACATATATACATATTATCAAGAGCTCGACCACAAAGGGCACCAAAAAATGTAGTATTAATTTAGGTATAATCTTGCAAAAAAGAAATGCATTTTTATAAAAATTCATTCAGTAAATGTAAGATTTTGAATTAAATTTAACATAATTAAAACTAGACAAGCAGTTCCCACAAAATACACACCAAAATCCATATAAATACGAGTAATAGATTTCTTTAGGTTTAAGTATTTTTTTTAAACATGCTACATTAAAATATGTATTTTGCAATTTTGATTAATTGAACATGCAATATATTAATATATAAGTTAAAACGAAAGCCCTATGGAGGGAGTGAAGGCTTTATCTTAAAAAAAAAATAAGATATTAGAGTTATAATCAATTTGGCAATTCTGTTATATACGTACATGTATTTATGTATATGACATGTGGTAAAAGTAGGATATCAGATTGTGTTTTATATACGGTACATATAAATTATAGTTATATAAAATAGTTTTGTATAAATATATATTTGAATAACATATATACATATATTATATGTATATATGCAAATAAATATATATACATATGTATTTATTCGTAATTATTATACCAGCATCTAGCTATCATAAGTATCTGTACTTATTAACTATATTAAATTTTATAATATTAAAAAATCTACTACATTTATGTATATTTAATGTATGTATATCCTACTATGCATGTACATATATCTGAATGGAATTAACAAAAATAAATAAGTAAAATGAATTTTTTAATTTTTTTTTTTGTTTTTTAATTTTAATCTCTTTAATTACCTAAACTATAACACATTAGGTATACTAGATTTTCTTTTTTTGTTTTCTGTTTTATTTGTTTATTTTACACATTCACACTAGATTTTATTCTCATACATACTTACATAAATATATAAATATATACATTTATTATAATTTATATAAAAGTAGTGCGAAATTTTTTCATTTGATATTTTTTTTATTTATTATAATTTGTAAAATTTTGTGTAAAATTTTTACGCATGAAAAAAATATTTATTTATAATAAACATTCAAATTACAATATCAAATTTTATTTCACATTTTTTTAAATACATATATACTTGCATACATATACATATACATATATAATTTATTTGTTATAATAAATTAATAATTAACTTACTTTATTATCGTATGCATTCCATTATTGGTCATTATTTTTACTTTATTATATTTGTTATATTAAAAAACTTGAAGATGAAAATTTATTATTGAAATTGAAAAAAAAAAAACAAAACAAAAATATAATTAATTAATATTATGATAAAGAAAAACGAAAATAAATAAATATTAATTTTTAATAAAATTTTAATTCTGTACATATATGTTATAAAAGTGTTATATTTTTTATTAAATAATTGAATTTCATATAGAAATTATGATTAAATTTATGAAATTAATATTAATTTTTACTTCTAATTGTACTTGTTTTTTTACTTTTTTTTTGTATTTGTTTTCAGGAAGTAAAATAGGAAAATATGTTGGTACATACAATTTTTTTTTTTGTTTTATTTACAATTTAATTTTATTATTTATGTAAAAATTCATACAGTATAACATTATTATTTCATAGTTTTTGTTTTTTTTTTTTTGTGTTTTCTTCTTTAATATTAAATAAATATATTTTAATACTTTAGGTATTTTGTATGATTGTTTTTATATTATTTTTAATTAACTGTTATATTTTTAATATTAATTTTTTATTAATCTCTTGTAATAAATAATATGTAGGTATATACGAATGAAACAAAACTGTAAAAAGCGGTCGTCTATCACACATTCAAATAAAAAAAAAATTATTTTAAATTTTTCTAAACAAAAATTAGAGAGAGAAAAAAAAGTATAACAGAAAACTTTTTATAATGTGAAAGGATTGATTTTAATTCTTTTATATTTTTTATTATTTTATTTATTATTTTTGCTGAATACAAAAAAAAAAATGTTTTTTTTTTCTAACCTTTCGTGATCGCCGGCACAGGTGAACTAAATTTCATTAAAATTTTTTAAACAATTTTATACAAGCGGAATTGTGTAGTTTTTTTTTCTTTTTTGTTGTTTTTTTTTTATTTTTTTTTTTTTCTTTTGTACACACATATATACATACATATATTAATATATCGTTTTCTGTTGCTTTGCTTGTATTTTTTTTCTTCTTTTTCTGTCTTTTTTTTTCAGTTTAATATTATGTAGTTTGTCTTTCTGTTTCGTGTGTTTTTATTAATAACAGGTAAACGTTTTACAATTAAAATGTTTTCCAAAAGATTGTTATGTTATAACGTGTGTGCGTTAAAAGTTACTTGTTGGTTTTTTTCATACAAAAGTTACTTTTTGAAACAAGCAATTTTTTTTCTTTTTTGCATTTAATTTTTGTAAAAAAAAAAAAAACTGAGAAAAAAATATAAAAGTTACGTTAAAATATTTATTTTTTTTTACTTTTATAGTGTATTAAGTGACAAAGAATATATGTAAGTAAGTATAGAAAATGTAGTACACCTCTGGGAGAAATTAAATGTTTAAATATGTATGGATATGTACATGCATACAGAATATATATGTATGTATGTATGGTAGTATGCATGTGAACTTTGAAAAATGAAGGAAAAAAACGCTAATATTGTATTAAAAATATTCAATTATAAATTGGAAAATGCAAAAAAAAAAAAAAAAATTCAAAAAAAAAATACAAAACTGACATATTAACCTGCTTAATTCGTATCGAGTATGTGTGTAAATAATTAAAGCTCTGTTTCTACATATAAGGTACGAGTACATAAGTACAAACATAAATAAATAGTAAATTTTTTTTTTATTGAAGTTGTTTTCATTTTTTTTTTCTTTTTTTTGTAAATTACTGATTTTCCTTTTAAAAATTTGAAAAAAGAAACCAAACGCATAAAATACATATTTTTTGTTTTTTTTTTTTTTTGTAAATATATTCAAACATACGTATTAATATTTTACAGAAGATAATCTTAATGAAGTTGTGATAATTTTTAATGCGCTTTTAATTTTAATTTACTTATTTTATATCCATACATACATATATGAATATCATAATTATGTATGTGAGATATTATATGTGCATAATTATAAAAACTGTAAATTTTAGGTACACACAAACATACAAATGTATATATAAGTAACAATTTAATTTTTAAATATAATTTCGTCTTTTTATTATTATTAATTAATAAATATAAATTTAATGTACAATTATGTATATCATGTATATATATATATATATAAAGTATATATTGAAATAAGAAATCTGAATTTTGTAAAACAAGAACTATATTTTTTAATAACGGTAAAAATTGGAATATTCATGATTCCTAATTAAGATTCTGTTATAATAACATATTATGTATATCTATATGTATACAATTTAATTTGTTCTTTCTCAAAAGCTAAAATTACATAATTGATAACGAATATGATAATTTACCGTCAGATTCTCTTATTTTGAATTTATTATAACAATTTTCAAATTATATGTTTGCATAATTACTTACACAATATGTATGTACATATTATATTAATTCTAATTATCAATATTAGAAGTAACTATACGAACAGTAAAAACAAAAAATGTACTACCAAATTTTGTTCATATAATTCAGAGTTATACTAGCTATTATAGTAATATTAATATCAAAAATTCACTAAAATCAAATTAATCAAAATAAAATAAAAAAATAAATGCATTCATTTAAATCTAAAAACAAAAATTAATTAATTAAAAATTTTCGTAGTATGAAAAGTTTATTATTTAGAGATATTACTGTGCATATACAATGCTAATAACACGCAATAATAATATAATGTTAAACTAACTAACCTTGTATTACATTGTAATATATATTAAACTGATACAAATTACGATACGCTGCGTTCATGCCCAAACTATACTTATTATGAGTAGTAAAGACTGAGCACAATTTCAAGATAGTTATACTTTATCTGCGCAGCTATACGTTATTTTGATTTGTTTTTGAACGCATTATTTTTGATTTATACAACAAATATAAATTTGGGTATTTAATTAAATTGACATTTGAACAAGAAAACAAAATTCCCAAAAAAATTAAGGTTATATTTTATTAATAACCGAATACTACGCATACCACGCATACATGACGGATCTATAACTGATTTTAAACGATAATAATTAGTATTACAAAAATTGTTTATAATAGTCATCGGCAGCTTAGGGTTAAAATTTTTAAATCTGTTCAAAATATTTTATTCTATTTTGTAACAATCATTGTCGTATACATGTATGTACTCGTATTTATATTATTATCCGAACGTGTAAAAAAATGCAATTTTATTTATTAAAAAAACTTTTGACAAAATTCAATTTAAAAAAAAAAGAAACAAAAACAAATTTTTCAATACCATACAATTTATGTGTGATTTATTAATGCGGTTTTAAATTTTTTTTTTTTATAATTTTTTCATTTAATCTCAATGCACACATAAGAATTGTTTATAAGTAAATACAGTAAGTTGCTAATCATTTGCAATCATAAATGTATGTAACTAAGTAACTAAGTAAGAAAGCAAGTAAGTGACATGCATGCTTGGAATGCAAATATTCTATATAAAAGTTGTAAGATAAAAAATTTTTTTGTTTCCTTAAGATTTTTTTGATATTTCCTTTTGTTTTTTGTTTTAAAATGTAATTTAAAATTCACAAAGAAATAGGAAGACATAATTGATTTTCATAAGTTTTTCTACTCTTTTGTTCCTTTTTCTTTTAATATACAGTATTATTTAAAACGTGCAATTAATTAATAAAATTTTTATTGAAAAAATTTATTTAATTTTCTTTTCAATTTTATACCAATAAAATATTGCGGTATTGTTCGAATTATACTAATTTTGAGTTAGAACAAAAGAAATACATATTTGCTAGTGTAAAATTTTGTATATAATGTAATGCAATATGAAAAAAATGTCCTTAGCATCCAAACTGCAGTATATAACATTGAATAGCTGCACGATTAAGCTTATGTGTTCATTGCTGATCTGTTCAGCAATAAAAAGAGTAACAGAAATTTCAGTGTCAAAGTGTGTGTCACAAAAGAAATTTTTCTCAAATTTTTTTTAATTTTATACTGCATAATATACGAGAATGTTATGTAATTTATACAAAGTAAACGATGCATGCAACAACATACATATTTTAAGTTAATTTTCACTACAGAAATACTGCTCGCAGAACGTGAAACCGATTTTTTTTATAATTCCAATATATTTTCCAAGTATATTTTATTTATGAAATCTTAAGAATTACAGAAGTTTTTTATATTACTATAGCATATATTTAGGTGGAAAAATAATGGAACTTTTTGCTAATTAGGTGTGAAAAACACCTGATGATGAACAATGTGGTAATTAAGAGGCGAACGAAAGTAGACTCCTGGAACATCAACAAGGCTATTACTTTAAAGACCTTAGATTATTAGACAGAAGCAGAATGGAATAATATTTATTATGTCATTTACTGTTTTGACATTAAGAGCGCAATTGTATTTAAATAGAATCATGAGTTTTTTTTTTTAAAAAATTCAAAATATTGTCTAACTTTTTTTTGGACTAAATTTTGTCTTAATTTTTACATAGGTTGTAAAAATTACTCATATATTAAAACGTTGAAATTAATTTATTAAACCATAATATTATATGTTAATTTTTTAGAAGCAGCTTAAAACTTCAAAATTTATGTTTCATTATATTTTCGCAGAACAATTTTAATTTCAATTTAATGTTATACTATATCTAATAATTAGTCTTGGGTCATGAAATTAACATTTTAATTAACAATATTCTTATGTGATTTATTATTTTTTTTATATACTAAATTTTTCAAATTTAATTTTTTTGTTTTGTTTTTAATTTTATTAAAAATATACATACATATATACGTACACATATATGTATCTAATTCTATATTTGATTAAATAATTAATGTTTAGATATTTTCACCTTAATTATTCGTATTTAATTGTTAAGTCTTGCGGAAAGATGTTCTATATGCATGACCTCTTCTAACTTAAATTTACATACATATTATATAAGTATGTATTATATTATTATAACACTAATATTATTATCTTTTTTTTCCAACAATAAAATATTTTGAACTATGAAATTTCTGATTCAAGATAATGTTGACTTTTTTCAAAGTTATTTTGTAATTGTACATTAAATCATCATGATAAAAACTTTTCAAATATGTGCATAAGTACATAGTTCAAATGAAATTAAATAATTTTAGTAAAACAAGCTCCTAATAATAACTCTATGTTGTATGGTTCCGAAGTAAGAAACATTTATTTATATGCAGGAAAAGTCCGGTACCTTTTTTTTCAATAGGATGTATGTAGCTCGAGAGCAAGTATATCAGCAACCACCACCTATAAATCCCCCCCTTCCCCACCTATACAATTTTTTTTTCAGGAAATTGATCAAAGAATCATCCCTGAAATTATTTTCCACCCTATGCGATACACCTTGTTTGCATTTTTTTATAAAAATTTCGATATTTACCATTTTTGGAATGCTCTTCTTTTATTGGATTAAATTGGAAATTGTAGTTGTAACCATTGTACAATATCAAATCAATTTAAAAATTACTGTATGCGTTTTATTCCTATGAATGTTAGGTATACTTGAGGTATGAGAATTGTAATGTAACAATATAAATATAATATTTATAAAAGCGCTTATAGAATTTAAACTATAAAAATATATTTACTTATAGAACCTACATAGAATTAAGTAAATTTTTCTTTGAATTGCGTAGAAAATAAATCGAACGAATTAAATTGTTAAAAAAATTACATTTTAGAATACAATTTGGTATTCTAATACGAAAAACAAAATAATATGTATACCTATGTATATGTACTCGTATGTATATAATGATTTTTATGTTGGTACGTATATAATTTTTAAAACGTAAGTAGGTACAAAAAGTTCTTCCAGATTTTAATTATTTTCATTTTATTTATTTTTGTGTATATATAAAATTTTTGAATAATCGCTTACTGTAACGCTTAAATAAAATTTTTTTTAATAAGTTTTTTTTTTTGCAACACGTACAATTGCAATAAATAAATTTTGTAGATTAAAGTAAAATAAAAAAAAATGAAAGAACATTATCCTTTTTAAACATCAATACATTTTACATTTAAATGTATACATATATACATATAAAATCATGTTATGATTCAATTACTTACCATTCAATTTGTCATTAAACTTAGTAATAATAATTATTGTATATGATTCATTTGCATTTCGTATTTAATACACAACCTTCGTCCCACAATATACTTTTTATTATAAGAATAAAATTGGAAAAAAAAGAAACGGAAATTTCGAAAAATTCAATAAAAGGTAAAGGTAAAATATTTCTGGATAAATGCGAGAGAAACACTTTAATTAATAATTCTTCTTTAACATTCATACATACATATATGGGATCTTTGACATATTTTTATTCTGACTATAACTAAAATTTAGAAATCAAAAAGTCTTGTAAAAAATATTGAAAAACAAATTCAAGTAAAGTACAATATATTGAATATACAGATTTTGAATTTGTAATAATAGCGGACGGAAATTACTTGCATTACTTTGAAAAAAAAAAAACGAAATATAAAAAAATTTCATTTGCTTTTTAAAATATCAAAGGCTTGAGGGCGTTCTATCCAACATAACAAAAAATTTTGAAAATATTTTGCAATTGCAGGAAAAGCTTCCTAATTCATATTACCGCAATACTACTATATAGAAAGACGTGCAATACTATTAAATACAATAAAATTTAAATTTTTTTAATTGAAAATCTATATGCATATATGTATGCATATTTGCAATGAATATTATAATAGAGAAATATTTTCGACTTTTTCCACATTATTTCACAATTTTTGAGATATTGGATAGAGGGTTTTCCTCATAAGTTCTCGACGTTTTAACAATATTATTAAGATTACTAAAAGAGAGCTCGTTTCTTTCACTCAGCATCTATACTTATGCCATATTGCCATTGTTTATATACTGTCTATTCGGTTCGCTATAAATGCTTGCTGAAATGTCTGTGACGCTGATTTAATCCAGTATAAAGTGCTGACAAATCTTAATACAATTTTATAATAATATGTTCTCCCAATTACTGAATATAATGAGTGTAAGCATGTTGACTAAATCTACCTTTTCATTATACATAGTTCTATAAAACCAAATTTGTATTCCTAAATCAAATTAATTTCAGAATAAATTACAACAAATGAATACCGTATGGATCTCGGTGCAATTAATTAAAAAAGGAAACAGAAAAATAATATTAAAAAAAATACAAAAAAAAAAAAAAAAACGTAATAAGCAAAATTATGTGAGATGTTTTTTTTATTAACTGTCGCTTATTTTTTAATTTATAGAGCAATTTTTTGTTTTCTTTATTTTTGAAAAATTACAATTTTTTCTCAATTAAAATAAAATAAAATTATTACAAAGATCGTAGTAAAATATCAACTTTTTTTTGTATAAAAAATTATATTACATAAAGAATTCGACGTCATTACCGCTAAAATCATCTAAAAGTAACATTTAATAATTAGAAGATTAAGCCATTGAATCTTAAACAAATGCGTACATACTTATGTATTTATGTATATAAGTTTGTATATAAAAACATTGAATATTTTATAAACCTTGAAAATTATATGGTAATCAAATCCATGAATTAAATTCGCTTAATTTTTAAAAAACATAAAACTAACACTTTAAACTAAATGTTAAGTTAAACATAACAAAAAAAAAGCTTTTTCGTTTAATAAAATATTCAAATTAAACAAATTTTTATTTTATTACAAATATTATTGTACGCTTAATAAATTTGTTAGCAAGTTTAATAACTTCATTGTAAGTGAAATTTTTTGTAATTACAATCAATAAAATAAAATTTATGAAGTTAAAAACTTTAAAAGGCCATTGAATTATATTGAATAGCAAAATATTTTCGAAAATGTGGCAATATATGAACAGTGGTTGAAACGAAAAAATCAACAATGTTAATATTGCAAATCAAAATTAAAAAATTTTTTATATTTGTTCAAGCATGAAATAGTTGAAATTAAAAAATTTAAAATTTAGCTAGTAAGCTATAAGATTACAACTATTAAAAATTGCAATCATGTAGAAAAATTGAATAAAATTCTAAGGAAAATATAAGATTATTATGAAAATTTATGATACTGTAATGTTTAGCTACATACATGGGTACGTAAGTATTATTTTATTTTAAAATAAGCTTAAGCTAATATATTTAATTTTTAATAAAAGTTTAAGGTGTCTTTATAAAACTTTTTGAAAGTTTGAAATTTTCTTTAAGATACTTTGTAAACTATAGACAGATAACCCGAAACATTTCAAATTAATTTAACAATAACATAAGCTTATTTAATAGATTTCAAATTAGAAAATCTGTAAGCTATAATTAAAATGAATATACAAATTAAATGCATATACATATTTTAATATTAGCAATAATAAAGTGAAAAAGTACTTTTCTTTTTAAAAGGAATTTTTCAGCAAATTATCAACTGATTTTATAAAATTCTTTATAATCAATAGAATTTCTTTATGACTTGGTATATTGTGATATCATTAGTAAATTACTGGTCAATGAGTCAATACAATAATTAATGAGTTGTAAAGATTTTAAGTTGCTGTGGTATTTTATAGGAGAATTTTATAAGGAAGAAAAATATTCTTCTTTATTCTTCTGAAAGAGGAGACAATGGCAAAACTATTAGCGAAATTATTAATTAAGATCTTTTTTAAGACTTACACCTCCTATAATCATTTTTTCTGTGTAGAAAAAAAGCGTTTATCTTGATGTAGGAATACAGAATACACTTGCTATGTATAAAAACACTCCAGAGTTTGAACCATCATCATTAATTTGTCAATTTGGGTAATTTAATAAAGGGTCAAACAGCAACTCCTTTCGCAACATTTTCGGATGTAATTTTAATTTATTACACCAGAATATTTAGAAAAATTTAATTTTAATAAAAAATAATTCAATTCATCTTTAATTCTCATTATCGTCATTTTTACGATTTTTTACGATATTAAGGTCACATTAAAATGAACACCATTGAATTTTTGAAAGCTTTAATATGTGTATAAAAAATGTACATAATAATATTATTTAAAAAACTTTAAAAATTTAAGGCAGCAACAAATATTTCGGCAATATTATAATGTACTTATGTATGTATTTTATTTTACAAAATTTCAGTTTTGTACAATTTATTGTCAATCCTTAATAAAAATTATAATATAAATTTTGGACGGATTATTAAATCACTTAAATCTAATATTAAAAATTATTCTAAACAGTTTAAAATGATTTTACTTAATGTAATAAAAAAGATTCGAAATTACAATTGCATTTTTAAACACGTATAATGTATGTCAAAATTTAATGTATATTATATTTATGCATTAACGTAAAAATGGAATGTTATGCTTTAACTTCCAATCCGAAACCAGTTTGTGATTCGCTAAATTGCCTGCGTTTTACTGTTTGTATCGAAGCTTCCACTAAAAATAGAGATGCTGAAACAAAACACATAACGGTTCCAACTACAGCCAAACCAAAAGAATAACCTGATTAAAAATTAAAAAAATTTAATAGAATTTCTATTTTGAAATTTATTTTTTATAATATTGCAAGTTTAACACAAATAAACGAATAAAAATAATTTTTAAAGAATCGAAACAAATCGTTTTAATTTTTACAAGTTGCGATAAATTTTCAAAATTGTGTTATAAATAAAAATTACTTTTAGTGAGGTTTAGATAATTTAAAAGGAGAAAATTGTAATAAAAATTTTAAAGATATCCAGGTAAGTTTATGCGAGAGATCACAATGTTTAATCAATGTATTTTAGCTCAATAACTATTTAATTATAGTAACCACTATAACGTTAGTTAACATTAGTTATTGTGGTTACTCTAACGAATGACTACTGAAATAATCACAATTATCAAAATTACCTGCGTCATAATTTTTATAAATTTATAAAGTATTGACTAAAGTTAATATCTTATAATGACATTCAATTATTCTGACTTTGCTTTTATAAATTCGAGCTTAGATTATGTATATCAATATGTAATTTATTTTGCCAACAACTGGCTCATATAAACAACAAATTTCAAGAACTTGTATGATTAAAGAAAAATAAAAATGCATATAGCAATATAAAAAACACTTGTTTTTGAAAAAGAAAAAAAATAATCTCACCAAGCCAGTTATTATCGTGTCCAGGCATCCAATCATCTAAATTACCGAAGCAAGCGAAAACTATTACTGCAATTGCTCCACATACACCACTTCCTAGTAAAAGATAACTCAATATCTAAAAAGATTATTTTTTTAAAATAAGTATTCTCGTATCAATTTTTTTAACTGCTTTAAACACTACTCATTATATGTGAATAAATAGGCATTATAAAATTCTCTTTCTTTTTGTGTGTAAGAAATTCCTTTTGTAGTTGTAAAGCCATGGGCTAAACTCTACGGTTTCGTTGTAATTGGTCAAATATTTATTGTAAATATTTACGAGAAATAAAATAAAAAAAAAGAATTTATGCACATATATTGAAATTAAAATGGTTTACCCTAATTAATAGTATAAAATATTTTTGATCAGGTCCAGCACAAAGTAGAAACAACAATGCTAGGCATAAAGACACCAAAACTCCAATAAAACATAATGTATAAAAAAATTGCGTTGTTATCATGAAAGCTACAAATTAACATATTAAAAATCATGTTAATACTCATTATTAAATTTCAACTTAAATCATGGTTTGAATATTTTTACCTGGTAGGAGGAAACCTCTTATTTCATGATATCCGGTAGTAAAAGGATCATAGACCCATCTGCATCCAACAAAAAATCTCCTATTATTATCATCTTGTATATCTGGTAACGAACGAAAACAGTGTACCCATAATCCCAGTTTATCTAGTTTTGCTCCAGTTATTCGATGATCGCTCACAATCCAACTTGGTGTTGTAAATGCTACAAGAGTTGTTACTAAAGCTATTACGAAGATTCCCAATCCACATGTCCCTGCTAAAGTCCTTCGCTTCATCATTAGCTATTGAAATAGTTTTATGATAAATCATAGAAATTCTGCAAAAAAATTTCTTGATACAAACCTCTGCCATAAAAAAATATTTGCCCGAATTTTAGTTTTCTTGAAATTTAAGTGGACAAAAATTGATAAATTTTCGAATTAAACGTCTGAGGAATTCAATTTCGTTTATAGGACCAGGAATCTAATTACCTTCAGATTTTTTTCTTACAATTTAAATCAATTGAGTTTTATTTTTCCCACCCTTACTCATCAGCCATTTAGCACAATTGACATTTTAAAAAAAAATATATCAGCTGTTTTTAAAATAGTAGGATGCGACCCTATTTCCTTCTTGCGGTAGCTCCTCATTAACAGGGTTGTACTTGATCAAAACTTTAGAACGAACGAATAGCTGTGTTTACACATCGATTCTTGAATCAAAAGCTGAAATACATTTCACGTCTGCTTTATGAATTAAAAGAAACGTCAGAAGAACGAATTAAATTAAAAATGGAAAATTTATATACATACATTTTTCTTTTAACCGTTATTAATTGTTTGTCTCAATCATATGGCTTTCTTGGTGTCCGTTTTGAACCATAAATTTTTTGTATTAATATTCATAATATGATAATCTTATATTATAATTGTAATAGATCTTTCGTCTATGTACATATAAAAAAATATTGAATAAATTGAGAGAAATGATCATGTGACACATATTTCTCCTACTTAGGTGCTATCTCATTCTCATCTTGAATGCTTTTCATTACTACAATGAATATGCATAATTGCATTATAGTAATAATGCATAATTGCGTTATACTACAATGAATATGCATAATTGCATTATAGTATTAATGCATAATTGCATTATAAAATGGATATGTTATGAATTATGTATTAATTTTAAATCAACTTGTTATGTAGCACTCAAATCTTTGCAGTTTTGTCTTTCTTTTTTTTTTTGATCAAATACATACGAAATTGATGATAAATATTGATTGAGGTTGAACTAAACAAGAGCAATATCAATTTTTATAATTTGGAAATTTAAATTTTTCAAAGTACAATTCGAATGCGATTTATTATGTAGTAACTTTTCAATAAACTAACTGCAGCTGAACCATTTATGGTTATTTCTATGGCTTGAACTTCTCTTTGAATCGAATTATAGTTATTAACATTAATATGGTCTTAATAATTAATCGCCTTACTTAAAAACAAAATTTTCCAATTGACTAATAAAAGGATTCGATCTATAAGAAGTTCACTTTCTTATGTAGAGAAAACCACTTATAAAACGTTATGTTAAAAAAAATTGTTTAATACTTTCCTGCAAAAACAAGTTTCTATTAAAAACAACATAAATAATACATATGTACGTAATATCATGTAAGTTGAATAATAATATCATTTTATTTAATAAATTAACAGAGAACGGCTGATTTAATCAAACGTTTTAAATTTTATTTAAAAAAATTTATTTTTTTCCTATAACTTTTTCAACAGCTTGGACTACATCCTTTGGTTGTGGTAAGGCATTGATTTCCAAAGTTTTCGTGTATGGCATGGGAACGTCGACACCTTAAATTTATTTTAAATTTATAATTAATTTTTACATTGTTAGAAAAAGATATTTTTACAGGAATATTAAAAAACTTATTATTATATAAAAAAAATTTGGACGGATTTACCTCCCACCCTGAATACCGGAGCATCTAAATGGAAGAAAGTTTCATCTTCTGAAACCCTTGCGCATATTTCAGCACCAACACCTAAAAAGTTATTAAAAATAAAATGGAAATTTATGTATTGAACATATGCATACCATGACAAGGCCATCCATTTTCTACTGTAACTAAATGATGTGTTTTCTTGACAGAATTGAATATACATTGGACATCCAAAGGTCTAATTGAACGTAAGTTGATTACTTCTGCATCAATTCCTAAAGAAAAACAAACAATAAGGCATTCCTTTCATAATTCTGTAATTAAAGCAGTAACCTTTTTTTTCTAATTCCTTTGCCGCTAACAAGGAAGTTTCCACTGCTTTCGAATGCGCTACTATGGTAACATGTTTTCCCGGTTTCATGATTTTAGCTTTTCCAATTGGAAGAACGAAATCTGGTTTCATAATATTTTCGTCCACAGGAAAAGGTACACCATACATAATTTCATTTTCTAAAAACACAACAGGATCAGGATCTCTAATTGCAGCTTTTAATAATCCTCTACAATCTTCAGCATCATATGGAGAAATTACTTTTAATCCTGGGCAGTGCGCATACCATGCAGCGAAACATTGAGAATGTTGTGCAGCAACTCCTGCTGCAGCACCGTTGGGACCACGAAATACTATAGGTACGTTCACAGCGCCCGCTGACATATAAAAGGTTTTTGCTGCTGAATTAATAATCTAAAAATTTTCAAAGATGTTAAAAAAGTTAAAAGTTATAAATCTTTTAAGATGTAACCTGATCAATAGCCTGCATTGCAAAATTGAAAGTCATGAACTCGCATATTGGTTTGAGGCCTGCCATTGCGGCTCCAACTGCTATGCCAGCAAAGCCCATTTCTGTAATTGGAGTATCTATTACACGTTTGTCGCCATATTTTTTCCACAATCCTCTAGTAATCTACGAAAATTATGAAACATGTATAACAATATAACCATAATTGAAAATAAACAATTCATGTCAGGTTTTAAGACGTACATAGGTATTTATTAGATAACCTCTCTTGTTTTGATATTTTTACGTAATCATAAAATAAATAAAACTAAAACTAATTTTAAATACCTTATAAGCGCCGTCGTACTGTGCAACTTCTTCACCCAAGATGAACACCCTTTCATCTTTGGCCATTTCTTCATCCATTGCAGAATTGAGTGCATCTCGAACAGTTAATTGCTTGGCAGCTGCTAAGCTTTTTGGGGCCGTAGAAAATGAACGGCGTACTACTCTTGAAATAATTGACATTTTGTATTTACAATTTTTTATTTATTTTTAACACCGTTTTTTTTTTAAATTAGCGACAAAAATTGTTCAATTCAGGCTATTTGGATCAACTACCACTATGCTAAAACCTTATCACAATAAAAAAAACTACGAAAATCGTACGACATTCATACTTTCTATATTGAAGTTATATTACAGGGTTGAACACTGATTACAATTCAATGTCATGTCACTTATTGCAATAAATATTTTGTTACGGTGGCTCTGTTCGTTTTCTTTTTTTGCCAAAATTTGAAATGATATAAAATATGTGAGATTGGCTATTCGAGAGAAATATAGGAAAAAATACAGTTTTGAGCTAATTCTCAAATTTAAAAAATAATATACAAAAATAAAAATTTCACAGATGTCATCTACATATATTTTATAATTTACAAAGAAAAATTTAAACAATCAGACTTTTGAAAAAAGGATTTCAACTGAATTTGCCCGACTGAACGTCTCACTTTCAAAAACAAAGTGAATAAATTTTGTATTTTTAGAAAAAAACGAGATACGCAATACGGAATAATTCTTTTCGCTTGAAATTATATTATACAAATATATCCTATATTACTCACTTTCTTCTCACTTGGCGAGTAAAATAGCGAGATAGATGATTAGGCTCTTAATTTCGTTATTGATCGGTATTATGTATAATTGTGTTTAAATTTTATTACATAAACGTAAATAAGATATTACATAACGGTTCGAAATGCGACTTCTAGGTGTGGTGAACCAAAAAAGATTTAAAACACTGAAATATATTAACCAGTAGAAAAGTGCAATATTACAACTAAATTACTTTGACATTTTTTTATGATTCTGATTTTAAAAGTACGAAATGTAAATAAAATAATAAATATTATTCGTTTAAATAGTATTATTTATTATGAATGAAAAATTAGTAATTTTCCTCAGGCTTAAATCAGGAAAATTAATTTATCTTGATGTTGCGCCTTCTTGAAATAGAAAAGCAACTGCATACAATTAAGAACAAATAAAAGTTATAATCGTTAGAGACCGGGAAATTCGTTGCATTTATATGTATGTATGTATGTATGTGTTTGCATATGTTATATGTAAATGTGTTTTTAGTGCAATTTGTTACACTTCGTAACTTGAATTACTGCTTTATAAAACAGATCCACATACATATGTATATGTTTGACGTACATACTTATGCTGAAGCAAATTGTTTTTCATACTTTGTTAACCTTAGACCATTCAGGAAATGAAAAAAATTACGTTTCTTGTACCTATATACATATAGATAATTCTAGTATTCTAAATAGATATAGTAAGAAAGTTATAATAAAGAAAACTTGTGACTTGATTTTAGTTTTCAAAATTCAAAGTATTTTACTAGTGTAATGATAATTTATTTGCATGTTAGGGAGTATTGTAATGTACAAAACAAAAATTTTGCATTTAGATGTTTTTTGTTTCTTATTTTTACGGTCTTTCAAAATAAGCAAGTCTTTCTACATTGCGCTTTACGGGAAATGTTTAAATACTTTTTATAAAATTACAAAATTTTCAATAGCAAATCTTTTTATTAATTTTCTCAATTTGATAATTTTATTAGCTTTTTTATACAATAATTTATTAAGTAAATTAAGTATTTAATTAACCTGTTTTAACTAATTAAAAAAATTACAAAAATTTTGCTCATATGTGTTTATTACATTTCAAATTTATAATTATTGATCAATAATTTGAAATAGGTACATTTATAATAACTCAAAAAACACAAAAAGTAAATTAATTTAGTTTATCAAATTTGATGTAAAAAATGTTTTAATTGTTTTATTCTCAACCCTCTTAATTTTCCTTACTCTAAAACAAAAATGTTCTCTTAAATGTCCTTTACATTCAAACACCTTAAAACTGAGAAAATAAATTTAATCGATATACTGAGCTAACCAACGAAATCCTTCACCATAGCCCTGCCTTTTTAATACAGAACACATAAATAATTCCAATGGACGTCCTGGTAGTTCTGATCGCGATGCTTTACCCTATAATTAAACAATATACATATGTATATATTATTATTTTATAAAAATTAATTAATTTATTTTGAGAATTAATAAGCCAGCGAAAATTGAACATACTAAAAAAGCCTAAAAAAAAATACTTCATAAGAAGGTATGGAGAAATACCACAGAAAATTTAAAATTTTAGTAGCGAATTTAGTTAAATTAATTGTAATTTGTGTAATATCAGTAATTCCATGATTTATAGTGAATTTTTCTTATACCGCTTTAAAATTAATTTTATATTAGAGTTGTAAAAGAAGAATTTTTTTTTAGTAAATAAGGCGGTTACTTACTTTTCCGGTAGTTAATTGATAAAGTCCAAATACATTTCTCAAATCCTCTTCACTTGCCGCATTTTGTTTATCAATTTTGTTACCTAATATCAGGACAGGACAATTTGACAGTGCTTCATCTGTTAATAATGAATCCAATTCAATTTTACTTTCTTGGAACCGGCCAACATCCCATGCATCTATTAGAAAAACAATGGCATCAACAGCAGGGAAATAATCTTTCCATACACGACGAGCTAAAAATATAATATTCTTTGAGATGTAGAACGTAATAAATATTTAGGAAAATTATAATAATGTTCAAATTTGCCTTTTGTTACTTTATAACAAACATTTAAATTTTAATAGTGTATAATAATTAAATACGAATAAAAGATTTTTTTTAAAATAACTGTTGTTCATTCAACGCTCTTTAAATTTCTTAGTTAAATATATGAAACACATGGTGTATATATCGGTAGAAAATTTACAAACAAGAGGACAAACAAAGATAAAAACCAAACCAAATACAATTCTCAGAGGGTGATTAAAACAGAAATTATGTTTCGTTGATGCAATTGTTATATTGCAACGTATGATATTAATATTTAAATATGATTTTATACTTTTGTTAATATTGACTCGACTTCTTATTCACGTCGAATTGATCGAAAATGGTAAGACTTTTTACATCTAGCAAATTTGTTTGTTACATAGTTACATTCTTATTTGACTCAGATTTAGAAAAATATTTTGGTGATTTGCAAGGTATCTGCAAAAGAAAAAAGTACGAAAAATTCGTGTTACTGATATAGGTAATTATTTTCTAGTTATTCCTAAAAAGTTCAGAACCTTTGAAAAACGTTGAAAACAGTTAATAGACATTTTTTCATATTCTTTGCAAAATTCTCTAATTTGAATTTTTCTAATTTTTTACAAAGCCAATTTTTTTATTTTTTAAAAATTAAAGTTTTCAAAAATCATAATTTATTTTCAACAATGTTAATAGGTGTACTTCGAGTAGGTGTAAGTAATTCAGAATTAATTACAAATTCACTGTATTACAAATAATACAGAATTGTTAAAAATTTTCATCAATATTTAAAAATTAATAAATTTTTAAATATTAATAAATACAATTAATAGATATGTATGTCATAAATAATTGTATAATAATGTGTTTAATTTTACCTTGAGTGTGACCCCCTAAATCAAAGGTAGTAAATCTCATATTTCCAATTGAAAGTTCTTCAGAAGCTATTGGTGTAATTTATAAAAAATAAAATATATACATATTTTAATTAAATTACAAATTAAAAAATTTTTTATTTCTTGTATTTTTACTTGGATGTAATGTTGGAACATGCTGCGCCAATCTGTCGTCTTTAAGCATGTGCAATAATGTTGTTTTCCCGGCATTATCAAGTCCCAAAAATAATAATTTTCCAGATTTTTTCCACAAACCTAAAATATAAAACAAATATATAAATGGTAAAAAAAAATATCTACATATTTTTATTATAAAAATAATTATAAGTAGGTAGACGGCTGTGTACTTTTTAATAATTTACTTGCCAGAATGAAAAAATTAACATAATTTAGAAAAACATCAGCTATGTATTAGGTTTTGGTTACCTATACGAGTTTATATTTCCATTACCTATACGAGTACCTACTTGTATAGATGGTATCTGTTTTTAAGGTTTTTAGAAAAAATGAATTTTTAATATTTTTATATCATTTCAATAGATCTTCCAACCTCGTAATTTTTGGTCATTTTATAAAATTATGGTTATGTGGATTTTGTAACTCATTTTATCACTTATGTATGTATATTTAAAAAAAAACTTTTGAAAATCAAAGCTATATTTTATTGTATCAAACCTTAACTCCATAAAGAAGTTTCTTTGCAGATAAAATATTTTATAATTAATTAGATGCCTAGATATCAACTATGTACTAAATTTGATATACTCGTAGGTAGGTTACCATATAATTCAAAAAAAATTTTAAATAACATTATTCTCAATTGAAAGATGCAATGTGAAAAAAATGAAATGGAATAAAACCTTTCTGTAATCAATAAACAAGAAAATAATTATTGTAGCAATACTAACAATTTTTAAATACAAATAGCCTTGATCATCTTTTGTGTTAAATATTGCAAAAATTGCTTTGTTGGCATAATTAATATAATAAAAGGGAATACTTACCTAAATATCCTAAAACACCTGTAAACCAATCCCAAATGAACATTTTTTTAAATTATTTGTTGCCTAACTTGATTGTATAAAATTTTCTTAGCACTAATATAGGTCGATAACCTAAAATATTAATTGTAATATTAGTATATTTAATTTATTAATGCTACACAATAGATGCTAAACACTTCGTGAAATTGAAAATTTATTTTCAAATTCAAATTGAAATGTATTACAAATAAAAACAATACACATTCTTCGCTATAATTAATCTAAAATTAATATGTCATTAAATTTGGTAATAAAACATTTACCCTGTTTTTTTTTTATTGAAAAATGTTGGACTTTAAACAAATTCTACACAGAAAACTCAAATCAGAAATGAAACGTCACGTCGTCTTGAATATTGTTTTATTTTGACAAACCTTTGATGAATTGTTTAAATTAACTCACATAGTCTGTTCATTTCATTATGTATATAAAATTGGATTTTGACGTGTTGTTTTGGTTGATTTAAATGCTACGTCTGTTCAAAATATATTAATTTTTTTCATTATCAATTTTATTTATTTGCAATTATTTTTTTTTTAATTTACATTCATATCTGATAATTATAGGTCTGTCTGGTATAAAACTTGAAAAAAACTTTAAAAAGAGAAACAATGACGTAATTTTAAAAGAAAAAAATTCTCACAGAAAAGTTCAGAAAACTTTTAAAAACTTTATAAATAGTGAAAAACGTCAATATTCAAAATATTTATCAAACATAAACAAATATTTTTTGGTTATGTAAAAAAGAGAAAATTTTGGTTTTGGAATATAGAAGAGTGAAACTTAGAAAAAACCATTGGTGAATCCTTTTAATTTATTAATTAAAAAGTTTTTAAAAAAAAGTTATTGTTGATGAAAAAAATTTTTTTTGGAAGTATAAAACTTTTTGACATAACCAAGAAAAACAACTGTTTTGCCAGTTTTGAATTTTAAAAGTTTTTAAAACACTAAATTTTCCTTTACAAAACTTGAAAAAACTTTAAACATTCAGAAAATGAGAATGTCATCATTTTCTCTCATTTTTGTTCAAAAACTTTCACTGTACATATTCTGGTTTGTATAGTTTGACTATACTCTTTTTTTGTAACGGCTGAAATTTTTGTTAAGCTTTATATCGCAATGCGCACTCATGCATGTAGGTACACTTACTAAAAAGGATACTCCTGCGAATGCTTCAAAGCGAGCTTCACCGTTTTGTTATATGTATATGAGGCGATTTCAAAATTTTAATATAGAAATTGAAGTTTTTGATCCCAATTTGCATGATGTATAAACAAACCAAGTAAAAGACGGTTAAATACAATTCAACTGATATATTTACAATTCATGAAATGAATCTATAAACAAATAAAAACAGTTCAATCTCTATTGCGGTGCGGCATATAATTTCATTTTAGTTTTTGTCTTAGTTCAGCTAGGCCAACAATTTTTGATTGATAAAAATGGCATCAATAAGAGTATAAACTTCATCAAGTTTAATTTCACTGTAATACAATATGTTCAATTCAAATATGTACATATATGTATATTAGGTTCACAAGAATTGAGTGAAGAATAAGTAGTTTTAACACAGACTTTCCATTCTTTTTCTCCACAGACTTATATTTGTGGTCTGTTAAAACATGTGTACATACATAATGTATATGCGAGTAATTTTTTCACTGAACCAATAAATGTCATTGATTTGTCTACTACGTTGAGCGAAATTCATATCTAATTAGAACATAAAAAGCTAACTGGGATCGAAAAAATTGAATAGCTTAAATTTATTAAATAATACTGTTTCATATGTCCAATATTTGTTTTGATTTATAAGTAAAAATCCTATTGTTTCGTGTCGTTTTTTAAAGTTCTATATTATTCAAGTTAGTTTTTGCTAAAATAGTTACATCACATGGCGGAGTAAAGGTCCCCAGTGATTTCATAGCTTTTTGAGATTCAGCAAGCTTTGTCATCTCTTTTTTTAATTTATTTAAAATGGCATAATTTGGTTGATTTATAGCAGCTTTACTTTGCAAGGCTGTAATTTCTTGTTCTTCCTGCTTTTTCTCCTTGAAACTTTTTACAGAATTATTTCCATAAAGCCTTAGTAAAGAGCCCCAAGTTTTTAAGTGTGGATGTAACATCTAAAATTTAAGATTTTATTATAAGATTTTTATTCAAATTTTATGATTTAACCTGCAGTATAGCTTGTGATGCTAGTTGTTTTCCTTCCTTTTTATTTTTACAATTTACAGTTGCAGAATGTTTCCCAACAGTCATTGTGAATTCGTTTTTTTTATGTTTTGTTGTATTAATTTCATAATTTATTTGAACGTCACCAAACCCAAAATTTCTTTGCAAACATGTCAAAAGAATAGCATGGGGAGATGGCTCTGTAGTTTTATTACAAAATTCTGCCACTCTAGGATCCTCTATTTTTATATCATCAAATATCTTAAATATACGCATTACGAATTAAACTATTTGCCAATTTAAACAAAATATACCTACAGAAAGATCTTTATATAAATTGCATTTATTTGTACTTGTTGTTTGCTTTTCTCCAGTAATTTTGTCTTTCATTTCTGGTATTAATATTTCCAAGGTCTCTCGGGCTGCTTCAGATTTAGCTTGCTTCTTACTTGTGCCATATCCAGTTCCATACTTTAAAGAATTTATCGCAACTGTAGCGCAATAAGGGGTCGCAGAATTCTCTAATTCTTTAAATTCATATGTGGGCTGTTTTTTTAGAGCATGTTGAACATATTCGTGTAAAATGCATACGTAGCTTTTGCCATTTGGGTTCATAATCCATTCTTTCCGACAACGCCCAAGAGAAGTATTAGGTTGATTCTGATCTCCCGAAAGAATTGGAAATTTAATTAGTTTAGTACCATCTGGTAATGTTGGACGTTGAAAAATTTTAATGTTTTTCCGATTTTTCGTAAATTTTCTTCTAGCTGACCACGATCTAAAACATATTGAATTAAAAAGATGTATACATATATAGTAACAAAATTTAATACTCAGTTTACCTAAATCGCATTACACGAATTGTTTTAAATTTAAATAATCTTTTACAATATTCTGTTATACTTTCTGGCGATAGAGACTGAGATTCTATATTTTCTTTAGCAGTTTCAATACAGGCATTAGGAATTTTTTGAACAAAAGTTTTTGGAACAGCAATATTTTGCTCACCATCATTAGGTTGTGCGGAAATTTCCCCCATATCTTGATTATTTTTTTCGTTTCCATTCATTTGTAGTTTATCTGTACATCGTAAAAACAATTTCAAATATCCAATGTATCTATGTAAACGTCATAGCAACAAGTTTATGTATTTTACCTTTATTAATTTCCGCTTCTTTTTCCAATGCTTTACGGTAACTTAAACATGGTATGGAAGTTAGGGGTACTTCGTGTTTCTACAAGTATTAAAGATTTTAATTTAAAAAATTCATATATAAGATACTAATAAAAAATTACTCTTGCACTACCAGGACCAAGAAAGTATGGCTTTGAAACGGAGCAAACTCTTGTTTGTTTATGCAGATAGATTGGCATACCACTGTTATGAGTAACCTCTACCCAACCTTCTGGTAATACTTCAAAATGATTATGACCTTTTACTGTATTATACAAAGAGTTAAATAAAATGTAAAGAAAATGGTTAATTCCTACCATCTAAAACTGTTTTAAATTTTTCTTCGTATTGGCATTGCTTCTTCTTGTTCTTTATTTCATCAGGCAAAGCTTCATCTAATAAATTTTCTATTTCACTTTCGTCTATATCGAGGCTCGAAGAATACTCATTGTTAGAATTTAACGCATCTAAAAGAAAATTTTTAGAATTTTAATTTGAAAGGACAAGCAAATTATTTACCATCGTCTTCCTCTGAATTTGATCCTTGAACTTCATCAAGAAGCTGAAACTCTTTGATACTGTCATTAAGTTCAATTCCTGGCTCTTCAACTTTTGTTCTTTTTAGCACTCTTTCAAATTTGGAATAATTAGATTCAGTTTGTAAATTAATTCCCTCAGAATGTTGGGATACAGTTTCATTTTTGGAGTCTTCCAGTCTTATTCTTTTTTCAGGATGTTCATAATCCATCTTCTAGGTTTTACTTTATTAATTTTGATTAATAAATTTAACGGCACGCATTCAATATAAATTACAAAACTACAAATTATATGCAAATCTCACATTGTTTTGTTTCTTAGTATCACTTTGTGCATATTCGTCACAGTATGTCAAAACTGTCAACGCTATTATCACTTTGAAAATCAGCAGGTCAATGGGCCTTGTATACAACATGTCAAAAAAATGTTTGTGCTTCAAGGCCTTGTTCAATAACTACTCTAAAAATCTCATGATGAACATAATGACAATTCGAATTGCTCGATAAACATAATGACAACTCAAATTGCTTTCAGGAGAAAAAAAATCTGTGTATGCATAATGAACAATTATTGTCAAAATTTTAACCATTTTAAATAATACATACATACATATGTATGTAATTTTTTAAAAAATTTCCTAACAAAAGCAATATGATCTATTTTCTTATTATATAAAATTGAAAATAAATCTTTTCAATACAAATTTAACTGATTGACTACTGACTTAATTGCCAACTGATTTAGCCAAATAATCAACAACTTAAAATTTTGAATATGTCAAAAATGCAAATATCACCTCAATTTTTACCAATTTTATCAATTTAAGGGCGGCTGAAAGAATTTTTGTAATGTCAACTAAATTTTGATTAAATATACCGTCACCCCAGAACCTAAGGGTCGTATAAGCATTTTTTTATTATTGGCATTTCCAATTTAAAATGTAACCGTGATAATAATTATACTTTAACTAAGATTATTAGATTATTAATATAATCCGATTTTTTTCAGCAAACAAACAAATATGTAGTTAAAAATTTCGTAGAAAACTATTTCTTTATTTCAAAGTTTCCTAAATTAAAAAAAAAAATGAATTTTTAAAATCCTCTCCGAACAGGTTTTGGAGAAAATAAGATTTTGATTGGTTTACTTAGTTCCAATTCTGTAGGACGAACAAATAAACATAAAGTAATTTCCACAAATGAGGATTCGGTCCAGACGCCGTGAGAAAGTAGGACAGTAGTTCGCAAACGCCAATGATTTTCTAAAATAGGAACCTGTAATATTTTTTATTAATGATATTAAAGTTTACTTTTGATTTCCCCAGTTTCGCTTAAAGTTCGTTTCAAGTCAGCCGTTCTAGGTGAAACGATGTGGACATTTTGATCAGGATATTTTATTTTCAATCTTAAATCTTCCCTTTGCGCTTCTTCAAGATTTTCGATTTCAGCAACTAAATTAAAGGCCGCAATCAAACCAGCTGTTACTTTGAGGATGTTTTCCATTGAAGCTGCTGTCGAAGGCTCAGTAATCCTGGCCTTACACATTCTAATCTAAAATTAAAATATCATATTGCAATTAGGTAATTGATTTCAAACGAATTTAAGTCGAAAATGAAATTTTAAATTTTCAAATTTGTCGTTAAGAATTATTATAAACAAATAATTCAAAAATTTTAAATTAGTTGTAATTACATCTATATTGATCTTTGGAGTGACAATTGGGGACGCATTTTGAACTATTGGACAAATTTCTCTAAAAACACGACCTGGTTTTGGGTCGTTGATATTAGATAGTTTATTCAGTAGTACCGTTGTCAAATTGTCTGGTGTCTTACCTAAACGAAATAAATTAGTAAGTATTCTGCTAAATATTTTTTTTAAGGAAATACATACTCGTATTCAAATGCAGAAAATTTCGTATATCAGATGCAATATGAAGTAACAATTGACATGAACTCAAAGCACTTTGAGATCTATCTTTTACAACTAGAATCAAATGAATTGCACTCGCTCGAAGACTTATTTCTTTAACGTGTAGCAAATCATCTACCGAAAGGCCCGAAAACAGATTTTGTAACCTTAAAATAAATATTTTTAATTTATTTTAATAATGTTAAATTTGAAATATAATATAATTAAAACATTAAATTTCGTTAAATTTATATAAGCTCAATGTAAGTTTACTGGTTATTAATTAAACTTCTATGAAATCCTTCTATATGTAATACTTAAAAAAGAACCAAATATGTCATATACAGAAATATGTATTATTAAATTAGTGCCGATTAATCGTTTTGTATTTACTTTAAGCAATTTTTCATAAGTTGTGACAATGAGCTTTTAGAAGGTACCCTGCTTTGATGATTAAGCGCACACATTCGTAATTGTTCTATCAATAATTGTGCTTCCAAAAATGTTGCTGTGAAAAGAGCTGCTCCTGACATTAAATAATCAATTTCAGCTAATCTACTTAATTTATCTAAAGTAGCTTTTAAAAGAGTTGACCTTGCTTTTGAAGTTTTGCAAAACGCATGAATACTGTTGGAAATTGTTTCTAAAAACTGACTTGAACCCGTTAATGTTGTTAATAAAATTGGGGATGATATTCCTTCAATTGGTAAATGAGGAACTAAATTTGGCATCGTATCTCTCAAATAAAAGTAATGTTTGATGGTTACATCAGGAAATAAATTTAACATTGCCGTTTTATGCACTGCAGCGTTAAACAACATTATTAAAATGCAAATGTCTAAAATAGTAAGATAGGTTATTATAAGTTAGAGAATAAAAATTTTAAAAATTTGAAAACTGAAATTAGCTTATACAAGTACAGACATTAAATATAGTTTCTTATACATATAAAATAATATGTTGTACTTATATAACTATATTTATGCCACTATATTACATGATGGATCCTCAACATCTCTTTCGGCGCAATCAAAGCACGGATGATCCAATAATAACTGCGGCGTTAATGTCATGCATATTTCAGAATGTTTTTCACCAATTTTCTGCATACAACCGTAAGCTGAAAATTTATCTTCAGGATATTGCGAAAGAACACTTAAAACTTTATGAACTACCATTAATAAGCATGTATGTGTTGAAACTTTACAAGACCCGAGCATTAAATGAAGACCTTCGCGAATATCTGTGGAATGATCTTCTAAAGAACTGAGCATTATTTCCAATTGATCTTCACGCAACATTATGTGATTTGATATAATAATTAAACTGTATATAGCTTTCAATCGAACATCTTCTATTTCATCATTAAACATATCCACCAAAAAATCTAAGGATTGCATTGCGAACTCTGGATTTATCAGCGCTAATTTACACATGGAGTCTACCGAAGCAGTTCTTACTTCAACGAATTCGTCCTCTAATCCGTGAACGAGTGCCCCACAGGCACCAGAAGCAATCAAAGAAACTGTGTTAGCCTCAACTTGTTCTTTGGGTGCATCATCCATCCATTTTTTACCAGTTGACCATTCCCCTTTAGCGAAATTTTCTGAACATCTTTCGTGTAAACTTTTCTTTCTCTTCAAATTACTCATAAGTTTTTTATCCAAAGTTTGATGAAGAAATTCTTGACTAACTTGAGTCATTTTACCCAAAAGTTCTGCAGCCAGAATACGCACTTGCAAAGAAAAGTCACATAAAGCAGAACAAACTTTTTCAAAAGCTGCATCAATCAGACGAATGTCACTATCTGTATCGGGTAACGTAATCATCCTAAAAATAATTATTCACAAAAATTTATTTAAATTAATAATAAAAATAAATTACGCTTCTGGATGTCTTGAAGCTATTTCAAATAACAAATGCAATGCTTCTTTTCTAACACATTCGCAGTCATCAGCCAAGCCATTACAGCATCTAGTAAACAGAGATGTTGGTAATAAGACCCCATTTCGACCAAGATTTAGTAATGAATTAAAAGCCTGTGTTCGAACTCGTGAATCTTGAGAATCGGTATACTGACCTACTAGATTTAAAATCGTGCTTTCAGCATAAGATATCTCTGACAGCGCTCCTAATATTAATAAAGAATGCCTTTGAATATTGTGGCTTTCGCATAATAACCTTTCTTGTGCAAACGCTGTTATTTTATTCAAATAGGGTTTAGAAAGTCCTTGCAGTTTTCCAATCTTGTACAAGCTATTCAAACCTTGACAAATAACTTTTGTTGATTTTTCCTCCTTCATTAGAGAAACAATTTCGTCCACAGCGTTGCACGGGTCAAATAATCTATTCAAGCAAAATTCACTGAAAATGGACAAAACTTTAACGCGTACAACTGACTCTTCTTCATTACGAAAGTGTTCGCTAAGTGTTTTAATTGACAAATTATCTGTATTTTCTCCATCTATTGTATTGATCAGAAGTTTTAAAGCCTGTTTACTCGATGTGATATTTTCTAATATAAGACTTTTTGAAGTAATTCTAATTTTCTTCAAAGGATTTTCTGTTTGTTGCTGCAATAATAATAAAATTATATTTCTGCTATGGTTAAAAAAAATTTACAACATTTATCTGCACAGTTTGGGTATCATGATGTAGAAAACGCTTCATAGCCATTTTTAGAAAAAATGTTTATTAAATTTTTCTACAAAGTTTTCATATTTCAAGAATTCAAGCTATTTGCTAATGAAATGAAATGTGAACAATTTGACAATTTTTGCTTTTTTGACAGTTACTGTCTAAGAATGTTCAAAATTTATAAAGCCTATTCTGGAATTATGACTTTCATCATTTATAAGGAATATGACATCATTGGGAAGACAAACAAATTCTTTCTCCCCCCCAAGCAAATTTCTCCCGATGACGTCACGTTTCCAAACATCAATACTGTTGAGTGAAGCCTACAAATTTTTTGACCGTCCTGTGTTAACCATTATCGATAGCATTAATTATAATCATGGTTAATTAATTATGTTAAATTTATTCAGCTCTGAAAAACCTATTGACTCGTTGAAAATTAAGATGGCACTTGACGATGAAGTTCTTACAAGCATATTTGTATATAAATAAATGATAAAGAATTTTAGGGAAATTTAATAAAAAATAATAAACAATATTTTTAGCATGTAAGTACATACATACATATGTACATACATATATTTTGCTCTAAATTTTATTACTTAAATTTATTTATAACCGTACTTTAAAATATTTTAAAATGAAAGTTGGAAAACTTCAGCTTTTTATATTTTTGTCTAATTACTTGTTTGCCAAACAAAAGGTTCCATTCGGTCTTTAATTTCTAAAACATTATTTAATTGTTCTAAACTTGCAATATTGTGGTTAAGAAAAGTGTTACATCGACTTAATTGCTGCGAGATTAATTTGGTTTTAGAAAACACTTCAGCATAAGTTGAATATGCTTTCTGAAGCTCAACAAAATTTAAAAACAATTTACTAATTTTCTTATCAACCTAAAAATATATAAAATATTTTTAAATATTTAATTTAAAGTTACATATGTATGTACATAGTTCTTAGGCTTACCTTTTTAATTTTTTTTACAATATGATTTTGTTCGTTTGTAACGTAACAAGAAGATATATGAAAGTGTGTTTGCATTCTGCAACACATGTTTTGCAAATGAACTGGTTGCAATCTGTCTAATATTTCTGGATCTCTTTTTAGTGGTACCGAAAGGCTGCCTCGCATTACTGGCAAAAACATAGGAATGCTCTGAAAGTATATGTATGTATGTATGTATGTATATACATATGTATTTTGTCTATTTGTAAATCAACCTTATAATAATATGTTTTATGGTTAGTTATCAGGTAATTGAACAATTTTGTGCAATAATTGTAAATTTTTTTAACATTCTTAATTTATATAATTAATTCAATGGAAAAGTTAAAAATATGATAATGCAGTTCATGTAATTTTTGCATTTTAATCAGGAAAACAACAAACATACTAACGTTAATTTCTTGAAAAGTTGAAACTATCGAAAAATTTAATTTAGAATGAAGTAATTTATCCTAATGGAAAATTGCATGCATATGTATGTATGTATGTATTTATATGAAACATCGATGAAACCCAGTCAAAATAATAGGGGCATAGGTACTTACACAAGAAAATAATGAAATATTTTAATCAAAATTTAATGGAATTACTTAAAATCATATCACGTAGTAAACAATAATCAAGAAGAGCAAAAATTGCTTAAGATTAAAATTACAATGCAATTTATTGTAAATAATTTAAATATGACAAAGCTTTATTAATTAACTTAACAGTTAAGTTAATAAATTGCTTTCATTTTTGAAAACTGTCCAAGTATTTATTTTCGTTTAAAATCTCCTCTAATTGGTAATTAAAGCTTTTTAGCAAATACGTATGTATGGATACATAGACTATACATAATATTGAGTTTCAAATTTCACTATTAATAAAATAACAACAACATTACTAAAAACAATATTTAATATTCTTTTGAGTACAAATTTTTAGTTGAAACAGGTTTACAGATGTAAGAAAAACTAACACAATACACTTAAAGCTCGAATGTACATTAGCTTATTAGCTATTACAATACACCAAACACATATTATGTACAAAGCTATATTTAAGTCTCGGATATAAACAAAAATTTAACTGTAGTATTCTACCTTGGAATAAATATGATATAGATTTTTTTTTAACTGAAAAGTTGATACATACATACATAAAAGTTTATGTATTTGAAAAGAGCTTTATCGAGGTACCCGTCAAAAGCTATTTAGATAAAATCCAGTAACAGAAAAATTAGGAAAAAATCTGAGTTTCATAACAAAAAGAAAAACCAACAAAAGATTTAGATTTTCCAATAAGTTCACCAAAATCAAATTATGGTCGATCGTGCTTATTATGTCTTATTTCGAATAGCTCTATATTTTATTTACAGTATCTAAAATATTCAAATAAAACAAAGCTAAAATTTTACATTGCTTGTATTATAAATTTGTCAAATAAATTAATTTTATTCTAATAATTCTTACAAAGTTTTACACACAAATTTTTCTAATAAATTTTTATTCGATCAACTAGTCATTTGGTATTTTTCTTTCAGATATTTAGACAAGGCCCCTTTTTTTGTTCAAATTATTGATCAATGATCATCATGATAACAAATCTTTTGCAATTTTTTGACAATCTTTCAGAAATACATATACCTTTCTTCAAAATTATAACAAATTTTCCTACTTCAATTTTACAATTTATAACAGAAAAGCTTAAATTTTCATTAAGAGTTTAAAATCAGTTCACGTGAATCTGTTGAAAACTTTACTACGTTGTTAATTCTTTTCCAAACTTTTATTTTTATAGTGTATTGTTTTTAATTTTTTTAAATCATTTTTGGTTTACACACTATAGCACCATAAATACGTGGGTGAAAAAATCGAGTTGTTAGCCTTGATGATGTCCGATATTTGTATTCAATTTCATCTATACATCTAAACAAAAACAGAAAATATAAGTTGGCGGAAACTTTATTTTCTTTTTTGACTAAAACCAGACACTTCCACTTAAGACTTAAACAAGTTACAAATTAAAATTATTTTAAGGTTAATGTGAATTAAAAGCTCGTATGTACATATAAACTAAAGAAAAAAATCTAAAAACTCGCAAGCACCTACTCACTTTTTAGTACAAATTAAAAACTCAACATATTCAGACGAATTTACCGAATTCTTAAATAATAAATTTCCAAAGAATGTTAAACGGGAAATTTTTCACTGGATTACCTCCAGGAATGATGAATAAATCTAACGCCAATAATAGACAGAAAACAAATTTCTTTTGGCCAAATGATTCCGATTTTGGTACTCTGAAAGATGATATAAAAGTGGAAAAAAATTTATCCAATAATAATATTACATATGCATCAGGAACAAGTAATAATCCAGAATACGAACCAGAAAACTTGTTAAAAAAACAACTTTCTTCTAGTATTAAATTTTACGATGACGTTGATAAGGAAGATTATCAACGGTCTACCCGAAATAACCGGAAAAAAATATTTGATTTACCAAAACAAGATACAGAACTCAATGACCAAATTGATTTTAAAGCTAAAAGTGCAGAAACATTTTGTTCAAAAATTCAATTTTATGATTTTCCAGATAACTCAAATGGTGCGTCAAAATCACCTCAGAAGGAAAGGAACAACGAAAGTCAAAATGAAAGTAAAAACAGTGTTAGGGATGCGAATTTAATGAACAAACCAAACCAGGAAGATGAAATTGTTTTGAATAGATTGAATAATTTTAGTAATTTGAATCTTAAAACTAAGCTTGTTAATAAATCGACAGGCAACATACCTCAAATATTTGATAAAAAAACTGATTCGAAAACGATTTGGAACAAAGAAACTGGTATTGAAACTAAAAATTCATGGAAGGGACAAAACCATGAAGCAACTTTAGAAGAAAACGAAAATTTGCAAGGATTAAGAATAGAGAAAAAACGAAAAAATAACAAAAAGCAAAATGAAAGATTAAAAAATATTGAAAGCACCAATTCGAATGAGGAAGTACTTCTTTGTAAAGTGCCAAACAATATAGGAGAACAAAAAGTTAATTATAATACAGACTATCAAAATAATGATAAGCTAAATGATAAAAATATAAATAACAAACAAGAAAATGATAGTTTGAGGCACTTGAAAAGTAGCTTTTCTTTCGATGCAGATGATGATGCAGCTAACATACAAAGAAGGAAAATTAGAAGCAGAGCCTTCACTAGGGTCACAGTTGGCTTGCCTGATTAAATTTCCACATAAATTAGTGCTTGGGATTTGATAAACTAAATGGTAAAAACTGAAATAAAATTTCAATGGATTGCATGCTCAGAAGTTAGAAGTAATTTTAACACCTCTGAAGAGAAATCAGCAGATTGACATTAACGATAGTTTGTTATATTTTAATTATTAATGATTATGTAATAAAGTTATTGAAAACTTTTAATTCTGTACATCCAATGTTTTTACCTTTGCAGTAATATGCATTTGTACATAGTCCATGTTGATATCATAATATAACTAAACATTTTTCACATTTTTCAATTTTTCAAATTTTTTCTTTTCAATTGAAAAATTTAAATTTTTTATTCCTTTCCATTTACCTATATACATACATACGTAAGTACATAGCTTTAAATGAATTTACATAAAATACAAAACGAGAATTCTCCGTCTCTCACTTTAAACATATTTTTATAAACCGAAAAATTGTTTATGGAAATAATATGATAAAGAACAAAAAATGAAAAGTATGAATACCTATTAAAATTATTTGCAAATAAAATTAACTAACTTGCAATTTCATGAAATCAGGATCCATTTCCAAATTAAACTCTTTTGCTGCAGATTTTACTACAACAATGTTATGTGTGCCAGGTAATTTTTCTTTTCTATATTTATTTTTTAATGCAGCTTGCTTTGAGTTTGTCTTTATTTGATGCTTACTTCTAATTTTTGGTGAGTCTGTTATAATTAATATTGTAGATTAAAAAATATTTTGAATGAGAATAATATGAAATTTTCCTACCACTTATTTGAATACGATCCGTATATGAAATATATGGCAAATCAGAATCAGAACAAACACTAATAGGTGGTGAATTGGGACGATTTTCCATTCGATTACCATATCCTACATCTCCTTGCACTGTATATCTTTTTTGTAATCTATTAGTTTTGCTTTCCGGAACCATGCTAGTGTCTCCAGTACCTTTTGATCTCCCATCACCATTTGCACTTGAATGCTCTGCTCCCATCCTTCTTTGTATTAATTATCTGTATTTGATTTTTGACTAAACCAATGTCAATAAATATCTACGAATTGTTCTAACTTTACAGATTTGAGCATCAAACCTTAACAAAAAAAAACTAAAATTTCTTTTGTCCGCAAAACGTTTTTAGTTATTGATTGTAAACTTTCAAAATAAAAAAAACTATGATAAAGTCAAGTCGCTATCAGGTGAGTTTAATTTGCATAAAGTCATTTTAAAACTTTAGTATGACAGTTTGTTTTGAACTTACTCTAAACACAACAACGGACAACTCAAATAATTTATGTTTACAGAAGCAAAACAAGTAGTTTAAGTATAAATAATTAACTGCTGCGTCACTTATTTCTTTCAGGTTTTTATATGACATAATTTTAATTGACAGACAAAATTCTACATTTTTTAGTCAAAATTGTGTTTTCTTTACAAGCTCCAATAAATATTATAAACAAGCTCCAATAAATATTATGAAATGTCTACTTGTTCTTAATCGCCATCAACTGTTTGGTATAATCATATTACCTTTTTTATATATATTATGTTGATCAAATTGAGAAAGAAATGATCACGTGACATATTTCTCTCAATTTTGTATTGTGATATTTCTATCTTGAACGTTTTTCATTATGATGCATGAAACTTATCTTGGACACATCTATTATTTAAATTTTTGACAAATTTTACCAATTTTAACATATACTAGCTTGGACAAACCTATTATTTAATTTTTTGACCACTTTTATAAAATTATTATTTACACTGACGTTGCCAAGGGCTAAGTACAAAATTAATTAATAGTTATTTAATATTCGTTCTTTTATTCCATTTATGTGAAAATATAGTATAATTTTTCATAAAATTTGTTTTTGTAATTTTTTTGAACGGAATGAAAATTTAGTTTTAAAATTCAATTGAGTCATATTTTACTTTTCATCTCGGCCTGAAACAAATAAAGTTTAAAAAAATTAAAAATAATCTTTACGTTGTACTTTGAATAGATTATTAAACATATCGAAATAACTAAAGAAAATTGAAGATGAATCTTTCTTCTTTTGAATATTATAAGAAAATGCTTTGAAAGTATGTAACTTAAACATAAAATCACTACCGTCAAAAAAATTTATAAAATGACACTTTACACAAAAACAGAGCCTAGTTAAACATATGACTTTGAAATTTGTTAATGTTTTTGACAAAAGGAAAAGGGTTTGTTAAAACTTTCTTTCCGGTTTTAAATCAAAATGGGTAGGATATATTTTTTATTTGAAGTAAATTAATATTAATTCATCGAGTTAAAATCATTAAAAATTTGTTTTGAATAATTAAGAAATTGAAATTTTGTTTATTTATTTATAATTCTTGCTAATATTACTATATTTATGAAATAAATTTTAGGTATTAGTCGGGACAATTTCCACAAAAGACGTGCCACGGGTGGTAAGCGCAAACCTTTAAGAAAGAAGAGGAAGTTTGAGTTAGGTAGACCTGCTGCCAATACAAAGGTATTATAAAGTAAATTTCTATTATTTAGAACTACATATAAATATTTTTTTCAGTTAGGGGCTTTAAGAATTCACCCTGTGAGAACTCGTGGAGGAAATACAAAACACCGGGCACTTCGTTTAGAAAATGGAAATTTTGCTTGGGCTTCAGAAGGTTGTGCTCGGAAAACACGTATTATTGATGTTGTTTACAATGCTTCCAATAATGAGCTTGTCCGTACTAAAACATTAGTAAAAAATGCTATTGTTGTTATTGATGCAACGCCATTCCGTCAATGGTTTGAAGCCCACTACATATTGCCTTTGGGTCGAAAACGTGATCCAAAGCATGCGCAAAAAGATGAAAATGATGTTTTAACTAAAAAGCGCAGTGAAAAAGTAATGAAAAAATACTTGTTGAGACAAAAATATGCTAAAGTTGAGCAAGCTTTGGAAGAACAATTTTCATCAGGTCGTCTGTTAGGTAAGTTGACATAAAATTTGGATATATGTTTTTGTTCAATATGATGAAAACATGCGTTGGATTTGTCGATTTATGAGAGAATATTCGTTTTGAATTGATCCTCTTGACAAAAATGTCTGTCGCAGTCATAGTTACTCTGATTACTTCAAAAACACTATGTACATTTATATGTAAGTTACCTTTATTTCTTAGAATGAACTATAATTTTTATTTTAGCTTGTGTTTCATCACGTCCAGGACAATGCGGTCGGGCTGATGGATATATCCTTGAGGGCAAGGAATTAGAGTTTTACATGAGAAAAATAAAATCTAAAAAAACAAAGTAATCTAAACATGTAAGGATTAATTAATATGAAATAAAACAAAAAAATTAAAAATTATGAAGTTTTGAAATTGAAGATATCATAAGTTGTTATACATATACAAAAGCATGTTTCTTGACAGGGAGCAACTACTTAAAGACGATAGAATGCTTTTTAAGTATGTTCTTTTGGGTGAGGTTATTATTACCCAATTAAATTTATATTAAAAACTTTAAACTATTTTACATTACATATGTACATATTTGTTATTGAGTTACGTGTGTTTGTATAGCCGACTTCAATATAACGACAGCTATCGAGACTAGCATTTAGTTGTAAGCAATTGTGAACAGAAATTCAATTAGCTGCGGATTGAAAGTTTACGAGGAAGTGGAGGAGTAAAAGTAAATATAAATGATCTACTCAGTTGTTTTGAAAATCACAACTTTTTAGTTTTCAAAGACGAAACCAAAACAGATTTTAGAGAATGAATTTAGAACGATTTTAGAGAATCCCGACACAGTTATGATAGGCCTGAAAAAACGTGCTTAGTTATATTAAAACGAAGCATGATGATTCAATTTAGGATTATCACAATCTGCTATAAGAATAGTTAGTTCTAAGCAAAATTAGTAATAATTGGACTTTTAATTGGTATATGGTAGTTATATCATGTGATAATAAAACTTTTACTTTTGTTTATTCTCTTGCGTTTCTTTTAGAATTAGGTAGGTACTAAAGAAGTGCTACTAATGCTGAATATTTTTAATCCCATAAGATAAACGGTTTAATTTTAAAGAAGAAGTTAAAGTTTCCATTTTAACAAAAACAAAATTTGGAATGGAGGGAATTATAATACTCAAATATTTTTGTTTCAAATTTATATATGAATGTATAAATAAAACTACATCGATTTTTTACCATTTCGTACATAATGTAAGTATGTATGTACATTTTAAATTATTTTTAGTTTAAAACACAAACTCATAAAGTTTTAAACTAATTAATACAACAATAAATAATTGAAACATGGTTTGTATCCAGACTATTCTAAAAGTTGAAAATTCAAATTAGCAATAAAATTAAAAAAAAAAAAGAAAAATTTCACCTTGCCAGTTTTTTTCTTGAACTGACCATGCTATCATCTTCATCTTTCAAAATAAATTTGCGGATACCGATCATATAATTTCGTATATAGTCATCATAATCTAGCTTTTCAATGTTGCAGTTAAATTCTTTCCCATCCGTAGCACCATTAATTTTATCAGAAAGCTTCCTTTGATTTTTATTATCAAAAACCCAGTCACGTAAGGTAACATAACTTCCTTTTCAATATATAAGAAATTTCTCAATTCAAATTTCAAATTAAAAAGACGTTAAAATCACCTGCACGTAAAGCAATCTGGAGTTTTCTCGCTGTTTTCATGAAAATAGGCTGATTTCCTTGTAATTTCAACATAAGATCAATAACTATGGCTGGAATGTAATGTAGTAATATTACCATTATATAATGCACAATAGGGTATTTGGTATAACGGAAACGTGGATAAAATACTAAATATTTTGTTGGATTTTTTCGGGCCCATTTTGTTATGTATATTCTTAAATTTTTCCAAGTAAGAGGTTGTATTTGGCCAGATGTGCAATTGAAAATTTTAACTGAATTCAAGCTATAGGAATAATTATTAAAAATCTTACTTATAAAAGTTTATTTAAAATACACACTTTGATTGTCCAACATCCCATGCTGCTCCTATCATACTGTTCACCACAATATCAATTGGTATTATATCACATAGAACGTTTTCATCTGCCTGCATTATAAATTTAATTACGTTATAAAAAATTCCCACAAGTGTAAAATTAAAATAAATCATTTTTAAAATATATATCTATCTTTTATTATATAGCAAATTATTTTATTATATGTATTTAAATTGTAATATGAAACAATTTGAATAATTATTTTAAATCGAAACTACAAGAATACAAGCTTAATAGTTGATATTAAAATATAAAGCTTTCAATGTAAACATTTAGCCTAAGCCCTAAATAATTTAAAACTTGCAAGACTAAATAATGCAAGTGAAAAATTCTTATCACGTACGGCGGAAATATTTTGACCAAAGACAATTATTTAATCTTACTTACCAACATAGTCGAAATTGTGCCACGACCAATTTCCATCATTATGCCGGTTAACGCTTGAACATTGTCGACCTAAAAAAAAATAATTTTTGGAACCATATTAGATATTTAGCTTTTACACTCAAATATATAACGAATTCTATATTATAATACATTTTCTAAATTAAAAAAAAAATGCAATTTCTAAAGGATTATAATATCTTTGGAAATTAAACCTTTTAATTAATTTATTAATGAAAAACTATTCGTGTTACAAAATTTTACTTTCCCATTGTTTATTTTAGAATTTTGTTCTTAAATTTGAAAATACTGCCGGATTTTTCCATTTTATTTTAAAAAAATAAATAAAATTAAATACGTATTCACCATGAATAAAATATAATTTTAAAACTTACCCATCCTGGGAAAGGTTCTTTTATAGCAGCTGTAATAATTGAAGGACGAATTATTCCTATAGGAAATTGGCAACAATATTCATTCACAATTTCTTCAGCTAATAATTTAGTGAAAGTGTATGTGTTGGGATGAAGTCCCTGAAAAATATATTTACATAATATCACAAGTATAAGATGTTATGGCAATGAAAAAATGAAAACCGTACTTTTAATTGACTGTTAGTAAAATTTAGAACTTCATCAGATAGAATTTTTGTACATTTCATCAAAGAATTTTTATCAAGAAATGAATTTAAATGATAAATAGACTCGCCAACATATTTTCTCTCTGGAAAACAAAATGCAGTTGATACATGAATGAAAACCTAAAAAAAAATATTTACAAACATATTTATTTTTGTTTTGAAATGAAGGTAATCAACTGCGGTAAATGACCTCTAGTAATTATTTGATATGATGTAAGATGTAAATTTAGTGTTTAGTTGGCTTGTGTTTTGCAATAAATAGTAAATGAAATAATATATTTATTTAACTATATAAATTAAGTTAATGAAAAATAAATAGTAAAATAAATTACTTGCTTTTAATTTATGCATTTTTGAACAAATTTCTAGTAAGCCAAATGTTCCACATGCATTTAGATTTGTCGCAGTTTTTAAATTTTCTGTAACTTTTATAGTTGCTGCACTGTGAAAAACTATATTTACGTTTCGTATTACAGTTTCCATATCATTCTTCGATAATCCTTATTGTGATGCACATACATATATACATACATATATAAATTTCTATTGTTTAAAAAAGTAGTAATGTAATTAATTGAACTATATTAAAATACCTAAACCAATTTTACTAATATCTCCTGAAAGATATTTGATTTTATTTAATAAAGAAGGTTTCCATTGTATTATTCGGTTAAAAACATGATGTTCTAAAAATTGTTTGTATCTTTGCTCTAAAGTCATTTCTCGTTTTGGACGTAACAATATATAAATTATTTTAATGTCGGGACATGATCTCAGAAGCTTTTCTACTAATGATTTTCCAACAAAACCAGTTCCTCCTAAGTATATAACATGAAATATTTAAATTAAAATTTTAAGATCTTCGGCAAAATTATTTTTTTTTTAAAATTTGCAATTACCAGTGATCAGGATTACAGAATTTTTATAAAACTCTTTAATACTATTAGCAGTTCCATAATTTTTATTATTATTATCAAAGTGGCGGCTTTCAAAAATTAAATCGTTTGCCATATTTGAACGAGTTATAAATGTGATTGCCAAAAGATTTATATATAATTTCTTTTGAAAAATAGTTTTCTGTATAAGTGTATAACTTTCGAAAAATTAAATTAATTAATTAAGTTTAGAAGTGATTGTTTCTTTTTATGTATGAACTTTGATATAGAAATCAAGAGGAATCACTTTCAGATTTAATTTATAATTAATGTACTTTTCACTATTAGAAAATATTTTTTTATTTTAATTTTAATATTTTACTTAAAATGAAAGTGCGCAAAACATATTGATAGTAGTTACTTTTATTGGTTTTTAAAATTTGCAGAACGTTATTACGGATTTGGAAAATTTTAGAAAACCAGTTTACAAAAATCACTAATAAAAACTCGAATTTTTCTTTGTTTTTTAATGAAATCATTTTTGGAAAAATTATTTCATTACTTCAAAAATCTTGTACATACATGTATGTATGAACATATTTATTTCATTTTTCGTTCATTATTGAACAGCTCTTTAAGACTTTTTTAATATTTTTAGCTCTTAAAAATCGATCATTGGTCGCAAAGAAATTGATAATAATTAGAATAATATGGGTAAAAAGAAAAGGTTTAGCTCAAAAAAGGCTTTGTGTATACTCTCTTTAAAGAAAAGCGCTCAAGTACGGAGTAGAGCGGGAAAAAAAGTAAATCAACATGTAGTTCCAAATTGGGATTCACAAATTTTTTCGTTTTACCTGTTGGATTTGCAAGTAATTTTAAATGAATTGGTTATACCTGTTTAGAGATTTGTCTCCTGCAAGTTATTTTAATTTTAAACATTACAAAAGTTAAATTTATTGTGTAACGTTTCATTTTTGTGGCCTTGCATTTGAGCCGTATCTGAATTGCGAATACCTATATAAAAATATTTTCACCGAATCGCTTTCTGTTGTCGTCTTATAGTTATTATGACACATTACTACAAAAAATGTGTCGGTATTAGAAAAAACAAACTTTTAGCCTTAGAAAACTGAATTTTAATTATATTTTATTTCATACGTACATATACAGTTTTGTATAAAAAAAGACTTGTGTATGCGTACAAATTTTTACCATGTTTACATGTATGTAAAAAATTGGATAAGTTTTTAATAAAGCTTCAAAAACTTGTAGCAAATTACACCAAAAATGAATAATTGAAAAATAATTTGAATCCAAAATATTCTGAAAACTAATTGCATTAAAAATATCAGTAATGTTTTTAATCTAACAAACTCTTACATTGTGAGCTTTCTTCTTGCGCTTGGAATACTATCATCTTCATCTTTCAAAATAAATTTCCGAATACCCATCATATAATTTAGCATGTAGTTATCGTAATTTAGTGTTTCAATGCTACAATTGAATTCTTCGCCATCAGTAGCAACATTCATTTGTTCACAAAGTTTTCTTTGATTTTTGTTGTCAAAAATCCAATCCCTTAAGGAAACATAGCTTCCTTTTGAATACATTAAAAATATAATTGCTTACATACTTAAAAATGTCGGTTTCGGATAAAAGTTTAAAAAAGTAAATAAGCAAAATGTCTGTATGTATATACGAGTATATTACCTTTAAGTAATGCGCCTTCAATTTGCTTTGCTATTTTCATAGAAACTGGTTTATAACCTTGCAGTAGTGATATTAAATCTGTTATAATTGCTGGAATATAATGTAGTACTATTAAAATGATGTAATGAAAAACTAGATTTTTTGTATAGTGAAAACGTGGATATAAAATCAAAAACTTGGTTGGATTAATTCGAGCCCATTTGATTGTGTAATTTCTTAAAGTTTTCCATGTTATTGGTTGTATTTGGCCAGATGTGCAATTAAATACTTTAGTTGAACTTAAACTTACAATAAAAATAAAATATAGGTTAAAAATTGTTATAGAATTCTTTGTCCAATTTAATTTACATACTTCGATTGTCCAATATCCCATGCTGCGCCTATCATACTCTTTACAACAATATCAACTGGGATTATATCACATATGAGATTTTCATTTGCCTATAAATACATATTTGTCTGTTATGTATTACATGCATATGTACATACATATATTATTTTAATATGAATAATGATGATGATTACGAATATTACAAATGATTTACATATGAATCTGTGGTTGCAAGCAAAAACGGACTAAGTTGACCTTTGAATTTAATTATAAATTTTTCCATAGAAATGTTTTTTGAATATCTTATAAAATTTTTATAATTTAAATTACATATATTAATTTACCATGAATTAATTTTACAATTTGTGTTATAATTTTACGTATTGAATTTGACTTTATCAAAAATCTTAATTGGTTTCCGTTTTGACGAAAATTTAAAACAATTATTTTGAAAAATTTCTCTTTAAATTTGAAGCCGTGTATGTGCATATCCAGTTAGGTACCTACATTTAAAACTTATTTAAATCAAATTCTTTGTAGTTTATTATTTACCAATACTGTTGAAATTGTTCCACGACCAATTTCCATTAATATTCCTGTTAGACCTTGAATATTATCAACCTAAAAAAGAAATTCAATTCTTAAATCAATTACAATTTTATTTACCATTATTGAATTTAATAATAGATTTTTGTAGTAACATAAACTATACACGTAGAACTTCATGTTTGTACACCAAAAAACAAAAACACTATGAATTCTAGTTAATAACTGGTAGAGGGCAAAATTTCAAATGAGTATTCTAAATATTCTAGAATTTTTCCGTTTATAGAAAATAATAGAAGGTACTGTTATAATAAAGAAGCTGATTTATCATATCCTTTATTATGATTAAAATAGACATAAAGTCTTATTATTAGGTCTTGACTACTCTCATTAAAAAACTAGCTAAAGTTATTTTTAATCCGATGACGGTCTTTTATTAATTTTGTTTTCCTTTTCTGCTCCCTTTGGGAGCATAGGGCATCTACAAATCTTCGCCATCTGACTCTGTTCTGCACCATTTCTTTTATTTCGGATCATGTTTTGCGGGCGCCCCTCACTTCTTTTTCTACTGAACTGCGCCATGTTTCTTAGGGCCTACCTACTCTCCTTTTATCCTGTGGATTCCATTCAAGGCCCCTTCGCGGAATGCTGCTTACTGGCCTCCGAAGTGTGTGGCCTACCCAGCCCCACTTCCTTCTTCTGATCTGGGCGTATACTGGTCCCTGCCCTGTTAGTTCTCAGAGATCTTTATTGCTTATAGTTCTCGGCCAGAATATTCCGCATATTATTCGTAGGCATCTATTTATGAAGGTCTGCACCTTATCTATTTAGCTCTTCCTCACTAACCAGGTTTCGCTGCCGTACACCGATTTGACGCACGCGTCGAAGATTCTTATTTTTGCGCCCCTTGCTAAGTGACGCTGCTTCCAAACCGCCCATAGTTTTCCGAATGCCCTCCTAGCAAGTCTAAGTCTGTTCTCTATGTCTCCTTCAGCGCCCCCATCTGTAGTAACTATACTACCCAGGTAACAGAACTCGGAGACATTCTCTATGTTCTTGTTATTTATCTACAGAGGGATCGTTGTTCCTTCATTAATTCTTAGGCATTTTGTCTTGCTTGTGTTTATACTAAGACCTACTTCCGCTCTATCAGAGGTCGCATGCCACTTGATTAAGCTTTTGTTTAGCCGTTCAGATATTATTAGTCCAACTCCGCCTTCGGTGTTGTTATACCTGCAGTATATTAGAGTATTTCCTTCTAAAGTTATCATTTCTCCAGTGCCAGGCCATCTCATTTCGCTCATCCCAAGAATTTCAACCCCGTAGCTTGACATTTCTCTTTCAACTTGCGCTAGTCTTGCTGCTTCTTTTAGTGTTCTTACATTCCCGTCTCATATTTATTTTTTTTTTTTTTCCTTTGTTCACTCCTAGAAGGAGCATAGGGCTAGTGCATGATTTCTCATGCACTAGTTTCATAGCGTCATAGGGTTTAACTAGGTAGGTGACTAGCCTGCCGTAGTTTTAATTTATATATTAATTATTTGAGGTTATTATTTACTGTTTATTTTTCTTAGTTTTTTTTTTTTTTTTTTTTTTAATATCGAATATTAGGAATATTTGAAAATTACTTGTATAATATTTTTATTAGTATTGTATATTAAGTTATAATAATATTGAATATAATTTTTATAGTGACCTGACCAGGGTTTGAACCCGAGACCCTTCGGTTAAAGGACCGGTGCCATAACCACTGCACCAATGGTCAGATGTCTCATATTTATACAAGATAAAAATTCATCTTACATAATATTATTAAAAAATTATACAAAATTAATTTTTTGACTTACCCACCCTGGAGTAGGTTCTTCGACAGCAGCTGTTATAATTGAAGGACGAATTATTCCTATCGGAAATTTACAACTGTATTCATTTACAATTTGTTCAGCGATTGATTTAGCGAAAGTGTAAGTATTTGGATGAAGTTCCTAAAAGTATGTACAATATTATTATGATTTTATTATTGCTTAATAATTTAGTACTAAAAATACGAAAATCGTACTTTTAATTCATTGTCATCAAAGTTTGGAACTTCATCCCATAGGATGTTTGTGCATTTCATCAATGAATTTTTATCAAGAACCGAATTAAAATTATAAACAGACTCTTCAACATATTTTCTCTCTGGAAAGCAAAAAGCAGTTGATACGTGAATGAAAACCTAAAAAATATTTACAAACATATTTATTATTATTTTGAAATGAAGGTAATCAACTGCGGAAAATGACCTCTTTAGTAATTATTTGATATGATGTAAGATATAAATTTAGTGTTTAGTTGGCTTGTGTTTTGTAATAAATGGTAAATTATATAATATATTTATTTAACTCTATAAATTGATTTAATGAAAAAAAATAGTAAAATAAATCACTTGCTTTCAATTTATGCATTTTTGAACAAATTTCCAGTAAGCGTAATGTTCCACATACATTCGAGTTGATAGAATTTTTCAAACTTTCTTTAAGATTTACAGTAGCCGCACTATGAAAAACTATATTTACGGTTTGAATTATAGTTTCCATATCTTTTTCAGATAATCCTATTAATGGTAATAATAAAATTGTTTTACCTCTCAGCGTAACGCATATATGATTATACTTACCTAAGCTATTTTCACTAATGTCTCCCGAGACGTATTTGATTTTATTTAATAAAGAAGGTTTCCATTGTATTATTCGGTTAAAAACATGATGCTCTAAGAATTGTTGATATCTTCGCTCTGGAGCAATTCCTCGTTTTGATCGTAATAAAATGTAAATTGTTTGAATATCTGGACACGATCTTAGCAGTTTTTCTACCAACGCTTTCCCGATAAACCCAGTTGCTCCTTTATATAATATATAAATAGAGATGTGTACATAATATTATATTAATATTTAAAAGCTAAACATATTTCTTGAAATTAATTATTATACCAGTAATTAGAATGACAGAATTTTTATAAAATTCTTGGATGCTGTTGACTTTGCCATGATCATTATCAAAGTTTTTGCTTTGAAAATTAAGATTTCTTGTCATTTTTTACTGCAAAAATATAGTCGTATATATACATTATACATATGAACGTATGTAGGTACATGAAAGTAATAAAATATCTTCTTATATGAATAAATGTATACATATATATATAGTTGTATATGTATTAATACAAAATGCAATACTCGTACTTACCTACTAAATTTTTAATAATTAAAAATTATTTTAATTTTTCACAAAATTTTTTTCGCTAACTAAATATTTGGTATTAATAGCTTTAGTTATTATTATGAACTGCTTTTCAAATTAAAAAGTATTAAACTTTATTTTGCAATATTATAAAAAAAAAATTGTATTTAGCTCGTGAAAATACAAAACCGGATTTTCAAAAAAATTATTTCTGCTTGTTGATATTGAATCAAATTATTAATAGTTATTGAATTTTAATTAACAAATTTAAAAAATTAATTTGCATTTTCATCGCTATTAAGGACCTAACGTCAATTCGAATATAAAAATCGCTCATCATTTTCATTTCATACTTTTTTTCATATATATTTTTTACATGTAGCTGCATTGTACCATAGCTGTACAATGCAGTTGAAGTAATATTGACCCTCTCCGCACTATTCATCTTCTTCATTTTAAGCAATTTTCAAAAAAAAAAAATTGAAAAAAAAGTATTAGTTTACAGTACGTCCGTCCACCTATTATCGGTGAATCTGTTCATAAAACTTCTGCACTTAAGCTGACATTTTGTATACAAATAGAATAAAAGTATAAATCTTTAAAAAAAAAAACTAATTTCACTAGAAGAAAATTTTGAAGTATCTGCAAACGCAGAAAAGTAGTAACTGGTTAGTATGCTGTTGAAGTTAATCGTTATCTCAAGCAAGTTTTTTTTTCAAATTTCCGATATTGATTTTCTAGCAGTTTTTAAACTCTAATAAATAGTTTATTTTTTTTTTCCTTTTCTACTCTCTTTGGGAGCATAGGGCATCTACAAATTTTCGCCATCTGACTCTGTTCTGCGCCATTTCTTTTATATTTTAGATCACACCATGTTATCTAAAATATATATTCTAACCATGGATATATTACACTATATGGACAGTGAGTTGTAGAAATTTTTTGAGGCCAGTATAGAATATAATTTATATGTTGTAACATAAAAAGTGGTTGCGAGCGTAAGCGTAATATGCATGTAGATTGTTTTTAAATGCATTATTTTCACTTGTTCAAGAAAAGCTGCTGGCTTACAAACCATTGATTTGATTCAATTTTATTCTTTCTTCATTTAAATATCGTTTCTGTTAAAGTAGATTCTTTTTGTATGTAAATATACGTGTTTTTGAAGTTAAATTTTAGAATATAAGAAAAAATGGGTACAATATTGTCAAGTTTCATTTAGTTAATAACTTGAGTTCTTTTAACTCTCTTTTTTCTCATAACAAGCATTTTGGGAAGTGAATTTCTTAAATTCTCACAAAGAATAGGAGAAAAGATTCTTTTGACACCATCGTATCGGTATTACAAACCTAACGACATTATTTTGTGCTCATAACGTAATTTACATAAATTTAATATGCAAAATTTAGTATAATAAAACCGCAATGAAAAAATCTGAAATTTTGTCAATTTGCATTTTTCTACTATCTTATAAATTTAAACAAACTTTAGTGCTACATTAAAAAAAAAAAAACAAAAATATACTATTAAAAAATTTATTTTTTTGCTGATTAATTATCAAGATTTCGCGGCTTTTTTCTTTGCTTTGAAAGACAAAATATAATTATGAAATTTAATTCACTTTACATGATCTTAGATCTATATTTAAAATAAATTTTGTAGGGATATAAAAAAAATTTAAGCTAAGTTTGTTTTAAAAAAAGTCTCAAAAAACTTTAAGCATATTAAAATTACAATGAAAAATTGGAAGATAGTTTGTATCCAAAGTATTCTAAAAGCACAAAAAAAAATTTACATTTTATACAATTTTTAACAAAAACAGAAAAATTTTACCTTGCCAGTTTTTTTCTTGCACTTGACATGCTATCATCTTCATCTTTCAAAATAAATTTCCGAATACCCATCATATAATTTCGTATATAGTCATCGTAATTTAGTTTTTCAATGTTACAATTGAATTCTTCGCCATCAGTAGCAGCACTAATTGTTTCACAAAGTTTTCTTTGATTTTCATTATCAAAAATCCATTCCCGTAAAGAAAAGAAGCTTCCTTTTTTATATACACATTTATATTATATTACAAAAGTTAAGTTCTCAATTAAAAATATTATAAAAAGTATGTTAAAAATTACAAGTTAAAATGAAAAATATCATCACCTGTGAGTAAAGCAGCTTGCAACTTTTTTGCTATTTTGAAGGAAATAGGTTTATAACCTTGCAGTCTCAGTATAAGATCTATACTTATTGCTGGAATATAATGTAGCAGTATTAACATTGTATGATGAATAAAAATGTTCCTACTGTAACGAAAACGTGGATACAATACTAAATATTTTGTTGGATTCATTCGTGCCCATTTGGTTGTGTATATTCCTAATCTTTTCCATGTAATTGGCTGTATTTGACCAGATGTGCAATTAAAAATTTTTACTGAATTTAAACTTACAAAAAATATAAAACAGAAAAAAAATTATTAAAATATTATGAATAAACTTTCATTTATATACTTTGATTTTCCAACATCCCATGCTGCACCTATCATACTGTTAACAACAATATCAATTGGGATTATATCACATATCAGATTTTCATCACCCTAAATTGAAAAAATATACGAAATTTTGTTTTGAAATTGCTAAGATAGAAAGACATCTGAAAAGATTGCATGCATAAAAGAAAGATTTCATGAATTAATTATTATTTTTTTCTTTAAAAGCACCAAATATTTTTTTGATCAACAAAAGATCATGCTAATGCTTTCATGAAATCACAATAACTAATTAAATTAAACATAATCCCTAAATTTGAATTTTTTTATTTTCTTAGGATATTGACATCGCTCTGAGAAAAAAATGGGATTGGAGTACGCTAAGATGTTAAAACTTCATTTAATCTAATTTCGAATTTTAAAGCTTATAACATTCATTGACCAGTATAAAAATTTTAATGAAATTTATTATCAACCTTAATGTGAAGTAAGGTTTCCAATTATTTACCAATATCGTTGAAATCGTTCCTCGCCCAATTTCCATCATTATGCCAGTTATTCCTTGAATATTATCAACCTTAAAAAATAATTTTTGAATCATCTTCATATAATATCATATCACAAAAAGTTAATTAAGCTAATTTATCAAACAAAATTTTAAAATGATAAGTTCTGGAAGTTTGTAATATGCAAACATAAAAAATAATTAAGTTTTAGTAAAACATATACTCGTAATTGCATTTACCCATCCAGGTGATGGTTCTTCGACAGCAGCCGTTATAATTGAAGGCCGAATTATTCCTATAGGAAAACGGCAACTATATTCACTTACAATTTGTTCAGCAATTGATTTAGTGAAAGTATATGTATTTGGATGAGGTCCCTAATAGATAAAGGTATAATGAATGTAATATAATTAATTTTATTTAAAAATACAAATATTAATTGTACTTTTAACTGATTTTCAGTGAAATCAAGAACCTCATTTGGTAGAATACTTATGCATTTCATAAAAGAATTTTTATCAAGAAATGAATTTAAAGAATATACTGACTCGCCGACATATTTTCTTCCAGGATTGCAATATGCAGTTGATACATGGATAAAAACCTGAAATTTAATAAAATGAAATTATAAAATTCCTACAATTACTAAGGTAAATATAATTTACTTTTAGTTGAGGCATTTGTGAACAAATTTCCATTAAACGTAAAGTTCCATACGCATTTAAATTTCCTGCATTTTTTAAACTTTCAGTAAATTTCACAGTTGCAGCACTATGAAAAACTATATTTACATTTCGAATTATTGTTTTCATGTCATTTTCTGACAATCCTAAAATTATAATTAAATTTTCTTTACACTAAAATTAAAAAACATAAGCATCTATACCAATAAATTACCTAATCCATTTTTTGTAATATCTCCAGGTAGACATTTAATTTTATTCAACAAATTATGTTTCGATTTCTTTAATTTATCAAAAACATGATGCTCTAAGAATTCTTTATGCCTTTGATCTGTAGATAATCCACGTTTTGGACGTAATAGAATATAAATAGTTTGAATATCTGAACATGATCTTAAAAGTTTCTCCAGTAATGCCTTTCCTAAAAAACCAGTTCCGCCTAAAATATAAATATTATATGTATATATAAATGTTAATAAACATAATTAATAATTTAAATTAATTAATTTAATTGTTTTTAATTACCCGTAATTAAAATTACAGAATTTTTATAAAATTCCTTGATATTATTAATACTACGGCAATTATTATTATCATTATGTAATTTTTCGTTTTGAAAACATGTTTTACAAATTGATTCTGCACAAGTTGTCATATCAGAAGGACTAAAACAATGAATATATTTTTAAATATTATTATAATAATTAATTTGCATACAAATACAATAGAATAAACAATACAGAATTAGAAGAAGGAATATGATTCAGAATATTAATTTTTCGTAATTGCATAACTATGAGCGCTTAATATTAATTTTCGAAATTATACACATACAAATACACATTAAATTGACTATTTCATATTCTTCTTAAAATTATTACTCGAGCAATAAATATAAAAATAACCAATGAATATTTCATAACAATTTTTTTTTCGTTTTTTTTTTATTTATTACATAAAAATGCTGTGTTACGTATTCCTTATTGCAATTTTGTAAAATTTTTTAAGTACAATTTTCAAATTCAGTGATTTAACTCCCATAATATTTTTAAATATTTGAATGAAATATGAATTTTATTGCAATTTCAATTAAATTATATACAACTTCTTTAATTTTAATAATATTTATATGAAATTCTAAATTTTACTTACAAACTAGTACAAAAAGAAAACTAAAATAAATAAGTTTTGTAATAAAATTATTGATTTTGAATTTTCCTTTCACCGATAGTGGATGTTACAACTCTACTGAATCCATTGATTTAATTCACCATTAGAAAGTTTATTTTTTTTAAGCAAAATATTAATTGGTATCTAAATGAAACTTGCATTTTGAAACCTGATCATATTTATTTACAATTTTCATTGCACTCTCGCATTTGCATTATTTATTTTAACATTTATATACATATATTGCACACACAATTAAGGCATATATATATATATATGTATGTCTGCATCATGAGTATGTATATACATATATTTTTCGCATTATTAGAAAAGTCGAGAAAATTTTACTATTTACTATTTTTGGAGAAAAGAAGTATATATGTATGTATGGCTTTATATGTATACACTTGTATTTTCTTTTTACTATTGCAAGGTGGTTTTTCCATATGGTATTTCAAATTTGTTTAATCGTTTATAAACCCGATTAACTTTGTTCAATCATTTATAAATATTTATTTTTTTTTATTAAAAAAAGAAATTAAAATATTTTTGTTTAATAAAATAAACTTTAATAAAAATGAAAATTGCGAAAATAAATTTGCTATTGCTTTTTTTTGTACCCCGAGAACAGCCATGCTGTCGGGCAAAATATAGATCTTGCGTCCTTCTTATACATCTACAAGCACATTTTTCTATGATATTTTCTTTGAAACTTTTCTATGAAATTTTCAAGATTTTAAGTAAATCAAGATTTTTATTAATCTTCAAATTTTTAGTAAATTTTTTTTTTTTTTGAATTTTAACACAAAGCCTATTTTAGTCGGGCAGTCTAACTAAAAATTTCCTCATGATTATGATATATTAAAGAAAATTATTTAATATTAAGTAAATCTAATTCAAAATAGTTTACAATATTATAGTTTCATATTATACACATATGCATAGTTGAAATGTGAATGTATAAGTGTACTTATACATATGGGAGAGTAATTTGTTATATTCACGCTACTTACTCTTTATTTGTGATTCCATAACTTCAAAGATCTTTAAACACCGCGGTTATTTCATTGAAAAATTTTGCAAGAGAAAAACAAGCTTGAAAATTTCATGCTATCTTAATAAAGAAAAAAAAATTATTATAAAATTTTATATATGATTGCGGCGCAATAGCTTTTATAAAAATTTATTAATGAGGAAATGATAAAAATTTGTTTTATAAAAGGTAAAAAAAATTGAAATTCAAAATAATATGGCAATTCCATAAGTTTTAGTAAATTTTTATTTTATTGTACATACATACATCTATTAGTAAATTTCCCACCAAACTAGAAAATAAAAACATTTAAATTACTTTAAGAATAAAAATTTCATTTAAATTAAATGTAAATATATGTGTGTGCATATATGTCTGGAATACAATTATAAATTCCCAAGTCCTGCCGGTTGGCCCGAGTGATTTTTATGCCCAAAATAGGTAATATGGACTTGACACCTAAGTCATTCAGGCCAATCAGTCTCAAGTCATTTGACTATTGAAAGCGATGGTCTGCAAATGATCCACGACAAAAGTGATACGCTTCACTAGGAGAAGAATGTTCGGCCACTTGCGTGCGATCCGTGTACATGCAGAGGAGGTGTGAATCAAGAATGAAGTAAAATGCCTAGAAGTTATAATAGTTTATAATAAGAAGAATGTAGTACGATTCTTACCTTGACTTACGAGGCGTAGGCATGGAGCGAAAGACCTCCCTCAAGACTACCAGGAGGGTTTTAGCAAGTTTCAGACTTGCCGTTTTCCCAAAGACGGTATGATTAAGAGTTACAGCTTTGAGAAAAATTTTACCTTAAAACTGCGGACAATAGGACGGGGGGGGGCCTGGAGGAGTGAATCCTTACAATATCTGATGGGGTCGCATGCCACAAAGTGGTATTGATGCGTCGAGATAGGTTTCTCTGAATATTCATAAATACATATAATATGTATCAACATGTGCACATACATATATCATATATACCAACATGGTAAATATGGTAAAAATTTACTGCTATATGAAAATAATGAATAAAAACAAACTTCTTTAGTAGATAATACAACTAAAATTTGAACTTTATTGAATTATTTATAATACAATTATATTTTTTTTTATTATCTTAATTTTATGTTGCTGCAATGAATGTCCAAAAGCGGTTAACTTATAATTATATATGTATATACATATATATATATATATATATATATATATATATATAATATATATATAATATATAATAATATATATATATTATATATATATTATAATATATATATATATATATATATATATATATATATATATATTATATACATATATATTATACGAAGTTATTTAAGTAAATTTATTATTTATTAAAACAAAAAATATTGACTTAGGTAATTTTGTAATGTGCATTGAAATTTCATTATAATAATATTTTTTTTAATATATTTTTTTTTTTTTTGCAAAAATGAAACACTTTAATTTATTTTGAATAAAAGTAAGATTAATTTCTTTATATTAATTGCTCCAAATAATGAAATTTTTATTTATTTTTTGGGGTAATTTACATCATATAAAATCGAATTAGGAGATCTTAAAAAATTAAAAGTTATTCAATTTTATCGCGATAATAACGGAAGTTTATTTAACATATTAAAAGATTCATAAATTCTTTTGGAATATTTTAAATATTTTTCAAATCTAAAAAATTGTAAAAACTCCAGTTTTTTTTTTGTTTGGAAGAGGCTAAAATTAAAAGCATGATAACTGTGTAAAGTTTATTTTATATAAATTCACGCTTTCCATTTTAATATTTTTTTATTTATAATGTTACTGATTTTTTTTCATATTCAAATAAAGGGCGTCTACCAAAATTCAGATGTAATGTCAACTTGGCTTATCCAAGAATACTGTTTCGATTAATGAATAAGTCAATTTCACGTTAGATCTGGATTTTTGTAGGTACCCTAATTTAATTTTACTCATAAATTTCATTTGTTATTTTTAAATTATTTTATTTTGTAAACCAATTTAGTATAGATATGTATATGCAGACACTCATTTTATGTGTTTAGTTTTTAACTAAAAATACTTATATGTATATTTTATATAATAACATCTGTTTTGTTTCTCTATACATCATTTTTTGAAACAGTTATATAATATAATGTAATTTCAAAAATTAAATTATAATAAATAATTTTTTATTATTGTCATATTTAAATATTATAATAAATTTGTGTGTATTATAACAACATAAATAAAATAAACAAGTTTAATTATTATTATAATTTTTAAAATAATTTTTATATAAATTTTATAGTGACATCTATATTATTATAAACGTATTTATTGATTTGCATATTTATAATAATAATAATTAAATAAATAAATTATCAATGAAAGTAATTTTAACACTTTGATCTTTTATATAAGAATAACGTAATTTTAGCACATTTGAACGAATCACCTTTTCAATCATGTAAATATAGTAATAAAATAATATTTAATGATATTTATTAATCATACATTTTTAACAGATTTAAAAAAATTTATTTAATTCATAAATATTTTATTAAATTAAAAGAAAGAATCAAATACGGATGTTATGTTATTTTCTTTACAATATTTATTTTTTTCATAATATAATTGTGCTATGTAAGCATAAAGCTTTCTAGATAGATACCCTGAGATATAGCAATTCCAGTATATTTTGATACACAATTCAATTCATAAATGGTAATTCTTGAATTGTGTATGTATATAATAATAAAATATTGCTGGCATTACAATTTTGAGGACTCATACATATTATATGTACATTTTTCTATTTTTGATGATATGTCATTTTATGATATTTTCATTTTATATTTGATATGTGCAGACGAACCTTTACTTGTTCTCTATATAACTAGAGACATTTCATCATTTATTTTTCAATATAAAAAATACGTATGTATGTATATTTTTTTTAATTTTTATTATATATTTATATATATTGAAGTGAAATTAATTCAAATAATTTTGAAAAAAAATTTTTATCATTTAATAAAAAGTAAATGATATGCATGTTTTTATAGAAAATTTAATAAATGTAGAAAGAATAATAAATTGTTATACAATGTAAATAAAATGTAAAAGTTAAATATTATTATTAGTTTTCAAAAATTAAAAATTCTTTAACAAAGCCAAAACTCTAGAAATGGTAAATTGAAACAATTATTTATAAATTTAACAATATTATTTAAAATTCTTACTAGTAATTTGCGGAATAGGATCTTTTCTATATTCATACGTTCGTTATTATCAATTATTGTTTATAATTTTTTAAAACAATTGATATTTTGTCAAAATAACAAGCCTCAGCTCTATGCAATATTTAAATTAAAAGTAGGACAGCCTCAAGGGAAAAAATGTTAAAAAAACACGAAATTTCATTTTATAATTTAATTTTTACATATGATAAATTATTTTTGTTTTAAAGAGAAATTTTATTACCTCAGAACTAATGTCAATATTCTAAATCCGAAAACGAATTCGAAATACCTCAAAAATAGTACATGCCCAAGCTTAAAAATAAAATATTTATTATTTAAACACGAATGTAATTGTTTCTATTGAATGCTAAGTGTTGCAGTCATAAGATTTGCCAATCAAAGCAACGAACGCATGTTAAAATCTAAGTAAATTGTAAAACACGGTTGTATTGTTCTCTCAATTCAAGAATTAATTGCACTATAAGCAGTTAGTACGTTTTATATATTTATTCTATAATGTTATCTAAAATTTTAATTGACTATTTTTTTTTTTTCAAATATTTTATAACGTTGTTAATTATTATTTACTTAAAACTAAAAATTTATCAAGATTATTGTCTTTTTTTTATTATTTTTAAATTATATTTATGTATATGTAGTCTTGATAAAATTGTAATAAATTGTGGATAACTTTTATTGGTATGTTTAACAAAATCTTTCCTATTAAATAATTTCTTATACTTTTAAAAATTAACAAAATGTTCATCTCAATAATCTGTTATAAATACTCCTAGTTTTATTTATATAAAAACATATTTATAAATTTAATATAACACGATAAGTGTCAATTAAACAATGTTATACTAAATTTAATTTAAATTTAAAGAATAAATTAAAACTTCAACAAATTAAAATTTGGACGAAAAATACAAAAAAATTATTTTTTTTATTTATTGTTTTTATGATGACTTTACAATATCGCCAGTAATAATCTTATTGTCTTTATTTTTCATTGACAATTCTTCATTTTTATTGGCAATTACAATGAAAAATAAAAGCCTATACGGTCATTATCTAAATTTTTACAACATAATGTATAAATAATTTTTAAACATAGTTTTGTATGTTGTTGAGAAAATTATAATTCTAATTTGATTATGTGTTTAATTACACGATATGTGCTTTATGCATTTAATCATTAAGCGTTCAATAATTTAATAACAAAGAATTAAAAAAAAAATTAACCTATTTATATACATATATAGTTTTTTTACCTGTAAATTAAAATATATAAATGCTATGTAAATATCACGTTTAATAGATTTAAACTAACTTATTTTTTTTTATAACATCAATTTATCAAATTTCAATGTGAGTTTTATATTAATTTAATTTGTTAATTATTAACAGTCAAGAATTTTTCATCAATCAAATCAACAGTTTCCATAAAATTTTCTTTCTCGGTTTGAGTTTATTCAAAAAATATAAAAAATTAAGTGCACAAAATGCAACGTAAAAGTATTAACCTTTTGACTAATCTAAAATTCTATTATTTTGTGGTTTTTAGCAGAGTATTACTATTTGTAAGGTGAGTATAATCAATTGGTAATGATAAAAAATAAATAACCAAAAATTATATTCAAACGTAAATAGGTATGCATATAATTTCGTTAAAAATATTTCTATTTTAATTTTTAAAATTCGATTTAATTCCTTTTTAATCCAGTTTGCAATACATGAAGTCTATCTAATGCCAACTTAACTTATTCTGCAATAGATTTTGAATTGCTGAATATCCTAAATTGTTATTAAATTTCAAAATATCTATCCTATTTAATGAATAGCGTCATAACCATGTAAAAAAAAAACAATTGGAATAAATTTATTAATACTCGTATTACTTGAAAAATTTGTGCAATTTATTCTACGACACCCTACAGTCATACTGAAAAAAAAAACATAATGTATAAAAATATCTATGAAATTTTTGTTTTTAATAATTCACTTAATATCTAAATTTTGATACTGTTTATAGTTTTTAGAAATTTCAATGCACTTGAATTCAAATGAATATGTAGCTAGGCCTAATATTTCTTCAGATGTTTTTTTTTGTTTTTATTATTTGCTTAAAGTTTTTATTGTTTTCTTTCGATAAAACTTATAATCTAAAATTACAATTACAATATTTTTGACAGTAAAAATTTTCTTTTTTTTTCTAGTTTCAATTTTTAAAATATCAATAAATTTATTGTCATTTTTGTTCGTTATATGTATAAGAGTTGATATTTTCATTTTATTTATTTTTTTTTTTTTATTGTCTAATATTTTTGTGCTTTTATTAATTGTTTTTAATAGTATAATTAACAAAATATAAATTATTGTCATTTTCACAATGTCTTCTTAATTTATCATGTAATAATTCTAAATTTCCTATAAATAACGATTTTATTGTCATTGTTATCCATAATTAATTATTATCATGCAAAAATTTATCCATATAGAATTCTTATTTAAGAAATGAAAAAAATTTCAAAAGAGAAAATTATGTTAAATATTTAAGTATGTATAACAAAAAAAAAGTTATTATCTTATTCTCTATTTCATGTTTTTGATTTTTTAGATATTTGGGCAGAATAAAAGTATACTCAAAATCATAATGAATAAATTTTGGTTACTTATGTTTTTATATGCAAAATCAGTTAAAAATGTTTGATTTATCACCGTAATCTGCCATCCCATGTTTTTTTCTGAAAAACACTTGTAATAAAAAAATTTTTTTTTAATATTTTCATAAAAATTCATGTTTTGGGAATGAATATTTTAATGGATTATGTGTCTAGCTACCATTGAGAAAAATATAAAAAATTTATACTTTATATATGTATGTATGTAGCAATATTGTACAAATAGTTAATTATATTTCTACTTTTAAGTTCAGTCTATAATTCTGAAAAAGTTGCAAATGCCTGATTTAAACTGTGTCTATAACAGTATTTCATTCTATAGTTAAATGTATGTAAATACTTAAATTTATTTTCAAATTTGACGAACTAAATGTGAAATAAAATTTTCATACTTAAAATTAAATATTAATCTTATTACCTGATAATAAAGTAAATCTGGTGCATCTAAAGGAACTGTCCAATTTAAAATACCTGGTTGTCCTTCTTCACAATCTTCTTTAAGGGACGATTTTAATTCATTCTTTGACAAATCTTGTAATTGTATATCAAAATCTACTGTATATATGCAAAATTGGCCAACTATAAATATAATAAATTGAATTTTATTAATATTAAAAAAAAAAAAATAAATTTCTTACCTCCAGTTGGTATTAAATAACCTTCAGGACTGGTTTCAATACCCAAGTAAAATACATGATTTTTCAATTCATCAGGTAATTTGTATTTTATATTGCCCTCTGGGGAATTTGTGATATAAAATGGATAATACCTATAATAATCAAAAAACAAAAACAATTTTTTCAGTTCGGAAATGACCCAATAAAAATTAAAATAATTTTTTTGCGTAATAAGATTTGACAAATTAAGTGACTTCATTGAGAATTATTTGAATTTAATAGTATCTTTGACTTTGACATTCTTAATTTTAGTTGTACTCAAAATTTCATATTAAATATTTATACTAGAAATACGAGATTACATTTTTAATTTTTTTAAACTTTTCGAGCTAACCTTTTTGATACTTCCTCATCAAATCCAGTTTCAATGACAAAAGTATATGTTTTTCCTCTTTCAACGACTATTTCAGGTGCCATTAATCCATTTATATAATAGACAACCTCTAGAGACCACCGACCATAAAGTATTTTATTTCTTTTATCCAAATTCGGTCCAACTCTAACATAAAATGTATCAACATCTTGTAATATATTATCAGGCCATATTGGAATCTCTTCGGTGATAGTGTATAAATTAACACGACAGTCATCGTCATACTAAAATGGCAAACATAAATTATTATGGTAAAAGAAATTTTTGTTTTCTTTTTTACAGCTTGTGAGAAATTTATCTTGATTGCTCTTTGAATTGCTTCTACAAAACTGGTCGAAAATTTAGGTTTCTGAGTTGAATCTAACATTCCAATAAATCCAAATACCGTCATATGGCTATTTATCATAAAATCTTCATCAGCAAATGGTTCGTTCGTTTGAAGTAATCTCTTGAATTTTATTATTGTAGTACTATTTTTCCGATCACCAGTTACTTTTAAAGAAATTTAAAATTATAATCAACAATTTGAAATATATACTAAGAAAACCGAATTACATAGCATTATATCATTTTTTCCACCATAGTACGAGTCCTGACAAAGTCCATGCTTTCCATCACATTCACTAAATTGTGATATAAAGTAGTCCTCTACAACGAAATTATTTAATTGAACATCAAAATAAGCGATTACTATATCTGCCCCATTTTCTTCTACATTAGATGATTTTGAAAAACCCAATAGCATGAACTGGTCATCAAGAATTCGTCCTAATAACTCAATTTCAATGTAAGTGCTTCCAATTTCCCACTTTATTTGCATTCGTTTAGGTAAGAGAGTGCGACAGTTTTTAACTTTCGGTGATGACGTTGTAGACGTTGTTGTGGTAGTCTAAAATTTTAATATTAAACCTTTTTTCATTTAACCATTTAAAACAAAAATATTTCTTACCGGTTTGTACCACCATGGTGGCTAAAATACAAAATAAATAAAAGGTTTCAATAAAAATTTTAGATTAAATACAAGATCAGTTACAGTTAATTTTGTTTGTCCTAAAGCCGGGGGAACATCCAATAAATCTTTTGGTATCAGAACGTGTCCAAAGTTTTGTCTATAACTAATTGACCAAATTGATATCCAATCAATATTGTGAACAGTTAGCGAACCTGGCAATTGAATTTCAATGTCTTCCCCTTGATAAGCTCTCAAAGAATCATAAAGACCCATTTCGTTTGGGACCTTTGTTATATTTAATATAGAAAATATTGGTATAGAACTTTATATTTTTAATCAAGTCATTTATGAAAAATTTACTTTTATTCCCATAATATTTGGTTCAGATCCGTTTCCGGCCCAGAAGTAAGACTCAATTTCTCCATCAAAGTGAAAATTAGGAACATAGAAAGTTTTCGCATCAAGGACACTTACGTTACTAGAACGAACACCATGTGCTAGACGTTTGAATTCTTGAAGAACCCTAGGTTTTGGAACATCCAAACCTACAGGAATAAAAACTTCGCCCAAATCAAACTGAAACAAATAACACGAGAAAAATTTTAAATTGCAATCACAACTTCTTGCATTAATGCATTAACAAAAATGAAAATAAATATGTGCCATAAGAAACTTGACTAGAAAATTTAGTTTTAAATTGTTATGCAGGGTGTGTCGCATACGGTGGCATAAAAATAATTTCTGAAATAATTGAAAAACAGATTCTGAAATTTTTTGCCACTATATGCGATACACCTATATAATTTTTAAGCTTAACGGAAATATTCATAGTAAAATTACCGTAAATCTTGGACACCAGATAGCCAACCATCTTATATCTTTTATACGTTTTCCCATCGGAAGTCTAAGAATAATATTGGTTTTATTGTGGGCTTGAAGAGTAGGCGGATTCCTAAAAGAAAAAAAATCAATATTACTACAAATATTTTCGGCATAATTAAATATTAATTTCGATTGTTTGAATTAAGATTATAAAAATATTAATAATTCTTTCATTAAAATTCAAAATTAGGATAACTTACAGTCCATTGTATTCTTCAGGGTAAGGAATAATATAACCTTCTGGGCTAGGACGCGCAGTTTTTCCTACCCAAAAGTATGCATCTGGTCCTGTTCCATCATATTCAAAACCTTTGATAAATATCGTTGATTCATCTACTGCGTAAACTGAGCCCTAAATAAAAAAAAATATATTAAAAATACCATTTTCATGTTTTTTAGTTTAAAATACCTTAATCCCGTGGTCATACTGATTCAACTTTCCAATGAATTTACCATAATATGGAGATGGTGGGGCAAGCGTAAAAGCTTTAAAATATATGATTGAATAATATAATAAATATGTGCATAAATTTAATAAGAAATCAAAAATTTAAAAAAATATTTTAATTTTAAAAGTAAATTAAAATTTATTTTTAAAAGTTAAGTGTTTTTAGGTTTTTAATAATTTAACAATGTCTTAATTTTACGTATTTCGCACAGTTTTAGTTTTTTTAAGTAAGTTGAAAGCTTAATTGTAAAAATTTTGGAAAATACAACAAAAAGCCGTTTTTTCACAAATTAAATGGTGGAGTTTACGCTTGTTCTTCAAACTTTAATTTCTTTTCTGGATTTTGTTTTTAATGAAACCTAATGTTATATTAACTATTTTACGCAACATTTTGATGCCAGTTTCTACATACAATCTATTAATCCTACAATCCTACCTACATACATGTGTATTAGCGGCTCGACAGAACTGATAGGCACATACTAACAAACTCATATTGCATTAAAAGACAAAAATTAAAAAAAATGCAGAATTCACGCAAATTACAAAATATCTAATTCTTGTTGATGGAAAAATATTGCATAGTTTTGGGATTAGTTCTTATCAAAAATTTTTTTATAAAAATTAAAACAGTTTGATGCTCTAGTACAAAATTATTTATCAAATTTCAAATTCTCCAAAACTCCAAAAAATTATGGAACAAAGTTAACTGCTTTTAGCATCTGAAGCTATACAGTTGAAGCAATTGGATATTAGAATAATGTTAAAAATTTAGATATGCGACAAAAATATTTTAGATAAATAAAAATTTAGCTTTATCATTTAACTACATAGCTACATTTTCAATTTAGCTACATAGCAAATTCTTGTTTTACCGTTTACCCTTTAAATGTGTAAATTTTTTTGCATAAACACAGGATGTACATAAATAATTAAGCAGCCAAGAAATTCAAATATTATATTTTAATTTATAGATTAAAAACATTGAAACTTAATAAATATTTACAAATCTAGATTTAAAAATTTCAATGTCCCTGAAAACTAAATTTTCATTCACTATATAGCTCACGTTCCATATTAAGGTTGTAAAACTGGAAATTTGGAATTTTTAAGATTTAAATTACTTGCATCTATTAGAATATGATTTTTAGAATCTTATTTTTAATATTATTTTTAATTCACCTTCACTTATTGATTTGTCCAAAATTTTTTTTTAAAAATCACCTAAGTATAGAACAAACCTCATCAAAAATTAACGTTTTTAACAAAACTATTTCGTGAGTAAGTATATATAAGTGTATGTTCAACATGTTAATGACTACATAGTTACAAAGAAGATCTTCAATAATTATAAGTTTTTTATATATAATCTTCAAAGCATCAATACAAATTGTAAAATTTATTTGATTTAAATATTTATTATTTATGATATGTGAATGTGTTTGCCAAATGTTATTTATACAGAAATTCATTTAAAATTTGATGTTGATAGTGAAAATTGTTGCGGTTGATAATCTCGTGTTTTTGAAATAAATATTTCACCTAGTGGCCCATAAAATATGTAAATAATTCTTAAATTTATTTTTCTCAACAAAGGAAAAGCTTGTATAAGGTAAATTACAAATTTAGAATTATATGTACATATGTATGTATATATAATATATAATTTATATTGTGTACAAGTATTCCAGAATTTTGAAAAATAATATAATATTATAATGTATGTTATGTAGATATGAAGGAAATAAGAAAAATTGACTGCGCATTATATAAAAAAATTATATAGGTATATTATATGTATGGATGTGTATATACTTAGATACCTACATAAATACATGATTGCTCTATATAACTTTGCTTTTATGAAAATTAGTTTAAATAATCAAAAAAAGAAAAAAACTCGAAAAAAAAACAATGAAAGAAACTTATAAATTAAAATTTTAATGTAAAATTCAAAATGTATTATATTTTATTTAAACTACAATAATTTATGTAAGCTCATACCTTCTCTAATGGTAAAATGAAGTACTAACTGTATAAAACATGTGAAATTTATTTTACTTTTAAGAAATGAAATAAGATAAAAAAACAAAAAATACAAATGACTCATCACTTAAAAAATTTCTAATGTATTCTATAACTATTTTTATTATTATTAATTAATTATATACTATCAAAAATTTATATTTTCTCAAATATTTAAACAAATATAAAATATATAAATTCACAGTTTTATATTAAACAAATCATTAGAAAAATTCAAACCACTCTATGACCAAGGATACCCCGCAACTGAAGAATGTTTGCTTCAAAAAATTTAATTTTACATTTAAAGCGCAACTCAAAAATGAATACATTTTAATAAAATCCTCTTAGGCATACATACATAATGTATACTTGCAATCAGTGTAGCCAAATTAAACAAAATACGATAAAAATATTGCAAACTAAAGAGCATCTAAATTCTGAGTTAGATTTTAATTTAGAAAATTTTCAATTTTCTATTAAAATTAATTAAAAATAAAAATACTTTAAACTATCCATGTTTATTCCATATTTTTAAGAAGAAAAAAAAAATTAATTCTCTAAATGCACGATCAGAATCAATCAATGGGGCGCTTATTCAGAATATCGAATCACTAAGCTATAGTATTGATACTAAAGATTCAAGTCCATAATAAAATTTTTTAAATTTTTAAGATAAATTTCAGTATTACTTAATGTATCGATATTCAGAATAAACACCAATGTATTCTTATAGAACAATATTATGGTTCTTGACGAGGCCGAATTCAGTTAACTTAGTAAAATATGATGAGCATTAACTTAATAAAATATGAAGTAGCGTTTAAATGAGCTCAAAATCCGTTTGAAGTCGACTCCACACCTGCATACAAACTCAATAAATATAACCTCAAAATTATATCACGATTCATATTATATAGCATCTACGATTTTTTTTTTTTGACATCCTATATATATTCAACCAATTAACTACTTTAACCAGTAAACGGTAATACTTATAATGAGTATTTTGATAGGTTCAAACTTCAATATTTTGTGTTGATTTTGGTTTACTTTTAATTTAAAATTAAATTTCCATGTAAAAATCTCCAAGTGGCAAAATGTTAGTTAAAGACTTTTTAAATGATTTAAAAGAAAATATTGATAAAGATTCTATTGATCGCTTGTGGATTTTAAACCGCGAAATACTTAATTTGGAAGAGTAAGAAATAAAAAATATTCTTAATAGATAGGTACTTAATATTAATGTTGTTTTATCAGAACTCTAGGTTTGGAATGTGAATGGCAAGATTTTTCTAATCGTGTATATTGTGAACTCTTGGAAAAGTACAAATTTAACATCAGCCAAATGAATATGTCGATGTATGTAGGTATTTGAATATTTTGTTTTCTTTATGTACTCTACTGAACCAATTTTCCAGTGATTCTTCATTCTCTTCCATAAAAAATTTATCCATAAAAATTGATCAAGAAGCCGATCCAGAGTTAGCTTGGGACTTTTTGAAATATTATGAAAACATATTAATACAACGAAAAATTTTACTGATTTCAGTGAAAAATAATTGCCCAGGTGCTCTTCAAAAATATAAAAAATTGATCGCAGAACAAAATTCAAACGACGATGTTGGAAAACAACTTGGATTAAACATTTATCAGGAATTTTTGCTAAAAAATTCAGCAATAACTTTTAAATGAAAGTAGAACAAGTAAAAGGTATAAAGGAAAATGTCGATTAAAACATTGATTATTAAATATTAAAGATGTATTGAAAGGGATGAAATTCGAATATTTTTTATTTTATTCGAGTCTTTCCGTTTAGTGTATTAAAACATAAACTCCTATAATATACAAAGATGTCTGTGATCAAAATTACAAAATGTGTTATTGCCGTGATATGTACTTGAAATAGAAATTTGTTAACAACCTGATGAAATAAAATTTAATAAAAAGTCTTGTTCTATTAAACATTTAATATGTATGTATGTATGTTCTGTTGAGTTTGCAGTGATCGTTAAGCGAACCATAAAAGATACAATTAATTGCACAACATGTTGATCAAAGTCTTTATTGCACCAGTCATACACCATATTGCCTGTAACATACAGAAAATTTGAGCCAATTCATTATCCGCATGCTATTCGCGAGGTTAATATATATATTTGTATATATCCACATGTACATACACTTACTTCGAAAAAGTTCTTTCCCACCGTAGTTTAATATATTAGTTCAAATTTATATAGACATATTCGTTTACTTCAAATGCGTACATATGTATATACAACCCCGGAAAGTGAGGTGTTATTACAATATTGATTGTAATATTGATTCAATTTAAATTTGAAAATTTTTATATAAAATAATTTTGCAATCTTTTTGCTTAACGTAGCTTAAAAATTAATTCAGTAATTTTAATTACAATCTTGATTCATCATAATTATGTAGATATATATATATATATATATGGATATGTAAAACTTGATTTGTACAAAACGTAAAATACTGCATTGTAGAATTTTTAAACTGAAAATTGAAGAAAAGATTTTACTCTACCAGTAAGTAAGAGTTGCAATATAAAAATTGCCTCATCAAACTTCAACAAGAACACGTAAAGGATTGGAATGATAATTTTTTCCTTTGATGATCTGTCACTCTTTCGGTGTACAAGTCTTTATATTTTTTTTTCTTATATTCGCTTAAGAATTTATTTGGTCATTTGATTTAATATCTTTAAAAAAATTTTGCCTTCGATTTCAAAAACCATTCTTGAAATCGTGAAGGCGATAGCGAGATCGCCACTTATTTATTTTCAACTGCACCTTAATTTTTTTAATCCGATATTTCCATAATAGCCCGTTTTTGAAAATTTAAAAGAACTTCATAATTGAAAAAAAGTAACGAAACAACTTAAAATATAAGAATATTTATAAATAAAGAACAGCTTAAAAATAAGGAATAAAATAAAAATTCCATAATGAAACTCTTAAAGTTGTCAAATTTATAATATCAAAATGAACATGTATTATACACATTATACATTATTACCAGTTAATCCAAAAAGGAAAAGTGACACTGTAGTAATAACACTGCATTCCTATGAAGCTGTTCTCACAATAGTGTAGTGTGTTGTTGTAAGAAAGAAAAAATTGATTAATTCAAGGTAGTCTATTCGGATTTACAAATTTTACAAATAAAAAGTGAATTTCATGATAAATTTATTAAAATTACTAAAAGTGTTTTACTAAAATTACAATAAAGTAGATTTAAAATGACAAGCGAAAGAACCATTCATGGTAAAAAAACATATAATAAAAAAATTAATAATCAAAATATGTATTTTGTAGAACTTTTGAAAGATACCCCAAGTTCAGCTAGTGCCATTCAAAGTGGATTAGCTTTGAAATCAAACAACTCAGGTGATAGTTCAACACTACCATAAAAATTTTTCAACGTTACAATTCTTTCTTTATAGCTCCAACAAGTCCAGATTTGGAAAAGTATGCGAATGAATTAACATATGTAAAGAATTACTCAACTACATCAAAAATTGATTCACTTAAAAATTGGAGCATATCTACATATAAATGCACACGACAATTGATGTTAGAAAAACTTGGAAAATCTCAGCGAACAATAGATTCTGATTTAGAGGGACAAATTGAACAATTACGAGAAACCCAAAGAAAATATTTGTCTGTATTACGATTAACTAGAGCATTTACATCGCACTTTCAAAATATTGTGCTGACTCAACATGTTTTAGCAGAATGTTTTTCTGATCTAGCACAAAAAAGTCCTGAATTACAACAAGAATTTACGTGTAATTCAGATACTCAAAAAAATTTAATAAAAAATGGTGAACTATTATTAAATGCATTGAATTGCTTCACTTCTTCAATAAACACTCTGTGCAATAAAACGATTGATGACACATTAATAACTGTTCGTCAATATGAAAATGCTAGGTAAAAATCTTAAAAAATTAAATTTCACTTAGTAAGTCGACATATAATGTTTTATTATTGTAGAATCGAATATGATGCATACCGCTTGGACGTGGAAAGTAATAAAGACGGTCAGGACATTCATCAAAATTATATTAAACATAAAGAACAGTATGAAAAATTACGCAACGATGTTACTGTTAAAATGAAGTTTTTAAAAGAAAATAGGGTGAGTATTTCCTTTTTTTAAGTAATGTGTAACAACGTTTACATTGCACACATAAATTTGGTTTCTGTAATAATAATTTACAAACGTAATTAAAATTTTAAAGTATAAGTGTAAAATGCAACAAAAGGTATTGCAGAAATTGCCTCAAAGATCAATATACAAATTTTCAAGTGTATTAATAACAATTTTCGTCATCACAAATTTTCGATGATAATCATTACATAAAATGAAAAAATTTATATTAATTAATACTGATATATAATAAATTTATTTTAAGATTTTAATATCAAAGCAAATCTTGAAACAATTTATGGAATAATATTTTGCATATTATTATCCTGAATATTATACTAATACAATATCTTCATCTCAGATCAATGTCTCAAATATGTCAATTTCGGATTCTAAAGCAAAAACTTTATAAACCCTTATAAAATAAATAAATGTAGCACAAATAATAGATATCTTGACTACATTTATTATTTTCTAATAAAATTTATGGAGTACCAATTCTAAACAATTTTCCTTTACGCAGTATATGGCCATATCGTTTATTAACAAGTGTTTACGGTACTTATTTCAAAAATCGGAATCACCAAATATTTTTATTGCAAATCTTTAACAGTAGGATAAATCTTTACTTAGATTATCAGATCTAAGATAAATCAGATGCATTCTATGTAGAGAGCTGAAATTCGCTCCTCGTTTATAATCCATTATAAAAACTCATGGACGAATGACTCACAACTGTCCAACAATTTGAATTAAAACTATCTATAATTCTGCTATATCCCCTTTTGAAAACATAGTATCCAATTGCAGTATTTATGTTAGAAAAATTTTAATTGCAGTATTTATGTTAGAAACTGTAAATTACTTTCTGACACAATTTTAGATATTTAGAAACTATATATTTATTTTTACTTATTTTTATATGTATCTTCCAATTTTTTATTTTAAGCATTTAATTTTGTTTAATATTATTTATTTACCTAACTTTTATTTGATTTTTATTTTTGGTTTTTCTTTTTATTCTCTAATTTAGTTTACATTTGTTTAAAAACTGTGCATTTGTTTTTCAACCCAAGAAACTGTTCAAATTTTATTTTAAAGTGGCATTAGGATAAAATCACAATATAAAGTTCGCTATTAAATTTGGAATCAGTATTTAATAGGGGAAAATTTAAAGGTAAAACAAATCTTATTCATATATCACTTATTACTTATAAGTGATGATGCTTTACATAGCATAAGAATATTTTTACCCATTAATTGAGAATTATCGAAACGCCAAATTTTGAACAGAATCTAAACTTAAATATTAATGATATTTAAAACAGAATTTTTTAACCCGTAATTTGTTTCCGTTTTTTTCAGGTGAAAGTAATGCATAAGCAACTGATTTTATTGCACAACGCTATTGCAGCATATTTTTCTGGTAATGCAATAGCGCTAGAATCAACAGTAAAACAGTTTAATATCAAGGTAATTAAAGTAATTTTAAGAGTTTTAACAAATTTTCTTTTTTTAAATAAAAAATCTTGAATGCTTTTCAAATATAATACAGATCGTTGCACGTACAATATGCAAAAACCGTGACATTAGTAATGTATATTAATATAAAACCACATTCAAATACATACATATTACTATTTTTAATGCTCGCCTTAAATTTTCAAATACATATCAAGTAAGATTTAAGGCAAATTTTTAGTATCGATTGTGGGCAAGTTTGGTTTTTGTTCTGTAAAAAAGATTTACCATTTTAATTGATCATTAGAGCTTTTGTATAAAACGTTGCGCTAAAAAAAAAAATTTCTAATTAAAAAAATTACTTAAGCTAATTCCGCGTTAGAGAGCACAAAATTATTTAATAAAAGTGAAAACAAAATTAATTTTTTGAATTACGTGCAGCTATGTGTGTTCCTTTATGTGTAATTAATTATTTTTAATACTTTTATTTTTGCAGTTAAAAACAACGTTATCTGGAGGGTCTTGGTTAGAAAATTAGTTATAGGATCATCTGAAAAATTTACCATATATCGAAACTAAAACAAATTCAACCGATTCATAGTTTTCATTTAAACAAAATTCTTTTTATCAACCTCAAATTAGTCCATTAAAAAATGAAATTGAATAATAACCAAGAATATTTTAGATATTAAAGTTTATTTAACTAATTGTATCACGTATTACATTGACGAAATAAAAGTTGAATTATCTCGCAAATGTTTTATAATCTAAGTCAATTAGTGTTAAACTTTTGCGTTACCAAACAGTTTTTTAATTTTTTATCATAAATTATAATCAAACTGAGAAAAAAAGTTAAAACGTAAGAAGATAAGACGTTTTGACTTTTGAGAATTTTTAGATCATTTGCATTCCATTAAAATTTAATGAAAATACGAGTATCAACGAAATATGAACTTGCATAATAAAATCTGTGTGTAGGTAGGTCCCAAATAAATTCGCAAGATATTGTATCATACAGTCACAATCAGCTAAATTAAAATCATCATTTGAAAATTAAAACTCCAAATCGTCGTTTTGGTTTAGAGTTTATATTTCTTAAGCATTTAAGAATAACGGAAGGAATCTAGTTTAGCAGAAACTTAATTAATCTGGTTTTCGCATTATAAAAATGATTTGAGCATTCATTAGGATAAAACTTTTTAGTGAAATCTACATACCTGCATATACCTTAATATGTAATAATAATTTTTATGTAATGTGTAATATTTTTACTGTTAATAAACTTTCAAATCAGAATCTCAGTATTTTCTAACAAATATTTTACTTTTCCAATAAGATTGCTTTTTTTTCAATTGGAATTTTGTGTTTTTTCCCAAATTATCGACTGAACGTCTCACTTTCAAAAACAAAGTGAATAAATTTTGTATGCATTTTAGAAAACAATGACATACGCAATACCAAAACATTTTTCTCACTACCAGGCCCTTAAGAACCTTAATGAAATAGCCAACAAACAATTTTTTTGACTTTTGTTTTTTTCTTTCTGAATTAATTGAATAAAAATAAATAATGTAAAATAACTCACAAAAATTTTTTTGAAAGTTTGCAATATTTAATTTAAGTGTAAGTATAAACAAATGAAATTATTTAGAAGAAGTTAAATACTATTAATTTTTCTTTAATTTAATATGTAAGGATTAATAATTAATATAATAAAAATATATTCCTTATTTGCCTTATTTTCCACATATATAGAATGTGCTTCCTGACTAAATCCATCTTCATACCAATTTGTTGAATATTCGCACCATTTCCGTCGTTGCGTTCTAATCGCAACTTGAATTGAACGATTTGACAACGTAAATATGTATTGCAAAATACCAATATTTTGTACGAAGCCATTTTTGTACATACAACATTTGCTACCTTGTGCTCGATATGTAAAATTGTATTTCCCACCACTAGTATGTCTGATGTTTGTCAAATAGTTAAATTTGATAAAAAAAGCAATAAACTTAATTGAAAAAGTGTCGGAAAAAACAGTATAAATTTATTTTTTTTTCGTTTTGTAAATATTGGGTATGTATGTAACTTTATTAATAAAATTATGATTCAATATAAAATTTAAATATAATGGAGTACACTTTTATGCAATATTAGAATGCTTATACTAATTATTATAAAGCATACATAGAATAGTACTTTATCTGAAAGGTTATAAATTTTAAAAGTCAAAGTGAAAAAATAAAAAAGTAGCTAGGTACTGTGGAAATTCTTAAGCTGCTCAAACAAAAAATAGTTTTGTTTTAGGATATGATTAACTTAGTAAACATATAATATAAATAAAAATTGGAATTTTTAATTATTTTTCAAAAACTAAAAAAAAATAGGTAGGCACAAGCATAATGGTGTCGTATTTAAAAATCAGATACATAATGTACTTGGTAAAAACAGCAACAAATTAAACAACAACAATAATTTAATGTGCACTAAGAAACTTCTTATACCTACGTATATTATGTATGTGTTAACATACATACAAATTATTATATTTTATAATGCATTTATTGATTATGGTACAATAAATCAAAATTGAAATATTCATTTAAACCATTAACAAGCATAACTATTAAATATGTATTATTCAGTTAGAGAAATATGTATTGTTATAAAAGTTTATGACTGAGAAAATGTGAAACTATGTGAATGTGATGTATTTATGATCTATGCAGATACGAGTATACATATGTATGTAAGTATGTATTTACCAAACTCAAACAATTTTCATTAAGTCTACTGATGAGACTATTTTTCAGAATCTAGTTTTATTTTCACATTTAGATTTGATAAATTAGATATAGATTGGGGTGAATCGCCACTATATTAAAATGTAGAATTGTTCGCTAATATCTATAGAGATATACAGAGATTCAACAATTAATAATTGCTACAAAAAAGTTGAACTAAGTTATATTTGAAATGATTTAAAAAAAAATAATACCTACATACTTTAAAAAATAGTTAAAATACTATAAAAAAACCTTTGCGATCCACCTTAATACATAATCTTTTATGCTTCTCTATTAAAAGCTCAAATCAATTTATTGTTTAATCATGTCTGCCGAACATATTGTTTGCTGAGAATCCGAATCATACATTATATTTTTCCTTGAAATACATACACATCTATATATGTACATATTTTTAAATAAAAGGTTATAAAAGTTCTAGGTTAGCTTAAAGCCTCATAAGCAAAACGAAGTAACGGCATGGAGGACTAAGTTTTAATAAATACAATTTTACATCACTTACATACATAGTAGGTTACTTACATATGACATACAAATATTTTTACGGTAAGTGCCGCACGAAATTTACAGCGTGTTTATCCTTAAAAAATTGCAATAGTCGATAATCAGTCGCTTGGTAAATAATTTTATTAATATGTAATACGTAGTTGACCAATATTTCAATGCTAATGAATTAAATTTCTTGCAATTATCTGGAATAGGGTGCAACAATTAATATTCGTGTACATTTGTGTATATTGGCATTCATGACTTGCGACAAGATTCTTTTAGAATATATAAAAATATTTAGATACTTTCAATAGATAAAACAAGAACAACGTAGTAGATTACTTATGTCTTAAAGAAATAAGGTGTATTTTTAATAAAAATAACTTTTTTAATTAATTATGAATTAATTCGTATACGAAAATATTTCTAAATTCAAATCAATATTTAGTAATAAAGAGAAATCTAGTTTTTTAAAAAATCTGAATAATGTTATTTAAAAGAAAGGACGGAAATAGAAGAGTGAGTCTCATATCTCATTTTGTTCTATGTTTTAAACTATAAAAACGTAAATTTTATGCCTTAAAAATAGCTAGAAACAGTTTAGTTTCTTTTCCAATCTGTTTATTAATATTTAGATGTAAGTATGTTCAACTACTAATTTAGCTGTAAATTAGATAAAGAAATATATTTTCTAACATTAAATATGCTTTACAATATAAAATTCTACCTATTTTTTTTTTAGAAAACTGTTATGTCTATGTCATCTATAAATTCTGATGAAAACGTAACAATTTTAAACTCAAATACAAATGCGGAAATGACTTCGTCTTCAACTTCCAGTACCCTTAATCTTAATGGAAAATCTGACAAAAATAATACCAATTCAAAAACAAATATGCCTACAAATTCCAGTGAAACAACTGAACTTGGAAAAAATAAAAATGAATCAACACAAAGTAAATGTACCTCTGATAGAAATAATACAAAAGCTAAAAAATCTATTCATGGTACAGAAAATTCTAAAGAGCATGGAGGTGAAACAGCTGGCCTTTATTTAGGTACTTCTAGTTTGAATCCTGTAACAGCTAGTGGACCCAGTAACAATATTGCACTAATTGATAAAGATTGGCAAGAATTTTGTGAAAGACATGCGAAAGCTTCTGCATCCGATTTTGCAAAGTCATGTTTACAATACACAAATACTAATATGTCTAGTGATATTAAAGATCAAATAACCCATGGAGATTTTATGAAGAAATTTTTAGAATTTTTTGAAGAACATTTTGAATCCGAATATATACGCCGAAAGAATAGTCAAAAAGTAAGTTTTAAAAAAAAAATTTAATAACAATTTAAAATAACTTAATCTATTTGAAATTGATTTTAAGTTAACACATGATCAATGAAAAAAATTAAATTAGATACGATTTTAATTTAAAAAGTTAATCAATTATCTTTTTAATATAATCTGTGTATATATTTTATTTCTTAAAATAAGCTTTCAAATGGTGCAACAACTTTATATGAAGAAAACGATTTCGTTGAGAATACGGCTTCTCCAAAATTATTTCATAAACCGTTTTTTAGAAGAATATCTTTTAAAGGATTACGTAATGGAAAGGTACAATTTTTTGATTTCGTATACATATAAAAATAATAGTAATATGATTTTATTGCTGGAAGTTTCTTTCATTTCAGGCATTATTTCATAAGCAGCAAAACGATGGCTCTGATTTACATTCAGAACGACAAAACAAAACTAAACTAGCAAAAATTATAGTTGAATGTCGTAAAGAAGGTATTGTCAATTATTTAACGCCAGAAAGTTTAGATCAACCGTCAGGTCCTCAAAGATGGGAAAGATGTCGGTTAGCATTAGTTAAAGCTGTTGGAGGTTATATGCTGGAATTTTATTCGCCTCCAAAATCACAAAAGGTTAGTAATCTTTAGGTTTTATTTATTATAATAAAACCAGATTTTACGTAAAATTTTTAAAAAAGAAAACGAAACCTGGATTGAATGTAATCAGAATTATATTGGAGTCGATTCTATATAACATAAAAATAGGATTATATTTTTTTTTTAATGAAACTTTAAAACATTTTTCAATTGCTGGATATGATTTCAGGTGTTTAACTAAGAACAGCTGATTTTCAGTTGTTAAAATTGGTGTAAATTTATAAGACAATTATCCTGGAAAAATATTTTAACACATTTTTGTTTTTGTTTCAGCCCCGAAGTGGTGTTTTTTGTTTCCTGATATCAGAAGCTCGTGAGGCGACCGCTTTAGAAATGCCAGATCATGAAAATACTTTTGTTTTAAAAGCTGATAATAATATGGAATATGTTATTGAAACACATGATTCCGATGACATGCGAAGCTGGCTAGCAACTATACGATATTGTATGCGTAGCTTACCAACACAGCAACCAGTTCCTGTGGATAATGCCATTGAAGCACAATCTACTTTACATAATAATAATGAGCACTATAATTCCCGTCCACAGACCCTTTCTACAAATGATGTATTTCCCAGTTCAACCACTCAATCTGCAACATTGAAATCAAATTCAGCTGCATCGACAACACTCAGTGATGTAAATAATGTTAACTCAGAAGTTTCGCAGTGGCCAGTAAATTCTGTTGGAGCAAATGATTCGGAACAACGATTGTCAGTTTCAAGTGCTTTTGATTTATGTGAGAATGATGTAGACAGCGACCACAATATTGGAGATCTCGTGGCGCTGATGCGAGAATATCCTTGGTTTCATGGAACTTTGCCACGTTGTGAAGCCGCGAGACTGGTTTTGCATTCAGAAGCTGCTGGTCATGGAATATTTTTAGTTCGACAAAGTGAAACGCGCAAAGGAGAATTCGTTCTGACATTTAACTTTCAGGGGAGAGCAAAACATTTAAGAATGACTTTAAGTGACACCGGTCAATGTCGTGTTCAACATTTGTGGTTTCCTAGTATTTCAGAAATGTTAGAGCATTTTAGAAAAAACCCAATACCATTAGAGTCTGGAGGTTCAGCTGACGTTACATTAACACAGTTTGTCATTAACCAAAACGAAGGTTGCAATTCTCAACAACAGAATTCGTCAGCAAGACATATAAGATAGCCAAAATTCTGTTGTCAGTTAAACATTAACAATAGCTTGGTGTTTTATTATTTTTAGTATTATCGTTATTATAATTCTAATTTTTAATGTTATAATATTTTATTTTTATTTTATTGTTAATAAAACTTTTATATTTATTACTATATATTTTACTAAATTTTTTAAAACTTCCTATATAGTAGGGAAAAAAATAAATTGAAATGAATATTAAAGTAAAAAATTGCTCCCGTATGAAACCATTTTTGGCAATTTTCGATTAGGCTCAAGATTAAAATGGAAGGATAGCATTGTAAAACAAATCTCGATAAAATGTTTTATATATGATCTTTCAGATTGCCTTTAGAAACGTTTTATTGTAATTTAAGACAATTTTATTGTAAAATTTCAAACTAGAATTTCGCCCCAAACACATACTTTTATTAAAAAGCTTTTACGCTTTTTCAAATCATTTTTCAACACAGTGTTATAAAAAATGCAACAAATATTAAAACAAAAAATATTTAACAAATTAGGGAACTGGCACCTTTTTAGTAATTTCAGTAACAAGTTCATCTACTCTTTTACTGCTTCCTTTGAATATAACAGGATGTGGTCCAATCATTTGAACAAATTGACCAACATCGGGAGAAGTCTAAAATAAAAAAATTATTGAATTACAATTCATGTATGGAAATGTAAATTTTAACACTTAATATACATGTAAAATACAGACCATTACAAAACGATGAAGAGCTTTTAACGTTCTAAAAATTTGTTCTTCTTCCGCTTTAGAATTAAAAAATTGCAGAATCGCCATTGTAAGTTCCACTGCGACATCATCGAAAACCTTTAAACACAGAAAATTTTACTTATAGTTTACTTAAATATCTATAGTTTTCAGCTTTTTTTATACTTATTAGGTTTATTTGCATTACATTTTTCTAATGTAGTGTACATTAGGATATTACATTATCCTAATTTATTTTTATTTTAACTGCTATATATAAGATAACAAGAAAAAATAGTTCGCTATCGTTCAGAAACAACTAAATTTTTCTTAAAGAGCTCCAATGTACAAATGATTGTACGTATTTTTCTTAGTTTTAAAAGTAGTAATGTATGTCACCACCAAACCAATATTTTAAATATATTTTGTTACTTAACGTTAATTAGTGCCAGAAAGTAAATCACTCTCACAAAATGTAACAAATTGCACAACATTTTAAGCAAATATTTTATTGCTGCTTTTTTATTTTCAGAAACAAACCAATACTCACCACTGTTTTGACTTCCATTATTCCTAAATTATGCATAATGCTACTTCCAATATCTTGTAAAGTTTTGTCTGCAGCAAGTAGACAATGGACAGCAACTTTAGTTGTAGCACGTATATTAGATATTTGTTGATTATTATAAGCCCATTCAGAAATATACAAAAGCCATTCAGAAGAACTTACATTTTCAAAGAGATTGCATATCTAGAATAATGACAATACAAGTTTTAAGAACATATAAAATATTAAAAAGTATTTACAAATAAACCCCAGGCTTGTTGTTCCTCCAACGTATGTTTATCAATATCTTGTGAATAATTCGTTAACACATGATCTCTTCTATCTTGATGAAGTAACAAAACTATGTCATCTTTAAGTGCAGCACAAGCCAGCACTCTTATTAAACGTACTTTTGAATCTTGAGCTAAAGATGGATCTTCTAGTACTCGTTTAACAAACACCAGAAAATTATCACTTAACGTCCAGCTACCTTCGTCTTCAATTAAATATTGATGTAATTCTTCGACTGAGCCTTCTTCTTCTTTAGATATTTTTCCATCAAGTAACCTTACTAATTCGTCTAGTTCAACTTTTGGCTGCAATTTACATTTATTTTACGACATGAAAAAAAAATATGAACAAACACTTACATCAATATCTTTAAAAACGACGGGAGGTTCACGGTGCTTTCTTTCTTCTTCAAAACTTTCTCTAGCAGCGTTATCTAAAATTTCATCTGATATATTTCCATTGTTCCCATTTCGGGGAATTTCAGAACCGTTATTTTGCTCTGACATATTTGAATTCGAATCGTCAGGAGTTGATAAATTTTTTTGTTTTTTAGACTTTTTTTCCTTTTTTTCTTTTTTTGCAATCTTTTCTTGAATTTTTCTTCGTTGCTCGTCTAAAGCCAAAGAATGAAGACGCGCTTCTTCTATTTGGTTATTCAAATCTTCTAAATCCGGACTCGTGTCTCTGCCTGATTCAACTCGCGGCTCAAACGCAAAATGTTCAGAATTGTTATATAAACTATCTGTATTTAAAAGAAACGAATTGTTAAATATTTGCCGATTTGATGGGAATGAAAATTTTTAAGCTAATCGTTTAATAAGAAAATCAATATTTTAATTTAAATAGGTTTAATTAAAAAATTTAAATGAAAACAATAACTCTTAAGTAACTAACAACAAAGATAAAATTGCACAAATTCAATGGCAAATAATTATTAACCCCTAATTTTATAATTTTCATATAAAAATTTTGTATGTTATAAAAATAGTATTGCAGCAAAATACACTCTGTTAATAATTGAAACAAAGCTGTTGCTTTTCTTGTCTCAAATATGAGTTCGTGTTCACTTACCTAAAAGTGGAGAAAAAGCTTGTCCTATTGGAGTAGAAAGAATATTTTGTGGCAAATCTATGATATACTTTGGTATTCCAATTCCACATAAAAATTGACTTAGATCTTCAGAGAAAGTATTGCAATTATGTTGCAAAAGATTATATCTTGATCCCCTGTAAATAAATGAAATTACATTTTTAAAATTTAAAATATTTTGAAATACATACATATTTTTTAATTATTAATTTCATACTTTTATCAATTCATAAGATTTTAAAATATATAATATGAAAAAGAAATCAGTTTTTATCACATTGCATATTTTAAAAAGATGTCACAAACCGAACAAAGAAATGCAATTTTAACTATCTTACACTTAATTGCAGAATTTAACAAAAAGTTCAAAGCAAAACAAAATTTAACTAATAAAAAATTGTATACATATATGGTATCAAAACTCACAAAAATTTTTTTCAAATAATTATTTATAATTTACTTGTATGTGCATACTTAATCTTTTTGAATAATGTTGAAATGTTCAACCCTGCCTTAAAATTATGAATTTTATCGCTTTAACATTTTTAAGGTTTTACGATGAAGTTGAAATTATTATTATCAACCTTGCCAGAGAATCTTTATTTTTGTTAAATACTAATTTAAGAAATTTTAGTTATTTTAAGTAATATGTACAAATAATAATTGATGGAAAAGATTGAAAAATGAACAAAACAAAAATAAGCGTTCCTTTCTTTTTATACACAAATCGATGCACTGTTTTTATATTTGCAATAAATGCCGAATCATTATTTGGTATTTACGTATTATTTATTCATTTTATTTAGCAATCTTTATAATCGCCGACAACGTTTCAACTTATTTATGTATTCGTGTATTCCTACATATAAAAACAAAAACTTTTTTGAACAAAAATATTAATTTACAACATAGCCTATTTAAGTAAAAAATTTCAGAATTGAAATAATTATTTAATTCCCGAAATTTGAATTCTTTAAAATGGTAACCCCAAATATTTCAAAATATCACAAACATTTATTCAATTTTGCAGAATCCACTATATACACAAATGTTTATCACTAACTATAATATATTATACGTTCCTACATACGTATGTATAAATGTGTATAATTTTTATGTTATATGAAACTTTGTTTTAAATTTCTATTTTTATATGGCATATAAATAATATATGTATGTATGTACATATCAAAAGAAGCTTCAATTTATATGCCGAATTTGTATGAATTTTGTTTAAAAAAAAAAACAAAGAAAAAATACGTGAATATTTTATATACAAGATTTTTAAAAATCTTAAATTACAAGAAAAAGGTATTTATATATAAATATATACATACTTATGCCGTTAAAATGTAACATAAACTTTATTTAAAATAAAATTTTTATCGGTATCTTTTATTACTTATAAATAAATCGACCCAAATTCAATTTGGTTATAATATCTCTAAAAATTTGAATTTGTGTTTTTTTTTTATTAAAACAAATGAAGATAATAGTTAGGAATATAAGAAAAAATTAAAAAAAAAACATTTCTTACTTTAATTTTAGTAGGCTGCCTTTTGTATCATATTACCCCATTTTCATTACATAAAAAAAAATTCTAATTACAGTCAATATAACTGTATGCATTAAAAAATTTTATTAATTTTATCATTAAATATCTTTAATATTCATTTATTATTCATTAGTCCAGTTATTAAGAACTTGACTTACTTAAACGTACTATCCGATAATCCACGTAAATAATCCTTAAATATTCCGTAAGGTACAGAAGTATCCCCAAGTTTTTCAATTTTTAATGGTTGTCCTAACACAGTACCCCCCTAAAATAAAAATTTTTATTTTCTAATAATTACACATATTTTCAAAATATAAACAAGTTACTTCTATTTTGTGTGTGTTTTTCTTCAAATTAATAATTAATTATATTTATTATTACAAAAAAAAAAAAACTCAGTGCGTGTTCCACCGATTCATGTTCAATTGAATTATTTTAAAGAATTACGGAATGAATTAGAATTTTTAGTACATTTCAAAAAAAAGAAAATAAATACAAAATTATTTTAATATTCTATAAATAAATATTTTATTCAGATTTTAAATAAAAACAAAAAAAAAAACGCGACAAATTTATCAAAAAAAGCTTTTCTTTTAAAAAGCTCTACAAACTTCACTATTGCCAGCCGAAAATATAATTTTATTTTAAAAAATAAAAAAAAATTAAATAAATTTTCAAAGCAATTTTATACATACATATATAAGCAAACATAAGTATGTATATTTTTTATATTTATATAATGACCAAAAATAGATCCAAATAAATCCAAAATTCAAATATGAAAATTTTTCAGTGATGCAGATTTATTTTTAATATTTTTTTTTGTATAAATATATATAACATATTTGCGTTTGTAAATATATTGGTATATCAAAGGTAAGAAAATTATATTCAAAATATTTTGTTAAGTTAAAAAAATAACAACATTTCATTTAACTAACAATGCTACCTGTCTCTTTAATTTAAATATATATATATATATATATATATATATATATATATATATTACTAATTTATATAACCAAATATATTGTTTTCTTTTTCTTTCTATTTAATTTTTCAATTATTTATTTTAAATTTAATTTTTAAATAAAATTTCGAAATAAAAATATTTCGGAATAAAAAATTCGGAATTATATGTCATTCAATTTGCAATATATTGGTAATCCTAGAAATCAAAATATTGAATAAAATGTGAAACATGTATATAAAATATTTAATTTATAAAATATAACGATGTATAAGAAAACAAAATTCTTTTGGGAACAACTGCTGTGGAACAGATCAACCAGTGTTTGCAGACAAAATATTGTTTGTCTGTTTTAAATATCTTTATATATAATATACTTATTAGTGAATTTATTAATGATTTTCTTTCTTTTTTAAACAATATATATTGTTGTCTTTTTTCATAGCAGAACGGCGATTTCTAAAAATTAACAGGGATATACAAAAACTTTTCTGTTAAACTTAATATTGCAAATCTTACAGTGATGACAAATCTGTATCAAAAATACATTAATAATATATCACAAAAATATTTAAATTTTGCAATAGTTAGTATTATTAATATTAATTATTTCATAATATGTTAATGGTTAAGATTTTTAGTAAATTGTTATGAATTTTATTTCATATTTTCGAAAGTTTTTTAACAGTTTTAGATAATTTTATTTATTATATCAGCAATTTTATTTTTCGGTGGCTATAAATATTGTTACTAAATAACGAATATGAATGTTGTGTTACTATAAAAAAGATTAAAGGAGAAAAAACTAAATAAAGCAAGACAGATATTAAAACTTTATTAGTTTTTAATCATTTCCGTATATGTTATTTAATGATTTCTTATCAAATCCTTATTCTTTCCATGACAGTAATTTTGTAATTCACTATTATTAAACACCATTAAGATGCAGTAAAATCCATTATGTTGAAATTTTTTAACAAAACCATCAAAAATATTTTTAATTCATCAAAATACATTATGTGTATTACAGACGCCATAAAATAATAAATTCAATAAAATGAAACGTTTTAAATTGCTGATTAAATGAATTTGAAGTAAAGCAATAAATTGTATTGAAATTAGAAAAATTGATTGAGGGGAACAAAATCTAATCAGTTCATTTAATCAGCCAAACGACTAATTTGAATACTTTTTTTCAAATAAAATGCATACATACCGGTTCACAAAATTGAATACCCGTTGCACCATAAAAATATTCTTTTCCAAAAACAACAACCGCTGTGTGCCAAATTCCTTCTATGTGGTGTCCTACATAAAAATATTTGAAAAAAAAAAATATCATAAATCTTACAACAAACTTAAAAAAATATAAAAAAATTATTTAATTCAAACATTTTAATTAATCTAAAATATACATATGTATTATAACTTGAAATTAATATACATAATAGTTAACATTAAACAATATTGAATTTTAAAAAATAAAATTTAAAATAATATTTTCAAAAAAAAAAGTTATTATACAAAATTGTATAGATTTTTTAAAAAAATTATTAAAAAATTCTTTACTTATTCTTGCCACAATTTAATACCCAAAATTTCTATACTTATATCTAATGTATTTTTTATTTATTATAAAATTTATTTTATTTCATAAATTCATTAAAAACATAACCTTACCTAAGAGCGCAGCAGACATTAAATTTGCCATCCCTTGAGATAAATCATATATATAAAGTTTAACATCATTTTTATCTTCCATTTGTGCTAAAAAAAAATAATAATTCTAAATACCTTTTATAAATGTACATACATTCTTAAGCCTACGTAAGTGTAGCAAACAAAATTTCACGTTACTCTTAATTTGTGGGTAAAATATTCCTCGAATTATAATTAATGCTGTTTTTAATTGGTCAAACGTCACTTTGTTCTTGCATGAGCAATATGATCCTAATTATTTTACCATTTTAAAAAATATGAAATTTTGAATTTATTTAAAACTGTACATTATTCCGTTCTATTAGAGAAAGAACCATTTAAAATGATTAGCTTCCTACTAATTGAAAAAACAATGTTATACCTATCCAATTGGGTTTCTACCTAGGTCCACTATTCTATCAACATAATTAAATATTTTTTGTATTTTTATCTTGGATTTTGAATATTTCGTGCAGCAAAGTTTTACATTTTATTTCAAAATTTTAATTAAAAAATTTTTAACTATTTAATATGTTTTATTGCAAAATTAAATTTATTGCAAAATTAAATTTATACGTAGATCATTTCATTGTAGTTTACCTAAAGGAATATAGAGTTTGGGATCTACCTACCCAGAAACTCATCTCTTGGTTTTGGATCTATGCATTAAATTATAAGATTATACATTTAAAATTTCAAAATTCTATTGATATAGGTAAAATCAAGGCCATTGACCAAGTTTTTTTTAAATGTGCTTAAAAATATAGTTTGTACAAATTTAGAAAATTTTTTTTTTGCTATTATAATTTCATTTTTTGTGTTATTTAAAGATGGATCCATTGGTATAACGAAATACCTTTTCACGTTTAATATTAAGTATATTTTGGACTTTCATACTATTTTTACTTTTCCATTATTATTTATGAAATTGTCATACAGTTATTTCCTTATTCCTATCAGAATCTAACAAATACCTATATACATACATTGCGCATATAAAAATTTATTTTGTAAATATTACACAGGTATAAGATAGATAAATATGTATGTATCCATATACGTATTCGAGTATATATGTATATCAGTACATATTTATAAATGTGAGCACCTACATAATATGTATTTATGTACACATGTATATACTGACACATTATATTATTTATATTTTATGATGTTTAAAAATGTTAAGACAAAACAATGAACCTGAAAATATCTACCTACATTTAATATTTTAAACGTAAAATTTTTTTATTATCAATTTTCAAATAAAAATTATTCTCACTAACACAAAATTAATTTTTTAATTTCTACAGCTTTTGCTAAACATTGCAGACCTACCTGCAATAAAAAAATTAAAAAATTTTAATAACTAATTCAAAAACTCCTACCTCATAGATGAATTTCAAATATTTGAGAAACAAAATTATTCATAGGTATTTGTTTATAAATTTAAAAATAAAATTATTAACACTCTTATTTTCACGCTTTAGATAACGAACCTTATCTATAAGCAATTTACTTACAATTTTGTATTATTATTTTTAAATTTAATTTTAATTTTCAAAATATTTTAATTAAGACTTATTTAGGTTATTAACAAAAATACTTTTAATTCCTTATTGACAATTCATAATAAAATTCATTCCAAAAACTGACCTGCCGTCAATGTTATCGCTGAATTTTTTAAATAAGGAGTTTTGCCATAAATAATAAATATAATTAATAAGAATACAATTGAATCCACTATAAATAGATTACTTAAGTAACAAGTTTTTGCGAGTGACCTAGCCAGAAATTCAACTAAAAAACCTTCTAAGAACAGTAATTTCGGTTATATTAGACCTACATACGGTGAAAATATAATACGAAATTTTTTTAGTCGATAATTTCTTAATTACAAAGTAAGTTTTATAATCATATAACAAAACTAAATTTTATTACTCAAAATTATAAAATTTGTAGGAAGAAAGAAAAAGTAAATAGAATTATTATGAAATATCTATTAATAATAAATTTTAATAAAAGATAATTGAAAAATATAAAGAAATATTCACTAATTGGAGTCAAACAACTGTAAATGTAAATGCAACAATTTGATGGATAATTATTTAATATGTACGGTACAGCTACAGATATCAGTCACCAGAAGTTTGGTAATATTTTACCTATCAGGGCAACACTGCAAATCGCCGTAATTGTCAATATGGATTTTGACATTATAAGTGGTTGTTGATTTTTTTTTTTGTTCGAAAAATACATTTTACATCGGAAATGGTATTTGAATTTTGAATTAATATTTAGAAGTTTCCGCACAAAATCGGCTGAGGTGATTAGATTAGAGATTTCTTTAATTTCATTGGCTCAAATTTAAGATTCTACGTTCATGAAGCAAAATTTTTAAAATGTATCCATTTAGTTCACAAAAAAATTATTGGACTTTTGAATCTGAACATAAGTTAAATTTGCTACGCCAGAATGCAAATAGTGATTTTATAGAGAAAAATTCACAAAAATTCAATATTGATGTAAATAAAAAATTTTTATGTTTATACATAATTACTAGTTACTTAAATAGTTACCAATTTTAGATGCAGAATGTGTACGATTTTTTTTTATCGCCAGAAGAGGAACGTTTACTTTTAAAACAATATGAAATGCAAATGAGAGAATTTTGCAAACGCTTTGAGCCACCAATGCCAAGAACAATTATTGGAACAGCACATCATTACTTTAAAAGATTTTACTTGTACAATTCACCAATGGATTATCATCCGAAAGAAATATTGTTTGATAACCTTATTGAATATAAAAGTAAAAAAAATTAATATTTTTGTCATTCTAGGGCTACCTGTGTTTATCTGGCATGTAAAGTTGAAGAGTTTAATGTGTCTATAGGGCAGTTTGTAAATAACATTAAGGGTGATAGATTGAAGGCTACTGATATAATCCTTTCGAATGAATTGTTACTTATGAGGCAACTTAACTATTATCTTACAATTCATAATCCGTACAGGCCAATCGAAGGTTTCCTAATAGATATTAAAGTAAAATTTTGAGTTTGTAATCGTAATTTGTAATAGTCACGTATTATAAATCATAAAGTTCTAAAAATTTTAGACAAGGACTGCAATGGTTAATCCAGAAAGATTGAGATTAGGAATAGATGAATTTGTTGATAGAACATTTTTAACAGAAGCACTTTTACTTTATTCCCCCTCACAGGTACGTATAAAGGAACATGAGTAGGTATTCTTACTTCTGTTGTATTACATTTTAGATTGGTTTAGCAGCAGTGTTACATGCAGCTAGTAAAGAACAAGAAAACTTGGACAGCTACGTTACAGAAAATTTATTTATGAATGCAAAAGATAAATTGCCAGTTTTAATTGAGGCAGTCAGAAGTAGATAAAAATTCATTTGCTTATTTTAAATAAAAAAATTGATAGATTTTCAATCAATTTTAGAAATTAGGGGCATGGTTAAAAATTTAGAATTCCCTGCCCGAGATCAAGTTAAATTAATTGAGAAAAAGTTGGAAAAATGTAGAAATCAGGAGAATAATCCAGATAGTGAAATGTAATTAATCATTGAAATGTTTAAATTTTTTATCTCCACAATAATTATCCAAACTACGTAATTATAAAAATAACCCTTTTTTCTATTTTAAAGATACAAACAGAAAATGAAAAAACTATTGGAGGATGATGATGTCGATATAATTGAGTCATCCAATTAGACGTGAAATTCTAAAAGTAAACTGTAACCAACTTTTCAAACGAAACTTCTAATAAGGTTTGCTTTATATTCCTAAGAAATACAAATACATATGTACATATACCTGAAGGAAAAAGGAAAACAAATGATTAAAACTTGCAGGCAAAACATTCTTTACAAAAAAAAACAAAAAATGTTTCAATATATTGTACGAATCTTTTTTATTATGTGTTTAAATTAAATTTAACAAAAAATTACATTTAAATGGTTTTAAATTAAAACATTCCTCCGTAACCTTCATCAACTTCTCGCATTGCATGTCCAAATATTGTTATATAAATAACCAAACTTCCAGCTATTGTCAAATAACTTGCCATTGGAATAATCTGGAACCATAATGAAATTATGTATACTTTTTTTCCCGGAACAAAATATAATAATAAATATTCGAATTTTTGTTTTGATGCAAATTAAGAAAAAAATAGATAAAATTATGGAATCACTCATAAGATTTCAACGAGCTAGATATGTGATTATTATCTAGATATGTACTTACTCTTTACAAAGTATCGATGTGTAAGTACGTAAGCGAACAAAACAAAAAAATGTAAATGCAAAAGTATTATGTAGATATATAAATCTAGATATATACAAACTACATTTCCTTATTTTAAAGCTAGATTTATTATGTATGAGTAAGCAATAAAAAAATACTTACTACTCCAGCTTTAGCCAATACTATTGGAAAGGCTGAAAAAATATTTTATTAATACTTGTCCCAAAATTTTAATTTTAAAGCTCACCAAATGTACTTAAGACGATACCAGCTGTAAGAAACAACGCGAACTCATAGCACGCATTTGGCGCCGATCCTGTTGAGTCGGAGCCTCTACGTATTGCTAAGTAAATTGGAATCACCGAAAACATATGAAATAGAACAACAAAGAACGGCCAAAAAACTTTTTGCTGTGGAACCGCACATGCTAATATTATTAAAGTCATTGCAAGGCACACAAGCAATGCCGATATCAACAGACTAAAATTGCAATTATTTATACTTAAACTTGAATTTAAATAAATTTTAACAAATACTTACACTTTATAATTTGTTCAATAAACATCGATGAAATCATAAATTCATGAAAAGAAATATAGAATAATATACGAACGTATGTATATGTATGTATGAAGATTCAAAAATAAGAAAATCAAAGAAATATATAAATTTTGTGAAAATATGAATATAAATTTTTTGAAATACTTAAAAGAAAGTATATCAGAATTGTTTTTTGTACCTTTTTGTGAAGCCATAATAAAAATTATTGTTTTTATGAAAAATTGTTGTAAACAATGATGAAAATGAAGATCGTATTAATAAGTGAATAATACTTGCAGGGATGTTAAGAGATCAATTTGACGTTATAAACTTCACATCAAATTACGATAAAATAATCTTTCAAGAGTATGTTTACATTTTTTCATATGCTCTATTTTTAAATTAATTACATTATAAAACAAAAATTTATTTAAATAGAAATGAAAGTTTTGTGAGAGGCCTGCATTGAGTGTCTACTTTGATAAAATATCGATACAGCGACATTTTTACTATGTCAGCATGAAAATGGTTAGCTATTACATTTTAAGTCATTATTAACATTTCAAGTCAACTATGCAAAATTTTTCGCTTGACTTAACTGAAGCCGATAATCAAGCAACATTTACATGGACATGAAACAGGCTTCAAGTGGTAGATGACTGATTATTAATATCTGTTATCTGCTTGTGGGGAAAGAAAATGAAATGTATATCAACCATTGATTCTTAAATTGTCGGAGAAAAACAGGTTACAATAGATGCTTTTTGACGTTACAAAATGTAAAATGTTCTTTTAATGAAGAAGTAAGTGGATTAGTCAGAATCCCCACAAGGGACTTTTGAGTTAAACCAAAATGGTCACCATATACAGTTGGTCCATATATGAAGAAATCCATTTTTTAAAACTAAATTATTTTAATTTCCTTCAAAACTTTATTTTTTGTATTAATCTGTTTCCACTTGTTAGGTATATGAATTATGACATAACACGTTTTTTTGAAGTTTATTTAAACATTAATGAAATTGAAATTGCTTTTAATGGTTTAAGGGAATTTAAATCTGGTCAGATTATTAGTGTTTTGCTGTAGATATTTTACTGTATTAGATCTACAACTGGATTTAGTATAAAGTTCAGACCGCTGTAGAAATTCATTTGGATCTATCAGTCATTTTTCTGACTTCCTGTCAATTTTCATATGAATTTCATTTATTTCAATTAATTCAAATAGAAAAAGATAAAACTTCTATATAGAACTGCAAACGGAATGAAAACGTTTTGCCACTTTCGAATTTCTTTTAAAATTTATTTTTCATTATGACTAATTTTATTTTCATTTAATTTAATAAAGTAGAACTTATAGATGATTACATTACCACAATAAAACTACTTTTAAAATATATATCATTTATTACAATAATTTCACCCATCTATTTTACAAAATGAAATCGAAATTTCCATACCATATGGCTTGGAAAAGAGATAGAATTTATTTAAAGAAATTTTTATACCTTGTGCATAAAGTTAAATCCAAATTATGATCAATAAAAACGAAATCTTTTTAATTGTCTTTGATAATTCTTACTGGGTGAGTCGAACTTTAGCATTATTTTCTTCATCTTCTGTTTGAAGATTACCGTTCGCACCAAAAGTATTTGACTTTGTGTAATTATTTTTGCTATATTCAACCAAACGCCTTTCAAATTTAGGTGTTTCTTTCCCTCGTACACAATCTCCATCAATTAAAATCGACATAACATCAGAGCCAGGTACTTCATACATTGGATCTAAAAGTAAATTTTCCTGCAAGAAAAAAAAAAAATAAAAAAAATTCTCTTCAAATTCATGACTAGCAAGATATACCATAATAGCTCTTAAACCTCTAGCGCCTGTTTGCCTTTCCATGGCTAATGTTGCAATCGCCTGCAAAGCATCATCTGTGAATTGTAATTCTACTTGATCCATTCTTAATAATGCTTTGTACTGAGATACAAGCGCATTTTTTGGTTCCGTTAAAATTCGAACTAACATATTAATATCTAAACTATGAAAAGGTACAAGCACTGGAAAGCGACCAACGAATTCCTTATAGGATTACGTTTGAAATTTATATTTTAAAAAATGAATTATGAAAAGTTATTTATTGAAAAGTTGCACTCACAGGAATCATTCCAAATTCAACTAGATCTCTAGCTTGAACTTTTTGTAGACAGAGATCCCGTTCCTCTTGGTCTGGATCCATTGGTGATGCGGTCGCTTGAGCAGCCCTTCTCCCTTGTGATTTAGCTGACGGCATACCGAATCCTAAGTACTGCAATAAGCCAGAAATATTTATATAGTGTATCAATCAAATTATCATATTTATTATCAAAATATTACTTTCTCATTTACTCTTCGGCCTATTAGTCTATCGAGACCTGTATACGCCCCTGATGCAATAAATAAAATATTTGTAGTATCTACTTGTACAGTCTCACCACGCAATTTTCGGGGGGAATTTCTTTCAGGTACATTAACTATAGTCCCTTCCAACATTTTAAGCATGCCTTGCTGAACTCCCTCTCCACCAACATCTCGTAACTGATGAATACCTGGAACAGCTCCAATTTTATCTACTTCATCCAAAAACACTATTCCTGTTTGAGCTCGCTCAACACTTACATAAAAAAAGAGTAATAATATCATATTAGTAAAAAATTTTTCATTTTAATTTTAAAATAATTGTGTAATCTAAAGTTGTGATATTTCACTTTAAACAAAATGAATTTTTTTTTTAATTTTGGTATTTTATTTTTTTTGTAGAGAATTTATTCAATAAATTACGATTAGAGAAGCATTTATTAAATGACTAGACATAATGTATATAAAAAGTAATTACTCTCCTAATATTATATTCTAGTACAGGGAATAAAAAGTAAAGATTTTTTCTTACTTATAATTTGCATCTTGTAGCAATTTGGCAATAACACTCTCAATATCTTCTCCAACGTATCCCGCTTGTGTTAAAGTTGTACAATCACAAATTGCAAATGGAACATCTAAACATTTTGCAATAGTTTGAGCTATTAGTGTCTTACCAGACCCTGTTGGTCCTAGCATTAATATATTGCTTTTTTCTAATTTAAGTTCATGTGTTTTTTTATCTAAAATATCTGAACCAATGTGAGATTGATGTTGAGGATTTGGAGGAGTTCTTGGCACTTCAGATGGCGGTGAGCTCATTATCGTGTGACCGATACCGGAAATATGCAATAAATCTAACCTACCCATCCCATCTGCTTGATGAGTGCTCGTAGAAGTTTGTGTTGGCGGTAAATTATGATAAATTCTTTTATAATGATTATAAACGGCAACAGATAATACTTTCTTAGCTAAATCTTGCCCAACTACGTGTTGATTTAAATATTCCATTATCTTTTTGGGGGGAGGTGGCGGTTTCCTTTGGCCTTTTTGTTCCTCTTTTACAGTTTTCTTCGAATCAACTTCACTAAGAACAACAAAGAAATGATGACATTTTTCACATTTTACGAAACGCGTTGAGCTAACAAATGTTTCAACATGAGTGCAAGGATCTCCGCATTTTGGACAGGATAAAGAATTTTTTTTTGGAGGTTCTTTTCCGCCACCTCCACTGTTGCTACTTGAACCACCAGAAGAGGCGGTAGTGCTACCAGAACTCCCACCAGCAGTTGTAGTTCCCGAAGTGGCTGATGGCGAATTTGAAGAATCATTTGATTTATCACAGACTGTTGATATATAAGATCTACGTAGTGTTAGATTGCTGGTTATTTTAGGTATTTGCTCCGAATTGCTATGATCGACAGCTAAAAAAAAAAAAAACAAAAAATGTTTACACACATGTATATAAGTATCTCTAGATTTTAAGCATAAAATTTGATCGCTCTTGAAAACGTTAAATATTCGAGAAAAATGTACATGGGTATAAGTGTATACACATATATGTAGATATATATATGTATGCATGTACATAAATATTATATTATTTTTTTTATTTGTTGAGTTTCTAAATTTATTTAAGTTTTCTTGCCTACCTGTCCTTAAAAAATTATTCCTTAATGAATAGGACGAAGCCAATCTGCCCAAACTGAGACCATTTCGCACAACTCTCATCTTTAGATTTCAATTTTTCCCAACTATGTATGTAACTGAAATAACATGTATGTGTATATAAGTTTTTTTAATAATTTGATTAACTATTACCGAGAAATATTCGATTAACTATTTTCAAGAAATACAAAAAGAATACTTTAAACTAATTTTAAATCTATTTTTCACTTATGTAAGACTGATATGAAGATACGTATTTATAATAAAAACAATGTAAGATTTAATCAATGGAGCTAGAAAAAAATATTTAGATTTAAGTTGTATTGAAAAATCGACACATTATCGGATGATTATACAGCTGTTTACGACAAATATACTCCAAATATATTTTTTAATGATCTACGATATTATTTTGCGTCTAAATAAAACATTTACTTTATTATGTAGGTAAAAACGTCATTCAAATTAAAAACTTAACTTCACCAATTATATTTTTACAAAGTCTACTAAAAATTTATATATCTATTGCGAACGAAATTATAAAAACTTACGAAATTTAATTAAATTTACTAAAGCAGATAATTTTTATTTCAGCATCAATAATACGAATATTTTTAAAATATCCTACGTTTTGTTTTATTCACTTGTAATTTTAAAATTGATGTGTGTTGTATACGTGATTGTATATTATTGTCCATTGTACATGATAAATCAATTTTTTTGGCATGACTTTGTGATTGACTTTTCAAACAAAGTTGTCGTTACACTTAGATTCGATTTTCAACAATATAAGTATTACATTATATTTTTTTTTTTTTTTTTAAAATATTCTAAAAAAATCTGCAACTTAAAAATTTGTTGAAGAATAAGTTCTAAAATTGCTTTGGTACGTACCTTGCATCTTTTAAAATATATGAGTGGAATTTAATCAAATACATAGAGCTTATTGGTAATAAGTTGTATGTCAAAATAAGTTGTTCTTAACATCCTAACAACCTTCCATATGTCCTATATTCTTATGTAGTTTTGTAAATAAACATGAATCTGTGTTAAAACTGCAAAAATTTTAATCTAAGGTTTTTAGTTTCAAAATGAGTTAAAATATTTATAAAATAAAATTTCATAGATAGGAAAGTATACGAATAAATTCAGTTTTTTTATAACTTTGATATAATAATGTAAATTTTTTGTAATTTTATAAAAATTTAATATAATAATATACACATTTACATAATACTGAAAGATGATAATACTAATTTGAAATTTTATAGTTTGATTTAGAGTAGAAAATAAATTAATTTTGTTATCAGCGCTTTTATTTTGTTCGTTATAAAAATTGGACAGAATTTAAATTGTATAAATATCATATAACAAGCACCTTCAATTCACTTTTTTTTAATGAGCCCAATCGTCCTGAAAACCCTATTTAACAACCTAATCCTGTATCTCACTTTCTTATCTCAGTTTTTCTTTCCATTTCAAATCAGAATTCTAGGTTTTTCTAATGCATATTTCATTTTTCTAATAAGATTACATATTTTTTAAATTCGATTTTTGAATTTTTCCTGAAATTATCGAGTGAACGTCTTACTTTCAAAAACAAAATGAATAAATTTTGTATACATCTAAGAAAAAAACGAGAAACGCTTTACGAAATAATTCTTCTCACTCGAAAATTACATTATGCAAATATATGATAGTTATCTCACTTGGCGAGTAAAATAGTGAGATAGAATAGACGATTAGGCTTTAAAGGTACAAATCTGACATACTAGATTAACATTACAAGTAATAGATTGTGATAAGGCACAAATATAAATAAAAATCAATCATATTATATAAAGCAGTTAAAAAATAAGCAAAATTTTTATTTTCCCAATTTCATAGCCTTTAAAATGCCAGACATTCAATTTCGCAAGAGTTCTTGATTGTAAAATCGATGTTCGTACATCTAAACAACTAAATCATTCCGATTATTTAAATCGGTTGTGCTAATTAAAAATTGTAATCAGTTTGTAAGAAATTAAACTTGCTTAATTATATGCCATCATACAATTGCATGATTGTGTGCTTACTTGAATATAAACCAAATAAGCAATCAAACCTTGACATAACAAAAATATCATTAATAATTCATGTCAAATTACCGAGAATTTAGAAGACAAAACTTCATAATCAAAATCACAAAATAAAAGCTTAAATAACTAACTTTATTTTAAACTAATATTAAATAATCCTGAAAAGTAATTGCAACCCAAATTATAATTAATTGCACGAGCTTACTTGTGAAACTCGTAACTTTTAAGGTATAGGTGTACCTTAAATTTAAGCAAAATTTTTTATAGCGAAGAAATTGACATTTGAAAGAAATAATTTTTGAGTGGTAATAAAGTTTATTTTTTTTGTACATAAATACGGCTGGTTATAAAAAATGTTGAAAGATTGTTAACAGTAACAAATAATCATATAATGTTCTTTTTTTCATACATCTTCCCAACATATTATAAATGTGTATTATTTAAAAACCCTATTTTATTCGATAAATTTTATTCAATATTTCCGAAAACAATACATCAAACTTTTAAGTAAAGATGGAGGATATTGAGATTGACAGAGGTCTTAGACGCAAAAATAAATCTTGTGAAGTAATATGCCCAGTATGTGACGTTACTATACTACCAGGTGATATAGAACAGCACTATGAGCTGGAAGTTGATCGTCTAATTAAAATACAAATAAATTCTAAATTAAGAAAAACATCACATGTTCATCTAAATAATCAAGAACCAATAGCTGGATGTTCTACAAAATCTAAAGAAGATACTTGTCTGTGTCCTTGGGTATCTTTTCAAAAAATTCGTAATAATAGGCATTCACGATTAAAAGTAAGTGCACCCTACTTATATTTACATTCATATTTTCTAGAAATTAATTAATGAAAAACACAAATATTTAATAGCAACACTACAGTTTAGTTTTAATTAAAAGTAAATGCAAATTTATATTGAACTATTCAATAAAATACCTATGTACATAGTGTAGCAACAAAATATTTGTTTAATGTTTAAATTTATATTTAAACATTAAACAAATTTTTTATACAATTTAAAATATTTGGTTGAATACATCCTGATATAATTTCAAATATTTTGTACACATAATGTTATTTTTAAATATTTAAGGTAAAAAATAAAAAGCGTAAATTTGGTGATACCGTATGCCCAGTGTGCAATGAATACCCAAATGAAGACATTAATATTCATGTCGAAAAATGTCTTAAGAATGACAATAAAAATGAAAATGAAAACAGGTCTGATGACGAGGAGGATATTGATATAGAATGTGAAAATTTTGAGGAATATGAATGGGCTGGCCAAAAAAGGGTAAGGGCATCTAGTTTTTTAGAGGGTGGTTATTCAGGAGCTGGATCATTTGTGAGAAATACAAAGGAGGACACTTGTGACGAAGAATTAAACGTTGATGGGGACGATACGCAGTTATACGGACCACCACAATATCTAGAGAAACATATAATCGTTCCATTTGCGCATGAAAATGACAAAGAATCTAATGCCAACATGTATTTAAGACAATTAGTTTGCGTTCAAGAAACTTCGTTGGATCGTGTCAAAAATGGTCAAGAGCAACACTATGAGCTCAATGAGAATTTAACTCAAATAGAAAAGGAAAATAGAAATAATTTTTTAGACGGAAACATTTGCGGAAATAGTATAAGTATGAATAACCGAGCTCATGAGCAGGATACTACTTTGCAAGCCGAAAGAAATTCAGAAAATGAAAAACGCAATGTAAATCAAATTATTGAATCACTTAAAATGAAAATACGAGAGTACGAAAATCAAACAACTACAAAAAACAAGTGCTTAATTTGTATGGATGTTTATTTTAAACCTGCTGTCTCTATCTGTTGTTGGCATGTTCATTGTGAAACATGTTGGCTCCGAACTTTGGGTGCCAGAAAACTTTGTCCCCAATGTAATATGATAACATCCCCCACCGATTTAAGAAGGATATACTTGTGATGTAACTTTGTAACAAGAAAGAGACATTAAATTTTTTCAATTGACTAGCATTAATAAAATTGTGATTTGACTAAAGGTGAATGTTTTGAAACGAATGTTTTAACTTTTCTATTAACTATTCTAAGCTTTTTATAAAGTACTTTTACATATCTTTTCATGTCCATTTGATACGAGTGGTATAAACATGATTCGATAAATTAAAATTTATTTTAAAAATATACAAATAGAATCTCGGTTGAATATAAATTTTGTAATTCATCAACATTACTGCAGAAATTTCTAAATATATATTAAAAGCAGTTTTTGATCTACTTTACACTGCAAAAATATATATATGTATATATTTTTTTCTTTTTGTATACGTGTTTAAAACTTTCTTAAAAGACAATAGAAAACCTAGAAAATTTAAGGCCGAAATAAAAAGTAAATTAGTTTCTCATAATAGATAATATATTTTTGTCTTTAATTTGTATTAAATTAAGCAGTTAAAATATCTGTTGTTGCTACATTTACGTAACAAATTTTAAAAAATTTTCAATATGTATAGACACTTCTATCATACAACCAAGGAAAAATTTTGTGTACAATGTGTGAATAATGTATCAAATAGTAATATTAATTAAAATGTTTTCATTAAATTTATTGCAATTATTTAAATTCCAAAAACAAACAAATAGTATATAATAATCCTCAACACAATTAAACCTAATGAAAATTAAGATAAAAGTAAATTATTTTTAAACACTTGCGCTTGTCATAGCGTAGTGAAATAGAAACATTTTTATTTTGATATAATGTTATTTTACCTCCTTTTCTTCTTTTTGTATTAAAAGGGTTTGTTGTACACTAACCCAATCAAAGTCATTTAACAAAACAACGCTTAAAAATTAAAATATTTTAATAATAGTTTTTTTTACAATTAACTTTCAGCTTTATATAATTAAACAAGTAAAAACGAATACACTTTAAATTTTCATATATCTAACTATTTTTAATTTATCAAAAAGAAAAACAAAAAAGTGTTCGCATTGCTGGAAATTTTTCTTTTGGCATTTGAAATTTTATTTTTATTCCATATTTTATGTATTTGATGTCTTTGTTTCTTTTATGATGATAAAGCTCATTTTTACTGAATTTTGCGATTCTGATATCTGGCGTTCCATGCTTGAACTAAATTCCAACCAAAAAATAAAGTGAAGCCATGAATTTGAAACCCAACCAGGCAAAAAGCAAACCACAAAAGTCCATATGGCATTTTCTGAAAAAAATATTTGATTAATTTTCAGCAGTTACTGAGATTAGATATTAAAAGTGTTTAGATATTTTTTCATCACTAAAAGAAGCATCTACCCATCTATTTATTTAAGACTAATTCATATTAACAAAAAATTATTGGCGCATGGAATAATTGTGACTATTTTTCTTAATTAATATATACGGGCACTTACCCCTTCATTCACATATACGTATAAAAGGCATATTTAATTTAAATGTTTGAATTGAATTTGTTTAACTTTAATTTGTTTTTCTTACCCGCCAAATATGTATGTCAGTTTCATCAATATCTGCGTCTTCTTCCATCATAGTATATTCCCAAATATCCCCAATATAATAAAGAAAACAATAAACAAGTGGTAATACGCCGAATGCGATAATTCCAATTAAATATTTTTGCATTTTGCTAATTATATTCCCACGTGCTGCCGATAATCCAAAAAATGAAAAAAATATTGAAATACACCATAAGTATTCCCACAATAGTGGCTTTGGTATTTCTAATTCTTCTAGTTCCAAAATAAAAATATCTAGACGATCTAAAATATCTGCAGATAATTTTGCCAACATTACAAAAAATAGTAAAGCATGAAAGAATATACACCACTTTAATCGTGACTTATTCAAAACACTAAAAGTGAATTATAAAATTTATTAGTTATGGTTTAAATTATGTATAAAAATAAAAAATAGGAAATAATTTTTCTGTACTAAAGATTTTCATCATTTTTGCTAAATTGTTTAATTTAGATAGATACATATATTGTACTAAGCCGTTTTTAATTCATAGGAAAATTCAAAACAAATTCATAGGTTGCAAGTTGTTTTAAAAATATCGACAATTACGACGAGTCGCTTTTTGTCTTTATTGCAATAAATTATGTACATACATATGTACATAATTATGACAAGTTGTTTTTTTTCTTCAACGTATCCTGACAGAAAATTAACCTGTTTGTTAGAAAAACGTTTTTTTTAGTTATAAATCAAATTTGGCTTTGCTCCAATTGGAATATAAAAATGTTTGTCTAAATATTAAAACATTTAAATATAACCATAAAATTAACGTATGTATCTATTATTTTATGTGAAAATTTAAAATTAAACCGGATGTTCATTTTTTAATTTTCATGTAAAAGTTTTACCTTATATGATGATGTGCAGCCACTTTTTGTCTATATTCGTAATCCAACCCATCAGTCCCAGGTACCATGGGAGCTCCTCGTGTAGCCATTTTCAGCAACGATAATTAATTTTTAATATGCTCTAGATCGCAAACAACAGTTTATCTGCCAATTTTGCATTGCAAAAAAATAAATATATATATTTTTTTTTAAAAATTACGAACGTGTCATCGCGAAAAATAAAAATAAAAGAAATTGATTTCAAATGACATTTCCAGCTGCTAAATGAAGTTAATTTAAAATAGTAATTAGTGCTGCTCATACATCTGCAATAGGAGTAAATTTGCTACTTTTGTTACTTTGATGTCAATGAATTTATAATTTTCTGATGTCAATTTTCTATTTTTAGATTGTAATATAAAGATATTATGTTAAAAATAGAAATAGAGAGAAATTTTATAATTAATAAAAATAAATCAAATTCATTGAAAATAAAGTATCTATCACTCCTTTAATTTACAATCTACATATTTTTGAATTAAATTCTAGAAAAACAGTACATATTTTCGAATTTTTCAAATTATTTCAAAATTTTTAAAACCCTCGATATTAAATATAAATTTTTATTATAAACACGACTCATTTGTGTGGTTGGGTTTAAATTTACATTGAAAATATCGAGCCCTTTACGATGAAAATTACTGTCAATTTGTAAATAAATTACGGCAGACAACAGTACTTCTGCAGTCTTGCCAATCGTGGAATAGTTAGTTGCTCAGAAGAATGTTTGATGGTCACTTTAAACAAAAATAGCATTTAGCCCAATATTTTTGTTCACCACATTTTAACATTTACTAATCCAAACTTTTAGCTAATAAACATATAATTCCTGTTTTTTAACAAGTTATGGGATTTTTATTAATAAAGTTCATGAATGAATGTATCATTCTGTAAATATAAGGTCTAAAATGATTTTTCATTATTTAAATTGTATTTAATTTATGCTAAATATAAGTTATTTTTCTAGATAACTCATTTCAACAATACAAACTCATAAATATACAGAGTGTAATCATTATTGTACTCAGTACTTAGTTAAGATAAAAGTAGGTACTTAGTTTTGCAGTTAAATTGATAATCTTTGGTACTTATTGGAAAATTAAAAATATTAAGCAAACTTTTCAAACAAAGGATATAAAAAATGTAAAGTATAATGTATTTCATTTCGATAATTTTTTCATTTATTATTTTATATTTTAAATGTAATTTAATTTAACGCTATTGTATATGAAATATATTTTTTAATTTTTTGTTTTAAATGTAATTTTTTAATAAACCATGATCTTAAAAAGCTTTAGTTGCCACAAAATTTACAAACAGTATTTTTTTTTAAATATTTATTATTTACGTTCAATTAGTTTTTTTATACTCGTACCAAGAAATAATAGCGTCTTTAAGCGAAGATTTTCTGTATGTATTCATACATATATATACATACGTAATTGTTTTAAATTAAATAATTATATATGTATACACTTCCAAGTACATACTTTCCAAATTACAAGTATTCAATGATACAGCCAAAATAGGTAAATGTTAATATTTCAAATTTGCTTTAAAACTTTAAGAGATGAAGACATTGTTAAAAATCCTTTCTAATTTAAATTTTCAATTTAAAAATTTTAAACACAAATTAATGCACGGTGCACGGTATATTACTAATTAAATAATTATATGTAAATATAATGTTAATACTCTTGTTGAAATTCTGTTTTAAACAAATGAATAGTCTATTAAAAAATCTTTTTTGGGTAAAAGTTAAATAATTTAATTGCTGCTCAGTTGTATTTATATGTATTCATTTTGCTATATTCATTTACTTGTGATTTTTTTGTTACGCTTTTATATGAAACATACTTTTAAAATTTAAAATGGAAGTGAAAAAAAGCAAAGTTTCATTGAATCTAGTCTTCAATTTTAATAGCTATTTAAATAGTAAAAATAAAAGGAAATGTTGAACCGATAAGTGAAAAATTTCAAATTGAATTTATTTAAGTATGCAAATACACGCATAATTTCAGCATTCAACAATTTATATTTCTTTCCAAATTTTTTTTTACCAAGTACTAATATCACAAACTATAATTTATGGGTTGTCCCAAAAGAAATTAGCGTTTTCACGTACAGATGGTTCTGCCAACACTTTTGTTTGATTTCTGTCAACGCCGTGATTTTTTCACTTTATCTTTAAGCTTGCTATTTTCGCATCGATTTGTTAACGATGATTGTTGGTTTGGCATCAGTTTTAATATTGAATCAAAAGGGAGCATTTTCGACATATTTTGCTTTTTTATTTCCGTAAATGAAAAAAACGGAGCACAAGCTATTAAAATTCGACGATATCATGACTGTGCGTGAGATTGGAGCGAAGTTAAATATACCGAAGTCAACCATTGATAATCATATAACATGTCTTGATCTTGTAAAAAAACTTTATATTGGGGTACCACATGAATGAAAGAAATTCATTTAGGCAAGCATATAAGTGCTGTTGATTTGCATTGGAAACACGTTGAATTCGATCCATTTTTTAAGCGAGTCGTCACTGGTAGTAAAAAATGGATTGTTTACAATAACGTGAATCGAAAACTATCAAGGTACAAACACGACACGCCACGACAAACAATTCAAAGGTTGATAAATGCAGATTTTACTGCCACTTTGTTGGCATTGGGGGAGTGTTGTATGTTTTAAACTCCTCAAACGCAACTAAACGAGGTGTTATTTTTTATCATGAGAACCCTAGACCACACACATCTTTAATCCCTCGTCAAAAATTATTAGAGCTTGATTGGGAAGCCATGTCACATCCACCATATATTCCTGATCTTATCCCATCTGATTGCCATTTATGTCGATTTGAATGGTAAAACTTTCGATAATAATTATAATTATAAATTCGCACTTGGTTCACTTTTTTTCTAATAAAAACAAGAAGTCTTACGAATTTAGACTCACGAGCTTACCAGGAAGATGGCAAGAGATTGCGCAAAAAAGAACATTATAATTGATCAATGTTCAGTTTTTGTATTAAAAATTAAGTTTTCAAAATGCATGAAAAAATCACTAATTTCTTTTAGGACTACCGAAATTTAAAAAATACATAAAATATAAATTCAAATTTAAAAAATACATAAAATATAGAATCATATTAAATTACAATAGTAAACAGAAATTTCTCATTTAAAAATTTATATTAAAATTTCTTGCACCTAACACAATTACATATGTACATAAGTACATGCTTATGGAAACCATGTACTAATTGAATAGTTTATAGGTAATTTGTCTAGCCTATTGAAAAATGTGTTATTCAAATAGATTTCGTAAGAATTACTAAATTTGAAAGCACGTGCACTTCCAAAATGTACAATTACTTTTCATCACAATTTTTAGTTGAAAATTACTCTGAATGAATTATTGAAAAATTTGCTTACATAGATTTAAAACTTTAAATTCACAATATTTGAACTTAGTCAAAGCCTGTCAAAATTTTATTTTAAAATAACAAGTTTTACTTTAGCAATTTAGAAACATGTTCAATGAAAAATACATATTATGTTTTATTGTAATGTTAACTTCTGTTATAAAACATAATTCACGTAGGCTTGAGAATTTGTATTCTAAAAAGGAATACATATGTATCAAAATTTTGGTTTTAAAAAATTTAAAATTGCAAATTTATAATGTATGAATAATACATGTAAGTAGTTATGTTTTGTAAACAATTATTGTTATCTTAAAAAAAGCATAATCATTCAATTTTTTGAAGACGAAGAGAAAATTTTTATTTGCCATGGTGGATCACGTAACCATTCTTAATTTGGGATTGGTAAAATTTTTCTGAAAATTTCTCCAAATGATTTCTTTCAAGATTTATAAAAATCGAATGCAAAATACCGTGTTAATTACAAAAATTTAGATAAAAATAAACTTCGAACATGCCTAGACTAAAGTAGTTTTGTCCTAATGAAAAACGAATTTGTTCTCAAAATATGTAAAATCGCATAATAATTGAAAAATATTATTTTACGAATTGGACATTCCAAAAAATAATCCTAATTATTTCTAAACTTGAATTTTTGTCGTTTTTGTAACATGCATTTTTCGAGTTTTATTTTTTAAGACCATAATTCGTGTACTAATATAAAATTTAATAAATAGTTACATACATACTCTTTTTACAATTTTATAAGTGGCAAAATTGTCCGTTCCCAAAAAACAAATTTTCTAGTTTTTTTTTAAATTTGAAAATACATTTTTGGAAAATCAATTCTTTGTCAGAAATTTAAACAAGCCCCACTTTCTTTTAACTTTTCTCGATTATGAAAAAGGAAAAAGAAATGATTTCATATACCTATTGGTGAACCTCATCGTTTTAAAATACTTTGAGCTTTTAAAATTCCTTTGCAAAGAATTTTTTCCAAATTGCATATTTATATTATTATATCTCTATAATGACATATATTTTTGTATGTAATATATAATATAATATAATATATTTTGTATATGACATGTATCCATAAGAAATATGTCAATATGATATATTATATATATAACCATGTTGATATAATTATGTAAATTAATATTTAAATATAGACATAATTATATGTGCATAAACCTAATGCACATACATAAATATTTTATAAATAGAGATATAAATATATAAATACATTCATAAATATTCGGTCACTGTTTCACTACATTTTATTTTGAAAATATATATACGTGTATTTACATTTTCATGTATGCATTTAAATATATATTAATTTCAAATTTCAATTTAAGATATTTTATGTTGATTTTGAATTTTAATTTATGCATACATAATTCCGTTTAATCAAATTCATAATCTACTTGACCATCATCAAATTTATAAATATCATTTTGTGGTGCAGAATTTGAAGTTGATGTAGCTGGCGTTATACTTGTAGATGTTGTTGCTGTATGATTAGAATTGCAATTTCCTTCAGCATTCAAATTAATGGATGTCTCTTTACTTTTGAGTAAATTATTAACACTTCCACTGTTATTAGTATTACTGCTATCATTCTGACCTTTATTACTAGTACTTGAAGATGAACCGGAAACTTTATTGTAATTATCTTGTTCTATACCAAATGAAGACGTTGAAGGAGTCGATGTCCTCCTTGATTGCATTTCGTTTGTAATAGTTTCTGGCCGCGTAATACTTCCGTTTGGGTTACTATTGTTGGTTTGCGTATTATTGACGGACAAATCATAATTAAATGAGTTTGGAGCTGATCGATTGGCGTCTGATTGACCGAATAATGTAAACCTCGGCAACGAAATATGTAATCTCCTAGATCCACTACTATTTATACTACCTGCATTGTTTCTGTTATTGCCAGTTGCATTTGATATTAACGATAATTCCACCGCGTTGCTATTAGAATCTGCACTATTACCTTCTGCAGATTCTCTACCACCCAACAAATTTGAATTTTCAGAAGAAGCGCCTCCTGCTCGAAGTAAAAAAAAAATGCATAACAAATAGAATGAGGTATATATGTATAAAATATAAAAATTTGTAAAATTTATTTAGTTTTAAAATATACCGAGTAAACACATATTTAAAATATGCTAATTTATTCCCAATTATATGTAACATAAATGAATTCAAGAAGTTCAAGTGAAAAACTTTTATGCACATTTTGATTTCAAATACTGCGAACTCATACAATGAAATAAAATGAGTTCAATAAAGAGTTGTCAACGTATCTAAAATTTATTCTAGTTCTTAAATTTAAATGAACTTAAAACCATTTTTTAAAACAGAAGCAAAAATTTTTTGTTATTGTTCCTGTTAAATTTTTAATGTATGAAAAAATAAATACGTATTTGTCTCCTTGAACGAGATGTAAATATTTTAATGTTTCACAATTTTATCAATCAAAAACTAATGTGGCAAACATTTTTATTAATCCTAATTTCGTTTTCTAACTTCCACACTTATTTATCAATATTTGAATTTAGATATTATATAAATATATTACATATATGGAATATATTTGTTTTAATGGTACATCATATGGTATTTTCAGTATTATAATAATAGAGCAGATTAATGTTAAGGTGATAACATTAATTAGGTACATAAAACTAAATTGTTGTTAAACAGTCCAACATCCTTAATTTTCAATTAAATTATTCGTTCCCTATTTTCTTTGGCATACGAAAAAATATTCACTCACTTGCATTAGAACCCATATCCTTTGTTTCATGAGTTAAACTTTTACGGCATATAGGACATGTTCCATGTAACTCCAACCAAGGTACAATACAATTCTCGTGATACAAGTGCTTAAAAAGCAAATAATTCATTTTTTGTCAAATAATTGTGTTAAACTTTACTTACAAGACAAGGTAATTTTCGAACAATTTCTTCTAATTTAAAATCTTCCCAACATACAGAACATTGCAGTTTTATGTTTACTTGTTCTTTTGTTACTTCAACCTTTGGTATTTCATCTATTTTCTCTTTTGGTAGCGGAGGAGGACCCGTTGTATCCATTTGGTTCAACAATTGCGTTACTATTGTATCGATTCCTTCCCTTCCCCAAGCATAATCTCCAGGATTACCCATAAAAAACATTGATGCATTACCAAGAGACCCATCACTTCCTCCAGACAATGTATGTAATATTTCTAATAGAACGTTATCAAACCTCTCAAAATTCGGTAGTCTTCCCCGTCTCGGTCTTCGTCCAGTTCCAGTTGTATAATCATTGTTAATATTACCTCTGCCATGTCGAGTCCATGATCCTGAACCAAAAGAATTAGAGTTACCAACTATACTATTTCCAACTTCATTATTAGAACCGTTTGCTGTCGAAGTATTTCCAGAATTACTAAAAAAATTTGTTGTACTATCGTCCGTATTCACTGCATCTGGAGGACGACCGCCATCTCGAGCCAGAAATGATGATAATGTGGCCAAAAAATCCAAATCCTAAAATTATATTGAATTTTAAATAATTATCAAATATTGGATTTCTTTGTTGAAATCCATTTTTGTTTTAGTTGAAAATTGTTAATGAAATCAATTTGCTTGAATTCATAAATTTCAAACATGTTTGAATAATGATTCTTACATCCATTTCTATATCATTTGATGAAGAATTTTCTGCTGAAGTGGTTGCAGCAGCTGCAGGCAGTTCTTCTATAAATCCACCTGAACACAGGGGACAGGTATATTCCTTTTTTGATAAATTGCCAGAAAGTTAATTAAGATCACATTTATAGAAAATATTTATTATTTACAACTTACTGAACTGACTGACTGCACTTCTACGTCACAAACATGGCAAAAAAATCTTAAAGGTCTGTCCTCAACAGCAGCTTCAGCCATTTTTTGTTATTTTTCTTTATCCAATCGATTAAATATATCGAAGTTTTGCTATGTTTTATAGAGCGATAAAAGTCATTAGATCAATTTTTTACTTTTCGAAGACAAATATTACCGTCAAATAACCTGTTTTGAATTACAAAATGGCAATAAAATTATATCAGACACTTCTCACGATTTAAAAGAACCTTGCTAACTTTTTATTGACTATATTTTAAATTGACATCTCCCTTGATTACTCATTTAATGTCAATCTAGAAATATCAAATGTTACTCGTTTCGTTTTTCCACTTGTCCTACAAAAAAATTTGACAGTTCAGTATCAAAGTTTCACAATGAGATAAGAAGTTTTGAAAACTTTGTTCGAAATATTGCTGTCAAAAAATATAATAGACGAAAATGAAATTTTATTTGCAAATTTTCTGGCCATAAAAAATTTTTTGGAGAAAGTTTAGCTTAATTAAAATTATTTTCGCGGAATTAAAATATTTTCAAGTGGCTATTTTGACATTGTTTTGTGCAGAGAACAACATGACGAACATAATTTTCAAGTAGCTATTTTGACATTGTTTTGTGCAGAGAACAACATGACGAACATAATTTTCGATAAAATTTTTCCCTGATTCGGAAAAAATATATTACTTGGGTTAATACAAATACATTTGTATTTCGTGGGGGTATTCCATCGTTCAAACTAATTTTGTAAAATTTCCCATTTTTATCCTAAACAAATAAATATAACTTAATCAATTTTAATTAAATTATTTTAAAACTAGCCTCGAAACTTTTTTTAAAGAGTTATTTTTCATTAATTTTTTTGTTTCATTTGTTGGAATTTGTTGCCAATTTTTTTTTTTGTAATTCTCAGATAGGTTGAAAATAATATAAACCTTCATAAAAAAAGGAAATGGCAATTGATTGCTGAAAACTAAAATTTTACCCCAACATTATTTATTATTTGAGTCGTAAGTGTTATAGTTTTGTGGAGTAAAAAGTTATCAGAGGTCTTACAATGTAATTCGATTTTAATGAAACGAGTTTCGTATTCGGAAAAATGAAAAGGTAGTATGTACTTATCAATTTTTATAGAACTACCTTTCCTTTTCTGCAAATACGAAAATCGAATTACATAGTAAGGCCACAGATTTCGAATAAATTTTAGTCATGTTTCATTCGGTAATAGGAATAGAAAAATATGGGTTTTTTTGATAATGCCGCATGAGCAAGCACTTTATCGTTAAACATACTACACATTTAATTTTAAGTTAGAACTGAATTATCAAAAACACATATAATTTATTGTAGGTAATTGGAACTTGGGAAAAATGTTAAACATGAATGTTATATTAGAATGCTAGCTAAATTCTGGAATATTATACAAATTCTTATGATAATTACGAAAAATTATTTTAAAATAATTTATATTTTAAAAAAGTTAATTATCGATTATTAAGTAATATAACTTTTTCATTTAGCTTAAATAAAACAAACTTCTAAATGTGTCAAATTTAATACCGTACATATTATCTACATTCTTTTAAGGAATGTGTCAAGTAGTTTCTTTTCTAATTTTTATTTTACCAAAATAATTAATAGTCAAAACAATAAGTCCCCAAATTATATTTGGAAAATGGGTAAATAGAAAGTTCTGAAACAGAAAAGTAAAAATTCTCTACTGCCAGTCTTTTAATTTACTATGTCTATGTTAATAACTACATATATGTTACAAGGCACGAAATGATAATTTCATGGTTTAGATTTTATGATTTCTTTCAAATTAAAGGAAAAGATTATTAGAAACTGAAAAAAGTGCTTACATCAATTAGGAAATTTAATGAATTTAAAGAGATTTGATGAATTAGTCCATCAAATTTCTCCTGTAACATGCGAAAAGTATTAATTTTTGTTCGTGATCATGGGCAAAAATCATTATTATGAAAATTAACAGAATATTTTAGTAACAAAATTTATGTATGTAACTGGTTTTATTAGCAATTAAATAAAAACTAAATTTATCCACATTTACGCTACACCAAGCTTTAGAAATATTTTTTTTTTTTTGAAAATAAAAATGATAAAGTGGATTAAAGAAACTAAATTGTTATTGAATTATTAATAACTTGATCAATTTATTTTTTTGCTAACTGGAGTTTTTTTTTTAATGATTCTCATGTTTTAAGAATCAAAGTTTATTTATATGCTGCGCTATTTCACTCGCAGACAAATTGGTAAGAGACAGTGATGTTTCCTTTCCTTTTTCTGAAAAAAAAAACAAATTTAAGTAGGAGTATAATTAATGTTCTCTTTTTAATTTTAGGGAATACTAAATACATACATTTATATTTAATTTTTTGAACATTTAAAATTTCCATTTAAAAATATGTACCTACATATAAGCAAATAGTTATGCAATATTTTCACATACCATATCTGGCCCAAACAATAGGCTGAATTCCTCCACATTCCCTAATTAAAACTGGAACACTGGGGTTTTTAGACTTGATATCTCCATAAGATTTCGCCACATATTCCCTAGAAATTAAAACCTTGATTTTGTGTCTCAAATACTTAACCATAACTTCTCACCTTACTCCTTCTGAGGCCTTTCCTTTTGGGCACAGGTGAATTCTAATTTCTTTTAAATTAGGCGAAAATTGAGCGAATCTTTGAAAAAACAACCGCATTTTTATAGAAAATCAATTTCCTTCTGTGGTTGTTAAAACTTATAGGTTTCTTCAGTTGCAATGTACCAAATTAATAATACTTAATATGAAATATACATATAGTAGTTTATATATTATAAATTATAATATATATATATGTACATATCTTGACAATTGACACAACAAAACAATCATTATTTCAGTATTTCTGTCAGCCGTGGCCGCAGCATTCCTATATTGCCAGATTTATCTGATTTTTCGGATCTTTGAAAGGTCTGGCAGATTTCTTACCAAAAATGCTAGATTGTTCGTTGGTTAGGAAGTGCGCGGGCGGTAAATCCAGGAGCGTCTGACCTAGAATAGGCGGCTGCCTGATCTGCGTCTGATCCTTGAGGGACGGCACTTTTTGAATCCTGGCAGTAGGTATAAAATGCAAAAATTAATCATTTGTGCAATGGAGAAAACAAAAGGATTTAGTACCCCAGGTGGTAATCCAACTACGTTGGAGAATCCACCCTCTTCGGAGGTCAGCTCTACGGATTCTGGGGAGAGCCGTTTATTGCATTTGATTGATCCTTTCAGGAGGAACGCGAAAACCCGACGTTCACCATCTACATCTGATGTGCGGATTAAAAAAAGAAAAGCGGAATCATCTCCGGAAGTGGTCCAGGTGACGATCAACGCTGAGAAAGTGAATGGTCCTGATTCTAAAAGTCGAGGCAATGTCACGAAAAACTCTAGGCTACCTCCAGTGGTCATAAGTAATGTGCTTGGCTATAATCAAATAGAGTCAACATTATAAAATAAGGACATCAATTACAAGGTTAAAATGATGAATAACAATCAATTTAAGCTTGTTGTAAATTCCGAAATGGATTACGGGAATCTTAGTAGGGCCATAAATGGATCTGGATTAGAATGGCATACCTATTAAAACAAGCAGGCCAGACCAATAAAAGTCATGGTACGAAATCTTCACCCCCGTTGTAAACCGGAAGATATAAAAGAAGACTTAAGCTCTAGGAGTTACAAGATCCTAGATGTAACCAATAAAATTAAAAAAATAAAAGAAAATGGGAAAAACATTATAAGATTTTGAGTTTTAAAAGCATGTAATTTTTACCAACGAAAGTAAATTTTATGTTTTTGGTTCTAATGACAGACAAATTGTTTGGAGAAAACCTAATTCAAAACTTTTGCCTATAAATTTATAATCAACTGTAAAACATGGTGGAGGTTCAGTGATGATGTGGAAGTGTTTTCAACACCTGGAATAAGGAATTTGGCTATAATAGAAGCCTATTATAAACCAAGATAAATATATTAATATCTTAAAGATAAATTTAAAAGAAAGTGCTGAGCGCTCGGGAATCGAAAAAAATTTCAAGCCCACTGGTTATAAAACCCGATCACGGTCATTTATAATTTTCCGAAAGTTGTACGGATACCTCCCCAATCTCCGGATATTGATCCGATTGAAAATTTATGGCAAAAATTAGACAACCGACTTCGAAAACATCAAACAACGAGTGTAAACATGTTAAAACCAAATTAGTGGAGGAATGAGCTCATATTTCGGCTGACATCACAAAAAAACTTGTTGAATCAATGCCAAACCGATTAAAAGATGTCATTCGGAATAAAGGCTATGCAAAAAAGTACTAAACTTAGGATTAGATTAAGTTTGTGCTTTTAATAATATAATTAATGTAATTCTGTATGAATACGACTGTGATTTGATTTGTTCAATAAATTTTTAAAAATATTTTTTTAACAATTTTGTTTGTTAAATATAACTTAATTTTTATTTTTTTTACTACTATTATTAAATAATAAAACTTGATTAAAATATTTACAAAATATATTTTACACTTTCTGTTTTATTAAATAGAATTAAAGTACTAATACGAGTGGGAGCCACTGTATGTTAAGCGTTTGAAAGATTTTCTGTAAATTTAATATGGCAATGCTTCGTGGCTGTGATGCATATACATAATTATACGTTTTTTTTTAAATTCAAAACATAAAAATAAAGAGTAAGCAGAATAGTAATAGTTAAAATCAATCGCAATTTCTTATGGTAAACTGAAATAAAAGACTTAACATAAAAAGTATTAAGCTTGACGTAAATACTTTATTCGAAAAACCTTGGCATTGTATTTTTCAATCACAGTTCGTAATACGTAATGTCACAATGACAGTTTTTAAACCTTTACGTACTTTTGCTTTATAATCATGTTAAAGTAAATCATAAAATCTAAATTTTCGAATCCCTTAAAATTTCATACTTAATTTTAATATTTCTTATACTTTGGGACTATGCAATTGTGAATCATGAATCTAGCCTTAACAGCAACGATCCATACAAAATAAAAGAATCTGCAAAAAATAATACTTCATTTTATACTTTAAATAAATCAATTTAATGCATTAATTTATATTGTAATTTTATTATAGTATATTTCCTTACAAAGCCTTGATTATTGACTAATATCTGTCTGCTCTTTTAATTTAAATTCCTATTACATTATTTATACAACTATGAATCAAAATGTAAAATAAAATTTAATTCAAGTTTTTTTTTTTTATTTTTGTAACAATCTTACAATCTCAAAACACTGTGATCTATATATTTTCTTAAAAAAAAAGTTATATTTCTTTTATATCTACCTTTTATATATACCTTTTACCTATAATAATATGATAGATGTCTTATAAGCTTTAATTAATTGTAATAAATATAAAACTTTTTTATTTAAATATAGAAAATTAAAAAATAATACGTTGTTTTGTGCTTATGGAAAAATTACAGAAACGAAAAATAGAGAAAGCTCTTATTGTTTGTTATTTTTTGAAAAGTTATGTGACATCCAATTCAGTGAAGTCTTCCAAGAATTAGCTAACGCCTCATTAAATTTTGAGCGAAAATGTTCTCTTGCACTTTCTTCTGTTAAGTCTAGTACCTATATACATAAATAAATCAAAGTAAAATTTTATTTTATAATTTAATATATTGTTTTTATTACCAATGTTTCTTTTAAATAGTTGAGATCCTTCTCTGAGGATAGTTCTGGTAATCCAGTAGAAATCATCATAGCAAACAAAGATAATATCAGACATCCATGTCTTCTTAATATAAGAAATGCCTATAAGAAATTCAAATTACAATAAAGTAATTTATAATAATTCATTAACGTAATGGTTTGTACCGTTTCACATAAATTTTGAAAAGTTCGAAATTCTTCAGTTTCCCGTTCTGTTCGACCATTATTGATGACATATACAAAATCGTGTGTTAAGACAAATGGAACCCTTTCTCTTCTTACACCAAATTTCTCTTTGAAATGGCCCAATATGTGACCAAAATCTATATGAAATAGCTGAAAATAAAATTAACGATAAAATTAAAAATAAAGACATAAATTAAAAATAAAGAAACGGTACTGTTTTAATATTTTGAGGTATGCAATTTTGGTTTGACATAGAAATAAATTTAAAAAAAAAAAATCACTCACTATTTTCAGAAAAAAAACTCATACTTACTTGACCAGTTTTCTTAACCATAATATTATCAGAATGCCGATCTGCTACGCCTAACACATATGTGGCTACACAATATCCAGCACAACTATAAGTAAATTCCTTTATTGCTTTTTCTAATTTTTCTAAGGACTCCTCTGATGAGTTATGCTCTTTAAGCCAACTAAGCAATGACCCCTTTTTGAAAGGTGATGTGGCTGAAAACATACCCTTTTCCTTTTGTATATTGGCGATAGTTTCAGCATTTAAAACCACCTCTATCATGCCCATTCTTCTTTCCATACTTATACATCCATATATGTTCATACGAAAATCATACCTGTAAATGGTTTGATAAAATAATTCTTCACAGACCAAATAACTTTTCCATGAAATATACCCTTCATTCTTCCATAACTGATCCATTACCCTTAACATTTGAAGTGTAAGCATATCCTGTCTTAAATCATCTCCATTTTTAAATATTATATGTATGTCATCACCATTTGTATCAGCATTTTCAAAAACTATCCAAAGTGGACGCATTTTAGAATCCATGATTTTGCATTTTTCTGGTCTAAAACCGCACAAATGTAAAACATTTTAGAAAAAAATAATGCACGAAGAAACTTACTTTACTCCTTTGCAACGAAAGTAAGGATTAAGTGGACTTAATAAATTAGCAAAAACTCCACCATTTCTTTCTTTAGTTAAAAAATCTTGTAAGGACGATTTAACTTTTTCTTTATTCCCTTTCCTTGCTAGTTCTGATCCCTGTCTTAATTTTTCTAAACATTCGAATTGCTTATATAATAGAGGAATATGTGTTTGACTGCCTTGTAAGTAAGCTTCTAGAATTAAACCGAAACGAATTTGCATTGCAGGCATTTGCATTTCCGATTTTAAATGCCAAAAAAAGTAGTGGCCAATCCTTTGGTTTTGTAGTGCTCTTCTCAAAAGAAATTTCACCAACTCACAGTCTAAATAGCACTCATGTTTGATTGCTTGAACTAATTGCAACAAATACAGTAAAAGTTCTTCATCTCTAAAATTAAAGGAAAGAAAACAATAAATTACTGTTATGAAAATGTATATAAAATGTTACCTTAATTCTTTGAGACAATTAATTGCAAATCCTCTAACCGTAGGATCTGGATAAGTATAATCTAAGAGTTCGAGAGCTCGTTCAACTGATAGCGTCGGCCACTTTTTTAGCAATCTACAAATTTCACTAACTTCATCTCTTTTATTCCATTCCACACAATGTAATAGCAAGGGTAATGCATAAGGAGCATCGGTTAAGCAGTCAAGTCTTTAACAGATAAAAAATATAAAATAAGACAATGATGCAATTAATTTTCTATTTAAAAATTTATACAATTTGTCTTTTTATCTATAATACTTCCTCTTTTTGATGTTACTACTAACCTTTTAGCCCATATTGCATTGCGTTCCTGGTCATGCATTTCGTATAAACGGTCATTACTAAGATAAGGTTCAAGAATTTGTTTTATGGTTCTCGTATCTTGTGCACTATCTCTATTTAAACTCTTTGTTCTTGAAATTTCGGCGGCATATTGCAAAACTATTTCTTCTGAGGGATATAAGATGATATTCTCTGAGTCGTAGCTAAAAATAAATAAAAATATCAATAAGTTAGAGTGTTGAGATATTTATATTTCAACAAACTTATGGAATGATAATTTAATAGCCGCACACTCTTCAGTTCGAGGGTTCTGTTCTACAGTTCCTAATGAGTTGAATATTTCATCTGATTGGATGTTGTCTGCATAATTCCATGTAAATAATGTCAAAGTCCCGCTTTTTAATTCATCTTTGAAATCAAACAAAGTCACATTAACCCATGCTAAATTGTTCATGCACGGCTCCTTATTATCTTTAACCCGTTTTGTTTTGGAGCCTGCTTGCTTTACAGATTTTGCTCCTTCGTAAATTCCAATACAAAGTCTTGTCATTCTTGGTATATTCTGTAAATTTATGTCAAAAACAATTTCCTCGTCAAGTACAATGGTCTTATCATTTCCAATTGAATGTTCAAACGACTGTTTAGAAGCACACAATGTCTTGTCACCATGGAACAGGCCTAAGTGAACACCGACCTTTTTATTTAAATCACAATTTAAGTTTTCAATAGAATGCAATCGTAATTTGAAATTGCTATTGACATTCCACGAAGTTATATTTTTATTTTGTTTTCGCATATTAAAAGAGCTTTTATTTGAATTTGAGGATAAATTTACTTCATTAATATGATTTTCAGTATATGTTTCCAATTTGTGAATAGATTTCATTACAACAGAAGGTACTCCATCGTTTGATAAGGTTTCCTAATAAAAAATAATATATGCATATGTAAATAAAATATTTTACACAATTTTAAATAATTTTCCATAGCTCACCTGAATGTACACGAATTGTATTAAGGGGTAATCACCAAAAAGATATTCTTCTCTTCCGAAAACTTTGAGAATATATTCTCCAGCATGCCCAATTTTTTGATGATTCATTGTTTTTGACAATTTCCTTGAAAGGACTTCGTTCAAAAATCTATGTGGTGTCATATTGTATTCAACGTAAAGAGTGAACCAGTTATCATCATTTTCTAAGCGAACTACTATTAAAAATGTGCCATTTGGATGCCGACTTTTGATTGTTTCTTGTATAATTGCCGTTTTTGCTAAACGAGGTGGGTTTTGATACATTAACCTATCATACCAACTCATATTACATCGCGATTCCATGATTTCTTCTCTAAGAATAGACATTTTCAGTCTGAAATCTTTAACTTCGGAATTTTTTAATTTTTTAAAGTCTTCTAAAGATCGACCAATTAATAAACCTATAACTTTATAAAATTCATTATCAGAAGACACTTCTGTTAAATTTTTCTTCTCTATTATATTGAACACGCAGAAATATGGTTGAATATCACACAATCGTTTAGATTCGTTATTGAATTCGTCAATATTGGCGAATGCTGATATAGCACTAATAACATACATAGATTGCTCTTTTAAAAATCGGTACAATGGATACGATTTGGCGGTTTCCCATAAATCCTTGAAAATATTTCATTGGTTAAATAATTTTTCTTTTACTATTTTTCTAGAATAACTTACTTCTTTAATATCCCCTATAGTTGAGCTAGGATAAGCTTTTATGGGTATCATAATCCCATTTGGCATCAAACATGCGATTTCAATAACCATTGTATCAGGTAAGTCATTTTGCCAAAAATCTGATTTCTAAATACAAAAATTGAAAATAAAATAGCAATGTAATAACAATAACTACGTTAGTACATAAAAAAAAACGAATTTGGAGTGCCCATTTGTTAGAAATATTTTGATCAAATTCCCGTTTTTTTTTTTCAACAGATAATTGTAGCTTATGTTATGCATACCTATGCTGCAACGAATAATCTAAATAAAATTGTACTAATAAAACAAACAAATGAAAAATTTTAGGTTTAGGTTTGAAATTTGGAGACTGCAAAAATAAGTTTTAAAATATTCAAATTACTTTCTAACATTTTGATAGAAAGGAAATTTAACATGACTTTGAAACTATTTGAATAACTCATTGGAATTTTAAAAAAACGTATTATTTTCGTATGATCAAAAAAACTAAAATGTAAACATCGTTTTTACGGTTTCTCTAAAATTTATTGAAAGGCACCAATGCTGTTCTTAATTTGACAATATGAGATCTCATTTTGAAGTTAGAAGTGCAATTTATTTAAAAAAACTGGAGTAAGAGAGGAACCAATATAAAAGAAAATTATAGGAATTTAAAAAATATTTTGATTTTTGATATAATTTGAAAATTTATTCGTTATAGGTTCACAATTTGCATAAAATTAAGTGATATGAAGTTACGGCAGCTTTAAAAAATTAATATTCGTAATTATTTGAATATTATATTAAATAATATTTTCTTTTTTTAAAGTACAATTCTATTAATCAAGTTTTTATTTAACTGCAGCATAATTCCGTGAACATGATGCAACTTTAATTTCGCGAAATCATTGACGCAGGTAGGTCTTATATTTACATGAATTATTCTGTATCAAGCATTTTCTACTTACACAAAAATGATCCGTAGATGGTATCATGATTGAAGTCTTAGATGTGTTTATTTTATTAAGATTAATTTTTTTGAAGATATATGCTTAATTTTATTTCATTTTTACTTTGGAAGCCACTGCAAAGTAATTCATTTATAAGACACCATGTTTACAATCCAAAATTTTTGTCAATTATATAACAAAACACTAAAACTAAACTTTCTATGTGAGCCGTGTATTTTACAGATCTAAAAACGGATTTACTTAAATAATTTTCTGCAGTTTTAAATTAATTTAATAAAAATCTTATTTATAGAAGCGAGAAAAGTAAATAGAATCATGTACGATTTATGATTACAAATTATTTTAAGACTTCTGACATTTGAATTGATTGACTTACTTACTGACGTTGATTGTAAAATAGGGCTGCCAAGATTGTTCAATATAAGCATTGAAATTTTGTTATTTTGCGATGTGATGAAATAATGAATGAATTGTTATACGTTTCAATATTGCATTACTAAACTAAATAAGTCTTAAGGGCATTTCAGGTACTGTTTACATATGTTTATATATATTTATAATGTTTATATATAACAACACCTAAAAATTAATCTAAGCCTCAGATTAATTTTTTGTAAAACTTATTAACAGCGATTAGTTGAGTTTTTTTTGCTTATTAATTTCGCATCAAATTATTAAATTTTGACGTAAAGTCTGAGTGTCATCAAATATTTCAGTGTGACATTTAAACAGTCGTCAGACTTTGCTGTACATTGAACAGTATCTAAAACGCTGCTCTCAAAATTTTGATATTAATTCATTATAAAATGAATCTTATTTCTTCTAACACTAATATGGTTTTGAGGTTATTATGGTTTGCGAAGCGAATGTCATTGTTCTTGAATTCGCCTAAATCGTGTTATGGTTCGCAAAGCGAATAAAATTATTTCGAGGGAAATGTCAAAACTGGACAAATAAAAATTGTATGTGACTAGCAGTAATTTTCAAAACTTTGTTGTGATTTTCATTTGATAGCTTATATTATTTAAAAACCAGAGATAGAAGTTGTGAAAAAAGATAAAATATTGTAGTAAAATAAATTTTAATTTTTAAATATCTATTAAAAGGTAAATTTAATAAAAAAAACTTTTTCAATTAGTAATACCTATGTACCATTCACATGTAATAAAAATATTATTTTTATGGCAAATAAAAGTAGCGTTCAAAAAAACAAAAACAAATCGGGAGCAGTTCATAAAATTAGTAGAACTAAGAAAAAAAATCCGGATGTAGCTTAAGGTGGAGTTGAATTCGGACTCAAAAAAAAAATATATTAAAGAAAATGTGCATGAATTTTTCTGTGGTATTAAACGTTTTGAAATCTCCAATTCTTCTGGTAACTCCAATGGATTTACTTGGTCTTGTATACATCTTCGTATCCTTCCAATACATATTTGTATCCTCCTCCTCTTCAATATTACGGGTGTATTCATCACAACAGAATAAATCGCCTCTTGATGAAAACATTTATGATTTATCATCATATTTATTATATTTTCATTTATTTCACATATTAAAAATGCTAAAATATCAATTAAACATAAAATTTTTGGAAAATGTTTGTAATTTTATAATATTCAATTTATTTTAACTTTTAAACATACTTTTTTGAAACTTCAATTGTCATTTTTTTTAAAACGTGTTCACAACGATTTTTTTCAAGCGAATTCAACTGTTCACGAACTCGAGTAAGTCATTTCGAGTACACATTCGCTTTGCGAATCATAATCGAAAAAATCTGATTTGACTGATTCCTTACGAGTTAAATCGTGTAGAATTGCAGAATTTACTACAAAGTAAATTCCAGAATTTTGTTTTGGAAATGAAGGATATGAAAAACATGAAGGAAATGAAAAACAAGTATTTTTCTATCTATAAATCGCAAAATTACACTACGAGCATCGCACTGGATTTGAGCATTCAATTGGAAGCGTCTGGTGTTACAGCTATATACTTACCTATAAAATATTTTCATTGTTTTGATATTTTATACGCAAAACTTATTATTTTATACATAAAATTGAATACTGAATTATGCAAATTTGTAACCGAATATTGATTTACATTAATGACTTATGAATATTATCGCGCAATTTAGTGGAAAAGCGAAATTTTTAATCACCAGACGCCGAGTTGTAAACAGTTTCTACAAAATTACAAACCGTTTGATTGCGCTCATACAGTAGCACGATATGAAATCAAACTTAATTGGAACAATCAAAAGTGTTCTAACAGATAAGTATTCGAAATCAATTGAAAAACTAAAACCTGCATGTCTGGAGATGATCAACTGATTATTCAGAAAAATATTAAAATATAAAGTAGGTTTCAAATTTTTTTACATTTACACTAAGTTACAAACATAAGACAGAAACTAGATTCATTGCTTTGTTGTATTTGGGCAGAATTCGAAATTTTACATGAAAATTAACATTTTGCAATTTTGAATTTTGAAGAAATTCAATTTTAATGTTATTCCGACTTACATGACGCAACAGTGAATAGTTTAATTTTGTGTAAAACACGCTTTTGAAACAAAACTATATGGGTAATGAGCGTAATTGATATAAAAATTTACTTGAATCAAATTTGAAACAAATCTGCAATATTTATTAAAATTGCATTGCTGAATAGATAAATATGACGTTGATATACATTTGACTAGACGCTTTATGTTAAACTGTAAAACAAAAAATCAGTGCCTCAGTGTTTTTATTTATAATTTTATTTTAAATGCATTCCTCGTATTTACCACTATAAAAGAACTAATATTTATGTAGTGAGTTTTTTTTCTGTGGATGATTATCTCTGGAGGTGAATTTTGGCTTTATGTTTTAGCAAACATGATTTATTAGAAAATCCCCGAGTGCAACTATCACAACTGTGAAAATATTTTTTTGAATTAAAAAGTACATATGTTTAAATAAATATTTTTTTTACTTGTATCGTTTAAGTCCGAAATGAACCGCCCGTTCATGTGTTCGAAGACCGCTCGAAAATGTGAATTTTTTACCACAAGTCTGACATCTGTAAAGCAATAAAAAATATTGTTCCGAATTAATAATTATTTGAATAAACTTGATATGTGTACATGCACATCGACAGAAATGGTTTAATTGTCAATTCATTTTATTAACGTAAATTCTAAATAGTGGCTGAGTGAATTGACAATTTTAGTATTTCTAGCCGCCACAAGAATGTCGAAACATTCACAGGTCGAATATGCTAAAAAATTGATTTATAGTTAATAAGCGTGCATAGGAAAAGTAAGATTCATTTCATTAATAATAAAATAATGTTATAGTTTTACCACAGAATATTTCTTTAAATAATAATTCTTCCTTTCAAAATTTTTGTAATACGGTAGTATAATTCTTGTAATTTTATACTAATAAAATTATTAGTATAAAAACAAAATACACTACTAAACATGTGTGCTTTTGATTATATTGATATTTTTTAACCATACTGCAATTGTTTTGCACTCTTTGTATGTTTTTTTACAAGCATCATAAATTTAATTTAGGCCGTATACAAAAGTGCAGAACAAATGATACTTGACTTATTCAGCACTACATTTTTAATTGCTGAATAACTTAAATTAACGTTAGATTTGTATTTTACTATACGCCCATTTAATGTCTTCTTTCGAAGAAATTTAAAGATTTTGTAAAACTATTTCAAGGTATCAATTTTTTTAACAATTTTTGTTTTTAAATTTAATATTGTCACAAGATTTCAAAACTAGATTTTGTTGAAAAAATTACTTACGTATAAGGTTTTTCTCCCGTGTGAAGCCTGCAGAGGAAATAAAACATGAATAAAAATTTTTTATTTAAAAAAAAAGGAAAAACTAATAATATTAAAAACTTTATTCTCGATTATACCTTTCATGTTTTATTTTGTCTCCAGAATCTATAAAAGATTTTTCACAATATGAACACTTGTACGGTCTTTCTCCGGTGTGAGTTCTCTGTAATAATGTAATTTCGTTTTAAATGTAGTGTGAAATTTTTGATTAATTACAAGAATATCATACACTCAGGTATAAGAGGCCCTACCAAATTTTTGCTTTAATTTTTTTAATTGCACTTACATTGTGTTTAAGAAGATCTCTGGGAGTTACAAACGATTTAGAACATATTCTAAAATATATGAATGTTTAAAATTATTTTGGCTACTTTAAAAAAGTTAATATTTTACTCACGGGCAAGTAAATCTTTTAAGCTTAACATGCCTATTTATATGAATTTTCAATTGACTTGACTGCTTAAATTCATGACCTGTTTTATATAAATATATTGTATTATATGTTAACTTGTTTGATTTAATAATTTTGTGTGAGACTTACCACACATGTCGCATACAAACACCTTTTTATTTAGTACATTGTCTCTAACCTTAACGCCTGTTAGGTGACGTAAGCTTTCTGCATCCATCTAAAAATTTAAAAGTAAATTTCCCAAGTTTTTATTGTTTTATAAAATTTAAATACCGAAATACTTCTCATATTAAATAGTGATAATTGAAATTAATTCATTTAATGGTACAATTATGTATACATTTATTTAACTATCTACTATATACATAATAAATTTGTACCCAAGAGTTGACTATGGATATACGATATATGAATGTAAAAAAAAAATTGTTAAATTTTTACCTCATCACTCAAATGAGTTTCTAAGTGCCATTGTAATCCTTGTTTTCTTAAGAATGATTTTCCACATAATTTGCATACATATTTCTTATCACCAATGTGTATTTTGCGATGCTCATATAAATGTTTTAAATGTATAAATCTTGAATCACAGTCTTTACATTGATATGGTCTTCCTTCTTGGTAATGTTTGTCCGTTTTTTCCTTTTTGAAAGAATCTATAAAATAAAACAATAAAAGGAAAAAAAGTGCAAAGCTTAATTAGTTTTACATAAAAAAAAAATTTATGCAGTAAATTTGATTTAGTGTTTTTTATCGTACCAAAGTGAGAGAGAACTTCTTGTGGTGTTCCAAAAACTTGCCTACAAACTTTGCATTCTGTTTCTCCCAGTCCATTATGGCTTTGTTTGTGCTGAAGTAATAATCTTTTGTTACTTCTTCTTTCACCACATGTTGAGCACTTATGTCTTGGAAGCTTATTACCACTTTCGTCAACCTCTTCTTCGTTTTTATTTATATCGTCGGGGTTTTCTATATTTTTAATGTCTTTTATTTTATTTATGTTCTGTTTGGAATCTTTATTATCAAAGACAATATCAGGCTGAACAACAAGGAATTCACGATTTTCACTTTTTGTATTGTCGCATTTTTCAGCTTTAATTTTAATTTTTAAACTGCCTTCGTTTACTTTAACAACTTTTTCTTTTTTTGAGCTTCTTTTTTTTCTAACTGGTTTTTCTTTTTTAATGTTTTCGATGGGAATTTGACCATTTTTCTGAGCATTGTTACTCTTTCCTTCCTTTTTGATTTGTTTCTTGGATTTTAATAATTTTGTTTTCTTTATTAGTTGATCTAAGGGGCAGTCATCGGATTCATAATCATCAACGTCTTTCTCTATTTTAATTAATTTGATGTCAGATTTTGTTTCATCAAAAATTTCTTCAAAATCCCTATCTTTTCTGTCTGTATTATTATATATATTGTCTATTTCATTAAATTTATCGTCTTCATCATTATACATGTCGTCTATATCATTATATCTTTCATCTTCTTCATCAAAATTCTCAAAAGAATTGCACTCTTTTTCCACCAATATTTCTTCTTTAATTTTTTTAATATCTTCAGGTTTAAATTCTTCTTCCTCTTCTTCACTACTTGACAACTAAAACAAATTTGCAATAATTTTATAATAAGTAATGAATAAATTTTGATTACAAAATGGATAAAGCCATTTTAAAAGTTTTGTAAAAGTACTGATGTATGTATGTACGTACGTAAACAAATATTAAGAAAATTATACAATTATTTTACAAATTCCACAAAATGAATAACAAAGAATGTAATCAAATGAATTAATATAAATAAATTATTAAAGAAGATTTAATTAAATTTATCGACAATTAATTTTACTGTAGTTACGTACTCATATTTATACTAAATTTATTGCTTTTTCACTAAGTTAGTAAATCGTGTTTTGTAAAACAATTCATTTTATGAAATGTTATTAAAGATTAAGAAAAAATTTAGTTGAAAAATTGATATTTATTACCAAGTTTTTTAATATTTTCGTTTACTAATAATTAGAACTAGTAACCGAGTGTGTAATTAAGTCATTGTTTAGAAAACATAGATTGAAAATAAGAAATTTGACTTTATTAACACTTACTTCTATTGTCTTTGCATTAAGTTCAACCACTCTGACATCTGGATCTTCAAAAAATGAATCTTCGCTTTTCGTTTTAACTTCATTTAGTTCAGCAATCTTTTGATTTTCTAAATAATCAAAGTCTATTGTATCTACGAAAGCAATTTCTACTGGTGTTATGTTCGGTTTTTTCGAACTTCGATTAGATCTTCCACTGTAAAATAAAATTTTTAATTAAATTTAAATAAATCATAATATAACTTTGTAGTGGAGACAATTTCCGAATGAAAATAATTCATATAGTTTATTAAATTTATAAAAAAATATATTTGTTGCTTTCATAAAATCATAAAACATTATTTTAAAATTTTCATCTTTCTGCTATTCAATTTTTCATTTCAAATGAACTTCCAATCATCGTCATATTCATTGAATCTTCCACTTCAGCTCATAAAAACAAAATTTTCAAGAAAACCTCTAAAAATTATGAACAAAGTAGCATTTTATGCAATTGTAGAAGTGGGAACCAATAAAAATAAAGCAGAGGGTCAACTTTAAATCTTAGGTATTTTACAAATCATTTAAAATAAGTTTCGTTTTATTAAAAAAAAATGTAATAAATAAAAGTAAAAGAAAATAATATATATACTACAAATAATTTTAAAAAATATTACCTATTTTTTTCATTGCGTCCAACCCTATGTTTTGCCATGTGAGTCTCTAATTGCTTTGCATGTTTAAAAGTCTCTCCTACAAGAAAAAAATAATTATTAATAGGATAGGTCAAATTATTGTTTGGAAGAGCAGGACAAAAGTGGTTGGAGAAACATTTTTCAATAAAATAGCTATTTAAATTCAACAGGGTTTGTGTCATTTTTTGTTTTTGTTATTTTGGTATATGCAACTGTTTAATTTATTGATCAGTGGAATTGACAATTTTAAAATGCAAAAATCTGCTTAAATACGATTGAACAGATTGATACGATGGAATTTCAGTTGCAGCCAAATTATCAGTTAATTTTTTCGTACACCAAATAAAAGCAATACAAAATTAATAGCATAGGTCTAGAAATAAACTTCATACATACATACATATATCCTAAAATTTTAAGTTTAAAAAAAAAAGCTTAAAAACAAATCTTACAGCTCTATGTAAGTTTTATTTAAAGCATTTTTTAAGAAAGAATTATTAATGATTTCGCATTTTAATTTACTTAACTTTAACTTTTATTAAAAAATAAACATTTTTTCATTTCATGATTTAGGAAGTTAGATATTTTGAACTTAAAATATTAGTTATTTACTTTTTATTTTAAAAATGAATCTGTATTAACAAAAAAAAAAGGAAAATAATCCTGCAGTCATTAAATATTATAAATTTTAAAAGTTTTGTATTTAAATAAAACATATAAGGAGCTTAGGTTAAAATACGATGATTTTGGTATTTGTTAGATAAATAAATACACTAAATTATATTACCACATATATTGCATTCATATGAACTTGAATTTTTAGACCGCCTTTCATTTTCAAGTCTCTCCTCTTCAGATATTTCCTGAAAATAAAAAAAAAGGAATATATATTTTAGTTGTTGAACATATAATCCATAATATAATAAGAAACTCTTATTTTGGTAGTAATGTTTGATAACTCTATATTACTAATTTAAGTTATAATTGATAACTCTATATTACTATATAACTAATTTAAGCCCATATCCAAAAATTCATTTAAATAGCTAATATTTGTGAATGTTTTAAAATTGTTGAACTTTAAACCGGTTTGCTTATTGTTACATAAAATAACGTTATTTATTGTATTGTCGAATTTAAATTACTCACTTAACCATATAATTTTAAAATTACTAGCTATGTATAAGATTTTTTATTTTAGTTATAAGAAGTTGGTGCCCTAAATGATTTATTTTTACTGCAGTAAGACCATAATATATCGGTATGTTCCTAACTATTTTCCTAATTTTTGGCAATGCAAATGAAAAAAATTTTAAATGAACTTCCCCAAATTCTTTTCGTCTGATAAACTTAATTTTTTTCTCAGGTAGGCACATATTTACTTATAACTGGTGTTAAAGTTTCTATGTGAATGGATGAGATGATAATGGTTTACTCTTAGTTTTAGTTGAATAAAATATTGTTAAAAGCAACGAAGATTCATAACTCTGTCTTACTACATTTAATTCAAAATACTATTGCAAGACTATTTTGGTAGGTATGTATATATTACCTTTTTACATTTTCTTGGAAATCTCTTAGAATTTGTTACTTGAATTGGTGTATGGATTACTGGTTTCGTTTCAATTGGTGAACTTTTTTCATGAATTTTCTTATGTTGATTGAGATCTTCTTCGGTATTGAAACGCACCTTACAATATCCGCACTCAAAGGGTTTATTTTTAGTATAAATCTCATAGTTCTCATGACTTTTAAAAATACCTAAAAAAAACATTCTTATTTTTTTTGTTGTTTTGTTAAATAAATTTATTCACTGTAATGATCCGTCGCATCTTGTGGTGTCATAAAAATTTTCCAACAAACTTTACACTCCATTTTTTTTAATAGAAAAAAAATTAATTTGTTTACAGCGATTATATTACTAAATAAATTTACAAAATATTTTGTAGGTAATAACTTTACAATACAATCCAACTATGTATTTATAAGTTGAGCTTCTCAAACTCTTCAACAATAATTCTAAATGATTGTAAACGCTAATGCGGTATAAGATCGCATCTAATAATACAATAAAGTATAAATTTTGCTACCTTTTGTGTTGTCGGTCTGCTATTCTGTTTTTTTTTATTACGAAATATTTTGTGTGCAGTTAAAAATTAGAAAAAAATTCCATTCAAATGCAGGAAATAAATTAACAACCCAATTCATATAATATAGAAATTAGAAGATTAATTATTATCAGAAACTTATAAAACGAACAGTTGGCTTAACATAGTTTTACAATATGTTATTTTTGACATAATAATAGTCAATGAAGAGTGAAACAAATTAAAAATAATATGGTAAGACCGCGTTTTTACAAGTTTTGACAATGACATAATTATTGTTATTGTTTTTAAAAAGTAGAGGACGTGTAAGTAATAAGTGGAAGATTTATTTCTTCGTAAATTTAATACAAAATTTTAATTTAGAAATTTAAGAACTACTTTGCGCAATAAAAATGGATTTTGCCGAAGAATTTAAAAACATAAATGTTGTTTTTAACCCCAATGAATTTATGAAGGTAATTTTTCGCAGCAACAATATTAAAATATTAATTTTGCAATTTGATTTGCAGGAATCATTTTCTGTCGATTGTTTTTTGTCAACAATTAAATGTTGTGAGCTGGAAAAAGTCAGAGAAGACTTAGGTTTGCTTCTGCAATTGCTAAAACGATCCATGATTAAATTAATAAATGCTGACTATCAAGACTTCATACTTCTTTCTACAAATTTAAAAGATCTTAAAACAACAGTTAAAAATTTAGAGGTACCATTTTTTTTACTGAAAACGAAAATTGATAATATGAAGAATATTATGAAACAACATATTGAATTTATTGAAAAACTTATTAGCGAGAGGTGTATGTTGAAAATTCTTCGTAAAAAATTATTTTCATTGCAAAACTTAAAAAATTACACAAACTACTTTAAAGAAATTAATGAAATCGATAGATTTAGCCGGTTCCTTCATTTAATGTATTTAAGTAAACATAAAATCAATGATTTTGATGATTGGGAACATAATAAGGAGATTGCACTAGTTAACAATTCAGTCAAAGAAAAATTGGAGAGTCGTTTTTATGATTGCGTTAAACAAAATCAACAACAAGATTTATATAAAATTTTATTAACATGCTCCGTTATTGATAACATTTCGTTAGTAGAAAATGTTTTTAGAAAAAAGATTGTTAAACAATTTGTTGAAGAAGAAGTTTCTTCATTAATTGAAAATAAAATATCGAAACAATCTTTGTCAAATTTTTATAAAAATGTGTTGGATTTTATTCCTATACACATGAAAAATTTACTTTTTCTTACAATTTACAACAAAAGGATTGAAGAAACTGATTTTCTAATAAATAGTTTGTGGACTGAAATTGAAGAGCAACTTCGAGACAATTTACCATTAATTTTTTCACCTGGTAACCCAGAACTTTTCATTTCTAGGCTGGAATCAACAGAAATATTTCTAAACAAATTTGAAAAATTATTTGGCAATAAGGAGTGTGTCATTAAATTTAGATCAAATCAAAATACAAAAAATTTCTTGCAGTGTTGGAATTTAACTGTTTATTTTCAAATTCGATTTCAAGAAATTTTGTATGATTTAGAAGCGGTTGCTGAAACTAGTCAAACAGATTATGAAAATAATACTGGTGCAAGTGAATTTAAATTAACTTTTACGGAAAAAGCAAATAAAGCCATAAATAAATGTTGGTCAAATGGAATCTATAATAAAAAGTTATTCACTAAATTTTTAAAATTATCTCTGCAAATATTATCTAGAGTAAATATATGGGCACGCAACATATTGGATTCCAATAAATCGAAAAATTTTCCTATCGATTTGATTGTATTAATTTATGGAGACATTAGTTTAATAACTGAAAAAATCCCAATATATACCCAAGTATCTAAAAGTAAGTTGCCTAAAGAGATATCTAACTCTGCCTACTTGTGTGAAAGTTGCTTTGAGCATTCAACAACAATGTTTAAAAATCTCAAGAATCTAATAGAAGAAAAAGTGGCTGCATTTTTAATAAATCAGAGTAGCGTTCATTTGAAATTCGTTGCTGACTTAACCAGAATGTACCGAAAAACTAATCGCGATGTACCAAATGATAAAAGTATTTACGTACACAATATGACCAAACCATTTGAATCCTTCAAACAGAAATATTCAAAATCATTTACTGACAAAAAATTAAAAGAAATTTTCAAGACTTGTTTTCAAGAAATTACCAAAGAGTAAGTGTTACCGAAATTCAAGTATAGTAAATTACTACATTTCTCTTTTATTTATTTTTTTTAGTTATTTTAATTGTGTAAGTGATATATTATTGTCTATTAAAAGAACAGAGGAATCGTTGAAGAGATTAAAAAATATTCGATCGAAAACGATGAATAGTACTGACTCAGTTCAAGAAACAACTTTTGTTGGAGATGATGATAAAATCCGAATTCAATTAAGAATAGATGTTCTATATTGGGTAGCTAGTATACAAAAAGCTATAGGGAAAGAAGATGTCCCCAATCTTCAAGAGTTTATTGCGTTAGTTGAGATACCCTCACTTGTAACTGCGAACATTTAAATATACAAAAGTCTGCAATTCATTTGATAACGATATAGAGGTAAGTATTTAAACTAATTTTAAGTTCTTTTTGGAAAATAAATTCAATTTATGATTTTGACAACAATGCAATTAATTGTAACAATTGCAGTATGTAATAGTTGTAAATACATATGTCAGCAAATTAAAAAAATTAAATCGCACTTAAAAATTAAATTGAATATTATTGAAAAATTTATTTAAACGTTGAATTGATTTAGTTTTTTGAAAATTAGTATGCCAACATTGTCTTTGTTTTTGAAAAATATTAACGCTAAAACATGAAAGCTAAAACATAAAATAAAATAATTATCAATATTTATTGAAAAGTTTTCATTGAAACTTAGGAATGTAAAGCTTGCGGAGGCTTGAAAAAATAAAAAAGTAAACTGTGATCTGAGGGATTTAAAAAAATTTTTTTATCATTTGACTGTTTTTATTAACATACAAAAAAAATTTTAACATGACGCCTTGGAACTTCAACTATTTTTCACATATATAAAGCACAACCATATATTATTTAACTAAATAACCGAAACAATTAAAAAATTAACATGCTTCAAAGGATTTAACTTGTTCAATTTTTTGCCCGATTTTGAAAGTAGTTCCAAAATTTTAAGAACAACTTTTTTACAACAACAATAAAAAAAAAGAAACAAAAAATATAATATAAAGGTGAATATTTAAAACAAATTTATAAGTTAAAAAATTTAATTTTAATTCAAAAGATTCATATATTTCCTTCACCAACGTAGTACTGTTTTTGCACCTAACCCACAATAAAATATAACAAAAATGAATTTACTCCAAAATTTATGCTACCGCAATCATTGTTGGGCAATTAGGTATCCTACAATTAATACTGGATGAGAAGTCATCTTGTCTGCAAAAGGCGCATTGTCCCGGATTTTCTGGATAATGTAATGGTAAACAAACTTCCTCCCATGTTTTCCTCAAATCTTTCACTAATTGATTTATCATGCTGTGAGTATGGAATGGCGTTGGAGCCAATCGCAGTTTTTCTTCTCCTCTTGGTACAGTTGGATAATTGATAGCTTGTACATAATGCCCATATTTACTTAGTAGTAAGTCTGATAATTTTGTGCATTTTTCAGGATTGCCGATCTAAATAAAAAAAAATATATGTACATATGTACGTAAATTTGAAATATAAAAAAGGGTACACTTTTGAAATAAATTATAGGAAAAATTTGTTTAGAAACGTATGCATACTTTTATTGGAATTATGTGGCTTAAAGTTGGTTCAACTGGGAAACCTTCTCTTTGTAGTAATGATCTCAAATAGTTCACATTGTTTTGATGACGTGATCGTAATTCTTTGCCTTCATCTGAAGAAAGAATTTCAATAGCTTGATATGCTCCTCGTAAAACCGTTGGCGGTAAAGAGGTTGTGAATATAAATCCAGCGGCATATGATCTTATCATGTCCACCAATGACGTACTTCCCGCAATATATCCTCCAATATTTCCGAACGCTTTACCTAATGTACCAGAGATAATATCCATATTATGCAACTGGTTGTCCCTTTCCCCCACTCCGGCTCCATTTTGCCCATAAAGTCCAACGGCGTGAACTTCATCAATAAATGTTATGGCACCAAATTCATGTGCCACTTCACAAAGTTGTTTTAGTGGACATATACTGCCAGACATAGAATGTACGGTTTCGAAAGCAACAATTTTTGGAATATTTTTGTCAACTTTTTCTAATAAAAATCTCAAGTGATTTGGGTCGTTGTGCTTAAAAATATGTTTAGGAGCTTGACTATTTCTTATTCCCATTATCATTGATGCATGATTGCCCTCATCAGAAAATATGTGACAATTAGGAAGTAATCTAGCTAGTGTATATAATGTAGAATCATTTGCAACGAAACAAGAAGTAAATAACAACGCTGCTTCTTTTTTGTGCAATTTAGCCAAACGTTTCTCCAGCAATTCATGATAAAGAGAATTTCCCGATATGTTTCGAGTTCCCCCAGCACCCGCACCATGATTTTCTAAGGCGTCTCTAACAGCAGCTTTAACCTTTGGATGACAAGACATTCCTAAATAATCATTAGAGCACCACACAGTTATTGGTTTTTCACCAGATGTGTATTCCAAAGCCTTTGGAAAACTTCCTTCTCCCGCTAACCTATTAACCTTTTTAAATATTCTGTAAGAATGATCCTCCTTTTTTTTCATTATTTGCTCTTTAAAGAATTTTTCGTATTTGAATGAGTTTTTTTCTTCATTTTTTGAAATCATTTTTTTTTGAACAGATTCTTCAACACTTTCCTTTACAGAATCCTTTTCTTCAATTGGATGATGTTGCTGTAGTGAGCTAAATTGATTTGTAAGCGTTGAGCCTAGTTTTAAACTCATGACCGGACAATGTGAAGCATAATTTTGTATTAAAAGAGGGGCATAATTCCGCAAATATGAAGCACCCAAAGAATTCAAAAATGGACAGGACATATTTTTATTTAGTACCTAAAATAAAATAATTGTAAAGATATAAAGCTATTTTTAAAATATTGAAATGTGAAACCTACAAATAATTTATGTAATTTATTTATCATTTTTGTGAAAAGTTATTACAATATTTTCTGAATTTATTAAAAAGGTTAATATATTTAACTTTTTATGTATTTCAATGCTCTATTTAAAATATTTGAATACAAAATTTAATAGAATACAGCTATTATGTACTAAGATATTTTTGTAGATATTTTCATGTATTTTATTAACCACTTTCCCACTTATAAATGCTATTTAAAAATTAAAAATATTTTTTTCTGTTTAAATTAAAAATTGGACAAAATATTTCATATCGAACTTAATACTTGAAGAAATGGTGTACTATCTTTGTAATTTCTATTTCCAAACTAAGTAGTACGAAAGTTTCATTTCTAGTTGAACCTAAGTAAACATTTAATCTTTTAAGTTAAAATTTTTCAATTAGTAGGGTCATTTTCATGCAAATATTATATACATATATATAGATATAGATAGTATGCATGTAGTTATTTTTCGAAATATACGTAATTATACTGACTATGTGTAGACAGTACACTGTGTTTGTAATTATCGTTTGAATTAAAGTACATACTTATTCCAAAACTTTAAATAGTGTTTGTAATCAATCACCTTTTCGGTCAATATTAATGTACAAATATGTATAAGTATATATGTGTGTAGATATGTATATATTTGCTTTGCAAATGCATAGTTTAGATCAACTGGTTTAGATATGTAGCTTAGTTACATTTTAAGCATTTAAATTTGCAGAAATTTTTTTTATTTTTTTACTTCTTTGGAATACTTCCTACATACTTATGCACATATTTATAGTTCATAATATACTTGACTTATTTTCGTTTTCGACACAAAAAAAAGGATAACAACTTTAAGTTTTTCTAATAAATTATCTAATAAGTTTTAAGCAAAATTATATTTTTTGATTCATATACACACGTATGTACATAAAAACCTTCCTACCTAAATATATACAAAGTAAGGTAGATACATTAATTTTATTTGCCAGTGTTTCTTGTAATTATTGGCACGCAATTTTAATAGTTTTTCAATAATTATAATTATTGTCATTTTGTTGCACGACAATAGGTATTTCTAATGTTATTTTACTGTTTGCCCAACTGAACTTTCAAAAACTTACTAGGTAAAAGCACACAAGAGTAATAAAACAGTAATAACTAGTAAATTTATTCGTATATACATATATACACACTTTTGTATATAAAATGTGCACCTACGTATTTAGTTTTTACATGAATAATAAGGAATAATTGAAAAGCACTTGAATTCCATGGTAGTAACAGAAAAGAGAAAATTCTAATTAATGTAAAGTGGGAAATTCATTGCTTTCCTAACAGGTAGGTACATATATGCATACCTACAAATATGAAAATTTTTCTTACTGCACTGCAACTGGATAATTTTTTTTTGTTGATAACTTAACTTTCTATTATACTAAACACTTACTCTAATCAATTTCTATTAAACTTTAAAATAAAGTATTTTTTTACCTTCTTGTCTCTTGCAAAAAAAATTTATGGAATGATAAAATCAGGTGACGTAACTGTCTTGTAATTATTTAGTAAATTAATACCAAACCAATTTCTAATTTTTTTTATTGTATAATGATTGACAGTTATTAGTTAAACGAATGTTGCCAAACTATTTCAGTTTAATTATTTGTCTTCAGTATTCTATTCAAGTTTTGTGCTGCAAATAATGTATCAACAGTGATATGCACCGGCAATATAATCGATTCAAAACAATGATATCATAATAACAAAGAAGTGAAAATACAATTTTTTCAATTGATCATACCAAAATATCGATATTACTCAAAATTTAACAACATAATTATTATAGAGGAATACATTTGATGAAAAGCGGATTTTATAATTTGGGTGCATAAAAATTAAAAAATTCCACTTTTATTAAATCTTTTATACCTTTTATTATAATGTTTTTGGGACGAGCAATAAATTATAAATGTTTGATATTGATATAAAAGTTGTCGTATAGCACAGCTAATATTGCTCAAATAGCTTGAAAAATATAATATGTATGAATACTGACTGTTGCATATGAAAAATATATTCTTACATATTTATGACAAATCAAGATATTAAACAAAAAATTTGATTAAATAGATTGGTTGAATTAACATTCCACTGTTACGTTCCCTTTGAGTGGAATTTATTGTAAAGCAAATTTATTTGAATTTATACCATAGGCAAGTGACTATGTAAAGAGCTTAAATGTTAGTGCCATCATTTACTGATAGTCGAAAATGTGTAACATTTGTTTGGAACGTGTTTTTTTTTTTGGAAAATTGTGCTAATTTGTTCTTACTCTCCTGGCAAATTTTTTGTTATCAAACTTAAAATTATTTTAAGCAGGATTTTCAAATATGTATATATTTAATATTTTTGGATTTAGAACAAATATTTGATAGATTGGTGATTGTATTTAACGTTAGAAAGTTCAGATGTAGAATTCGTTTTCTGTTTTGTGATCAGAGCATTGCTCACATTTTAAGCTACGTGTTCGAAATTTTTTTTCAGAATTGCTAGAGTTCTTGTACAATTTAGACGAAAATGACAATAATAAGAAATTAGTTTTCAGCGGTAAAAATAAATTATTTAATTATAATCACTATATTAGAATAAAAAAGTATTGAACTTGTTAATCAAAAAAAAAACTTATTTGAAAAAGGCTTCACATATTTTTTCCACGTACGAGTATATAATTTTTATTTTTCACTACCAAAAATGCAACAAAACCTTATTTTTCGGCGATTAAGGGCTTTTGTTTTTGTTATGTGAATTGTGAATATGAAATAAGAAGGACAAAACACATGGGGCAATACTGTAAATTATAAGTGTCAAAGCCAAGGAGTAAAAAAGAAAGACATGTATCGGAATAAGATACTCCCAAAATATTTAATTTTAAAATAAATAATTTACTTAAAAATTAAAATTTGATAAGTATTCAATTACAAAAATGGAAACAGATTTTTCGAAAAGTTCACAAGGTGGGTATTCAAAATTATAGACAAGGAAAAAATGAAAAACAATTAGGTATTTACATAAAGGAAATATTTCTGAGGGCACTTCTGTCTATTTATTGATTTTTCGAAGTAAGGTTTTTTTTTATTTTTCCTTAATTGTGATTTAAAGCAATAAAAGTTTTTATTAAAAAAATTGTGTTACAATAAAAAGGAGCTTAAAGAAAATGTTGGATTACTAATTTAATAACGTAAATTAATAAAAGAATTTTAAAAATTGCAGCATGAATCATTTTTAAAATTTCATTGTTTTTTGCTTAGGACAATTCAAAAAAAATATACATATTATGCATATAATTATAAATTATATGTACACCATATAGAATATATATAAAAAAACTTGAAAATCGTAATATTTACAAAAAAATCGTATTATTTGTTTAATATTTTAGAAATTATGAACAAAAATTCTGAAAACTATGCTCAAATAAATTTTTCTCAAGTTTGTAACAACTTAAAAGAAAATATTGTTGATAAAAATGGGACTGTGTTAATTTCAACAAATGCTGATAACTATAAAGAAGCTGCAAGTGATGTAACGAATAGTAATATAAACGAAAATAACTATAGTATTCTAGAGGATGCAAGTGATTCTGGAGTAAACTGTCTTGATTCAGAATCAAGCGAAATATTTGTTGGATCATTTAGTTCCCAAAACGAATTTGAATTAGACAATAACCCATTTTGCAATAAAATCGATAATCATATCTCGAATAAAAAGACACCAAATAAAGCAGATCTCGATATACTAGCTAAAGAACAACCTTTAAATGAAAATAAGAAGGGTGAAAACGAAATTGGGAAAAATGAAGAATTGGCAAGGATAAACAATGCAGCAAATAACAATATTAATACTGACACAGGAAATATAAAATATCGCAACAAAACTAAGAATTCGACAAAAGCACCAAAGAAACGTGTTTCGTTTCATGAAGATATTTTAAAAAATACTCGGACAGATAACATTCATATTGAACATGGATTCATTACGTACAAAAATTCAAGAAAAATAGATGTCCCTGGAAGGTAATTTTTCTAAAAGTGATATAGTATTTTATATTTATATAATATATATTTGTTTTAGACACTCATGGTGCTTTAATGTTGATTCAAATAGAAGTAGTTGCGACGAGGAATTAACTTGTAGATGCAGTGGCTGTGAAAAGCAAATAAGATCGTTAGCTTATAGAAATGCTTGCTCTGATGTTTTAGATTACGGAAATGCTAATGTTTATGAAAGTTTAGAGAGTTTTGGATTGGAGCTTACTGACTCTAATACTTTGGATAAGGAAGATACTATATTTCATTCTAATTCCAATCCAAATCTTCCTTCAACCGTCGATTTGGCTAATATAAAACATTCGAGTGATTCTAAAAAGCCACATGAATATCCTAAATCAAGCTCTTGTGATTGTATTGGGTTCTGCACAACAAACAGTTATTTTATCAGTAAATATTGCTACTTTTCTGAACCAAGTATTGAAGATCCGCTACAAAAACCAGCATATTCAAAACAAAAGAAATCAAAATATAGCTGTTTAAAAAAGTCTTCCCAAAGAAGTGCTTTTCCCGTTGACGAAAATGATGTTATAAAAAAAATGCAGCGATTCAATGTTCATGAACTTAAGATTCTCGATAAAAGCAAAATGATATTGGGCACTTTTAAAAATATGTTTTCCACTGATTTACCCGAACGTGGAATACCAGAAGGATTGGAAAATGTGCATTCAGTTTGTGAATATGCGCGAGAGTCTGAAACAGTAGATCGCAAACCTTCGGGAAATTCTGCGGCAACTCGTTTGAAAAAATTAAGTAAAAGTTTGGACGGAGATAAGCATAATAATGGCAATATGACAGGTTCAAAGCAAGTAATATATCACATAAAAATAGACTAAAAATACTTTATTTCAGGATGTCAAAATAAATTCATTCATAATGTTGATGAGCAATTAAGAAAAAAGAAAATTACTCAAGATCCTATAGTAACTGACGACAACTTAACTTGTCAATCAATCGAAAAAGTAGATGCCTGTATTTTGGAGAATTTTGTAAATGAAAAAGAAAATATAAATATTGCTGTAAAAGAAGAATCTGCGCAAAAATGTGCTAAGCAAAATTATCGCAACAAATATATAATAAATTGCGTAAGTACGGTCTTTGAGCATACAGGAATTCCTGTAACGGACGAAGTAAAAATAGACAAATCGCCGAAGACTACAACTACAGTTGAAGCAGACAAAAAATTTATGGATATGAAACCTTTATCAAATGTGTTTGCAAATATTTTTAAATCCATAAAAGAATCTGTTGTCTCACCTGCACCAATACAGAAGCAAAACAAGTCACCGCAAATTTCAATAATGACTGATGCAACTCATAATGAAGTAAATAAAAAGATTTTGAAAGAAAATTCAGAATTATCTGAAAATAATTCTGTAATTGATCTAGTTCCCAAAGATAATACTTTAAAAACCATTATAAAAAATGATGATCTCAATTCGTTTATTATAAATAAGAAATGTTTGAGTAATTCTTTGCTCCAAAATGTGAATAGGTATTTTTATAATTGCTTATCCTTTAAATATCGATCAATAATTTGACATTATTTATATTATTTTAGCGACAATTATAAACTAGTTGAAGATAGCGAATCTACACCTACAAAAGTTAAATTGGGTATTAAGAAGAAAAGTAACTTACACTTCAATGATAAAAACGCTATGATGAATCCTGACTTGTTTGACTGTTTTCGACATGACTTAGAGAACTTAAATCCAATTTTTTTTAATGGAGAAAATGACAATTTACTAAAAGTGAATCAAAAAAATATAAATGGAGGTTGTATGGATGTTGTCACACCATATTACTTGAACAAAATCAAAAAAATGGCTCATCCAACTATACCAAATTCGGTTAATGTATCTATAAATGGATTATTAAAAGCTTCGCAATCAGCTTTGATAAATCGGTTTTTGCATGATGTTTCGAAAAACAAAATCATTGAAACTTCAATTCGAAATAATATGATTTTCGCGAGAAAAATGAGACAATATTCAACTTTTGGAGAAAGTTTATACATAAAAGGGATTAAAACTTTGAACTATGATTTGATTGAGGACTTGAATGCGAAAATAGAATCGGAGATGTCCTGCAGCAATTTTAATTTTGATGATTTAGTTATTACTAATAAAAATGATGTTTCTAAGCGATTATTTGATATCTCTCGGTTTCAATTGGGAATTGGCGAGGTTCCTGCAGAAATATTTGATGGTAGTTGCCAACACTTATTAAACGATAAAAATGAAAGTATAATGAAGGTTGGTGTATTATTAATGCAATTTTGATAAATTTAAAATATTTTAAAAAATTACAGGTCTTTAAATTATATGCTGGATATAGCAAGGAAGGATTCATGACCCCTGTGCTGGTATTTTTAACCGACAAGGCTTTGTATGTTAGAGATTTGGTTGAAAATCGTCTTTGTAATAAATACATACTTAAGTATTCAGAATTGGACGTTATTTTGGTAACAGTATTTACTTTCTTTAGTTAGATTTATAGAAAAATAATATAAAATTCACAGATAGGACCGTATGGAAATACAGTTCTATTAAGTAATGTATCACGAGATATGCAAAAGGTTTTACTGGCAGGTGGTCCACATACAGCTGACGAGTTTGTGGCAAATTTGGAGCTGTGTATTCGTCGTGGAGGTTTCTTCCTTCCAGCGGTTGGTCAGCTGAACTTAGAAAACTTTAATTCTTTACAGAGTTTCGTACGGCAGAATCTATTTCTTTCTTCTTCTGATAGTTGGGTATACTATGCAGTTATTAACAGCTCTACTGAGGCGATAGTTTCCAAGGAGCAATTTTCCGCACCAAGCATAAAAGGTTTTTTGATGTACAGACATATTCAAGAAAACTCTTTGAGTAAAAAAGAAAATTGGGATATTGGTTTTTTCCTTTTAAAGTAAAGCAAGAATTTTCAAGTGTTTCCAATTAAAATAACATATGTATATTATTTAGGGGGGGTTCTTTATATATGTTTAGTGATATTGATCAACAAATACCAAAATGGCTAATAGAGTTATCGGAATGCCAAGGTTTCCGGCGGTCTGAAAATGCTGATAGACCTCATTGTTTTGAGTTAATTTTACAAAAAGGACTGTTGAAATTGGCTGCACCGGATGAACATGCTGTTTTCGAATGGCTTCAAGCTTTTAACAAAGTCGAGAAGGGGGTAATTATAGATAAAAATTCAAAGAAATTTTATAAACACAATATTTTTAGTTTTCCGATATGCACAAAAAACAGAAAATTTTGGGTTGTACTTTGATTATGACAACAAACCACTTAGTTACTTTACGCGAAAACTTTACATCTCCATTAGGCTTCAAATCGTTGAAATTAGAAGACCAAGACCAAAAATTATTTAACAATGTTGTTATGGGAAAATTCAAACCAAATGCAACCAATACGGAGGTATTTATATATACATTTCCACAGCAAATATAAATTTGATTGTAATTTGATTCTAATAAATTGAAGGTCAATGAGAAACCAATTGTTTCTGAAACTTCGAATTCTTCAAAAGATTCAATTTCAAATGTATCTATAAAAGAGTCAAATGTGATAGCATTGAAAGAGGCAAAATCTAACAATTCTTTTGAATCGGAAAATATGAATAATTTTTATGCAGAAAATACTGGTATTGAGATATTAACTTGCGCTTTCATAAAAGAAATAACGGGTGTGCGTATTCCATTAAAATTTGAAAGTTGGTGGTGCATTTTAGAATTTTCTTGTCAAGAAGCTGGCGAAACATTAAATGATCTGGTAATTTTTTTTTCAAGTAGCTCAGAAATGCAACGTTTTCTAAGAGTTTTAGAGCGGTTATGGTTGGCTAAAAATGTAATATTTGTTCAATTCATTTAACTAAAACTTAATTTAACGAAAATTAAATTGTAATTCGTTTCAGATGGATTTGTTTCCATTAACGATATTAGATGAGGAAGATGTCATATCACAACAGTGCACAAATGTATTTATTAATATAAGTAGGTCATGGATTCCGTTACTAAATGCTGCTCTTTCGTACCCTGCATAAATAATCACAAGAAATTTAATTTACAGTAGTGTGCCTCGCAAAACTTAAAGTTTTCGAATGGAATATTTATGTATGTGTATGCTTAAAAATGTAACATTTAATCATTGCTTATTTACATAGTTGAAATTTATTGTCAAGCCAAATGTATTCTTTCATAACCTGAAAATTCAAACTTTTTAATATTAAATACATAACTGCATTAATCGTAAACTTCTAAATCGTGATATTATCAGTTAAAAAGCTAACCTTGAGTAAAAATTCTCTGAATATTTTGGAGAAGGCGGGCACTCCGATATTTAAATTTATAATAACTTTCAATACAAATAATAATTATTAAAATTTATATAATGAAACATAAAATAAGAAGCAAACTATATATTAATAAAATGCATAATATTATTACAAACACATTATATAAGCATATTTAATAATAATTTTTACGCTATTTGAAATCAAAAGCTATTAAAATCAAAACTCTGTTAGGATGATTTCTAATGCTATTCTTTAAGTATTCGTAACCATTCGTTTTTATTTTCTTTTTTCGATTATTTATTTTTAAGATATGAGTATTTTTTTGACAATAAGTTCAGAAACATACAAAGTATAATAAAATTTCTTCTGAATTTTAGATTTAAGGATATCAAATGTTACCTATGTATTTCGATTTGATCTTGTGCAAGAATTTGTTTCGAATTTTGGATTTTTTAAAAGAAACAATTATGTTAATGGTTTTTTAAGGCTTAGCTGTTAATGCCATATTAAACAAAATTTCGGATCAATAATTGATAATTTTCTATGTATGTATGTACGTAAATTAACTTTCGGAATGTTTTGAATAAAGAAACTTCATAAATAATAACCAATCTATAATTATATAAATGTATAAATGTGCACTAATTTATTGAGTAAATTATGTTGTTTTACATTAAAGCCCAAATTAAAATATTGTTTAGATTTTAGTTTAATAGTGCAATAAATGATTATTAGTTGAAAATTAAAAAATTATAGCAAAACAAACTGAAACAATTTTTTCATATTAAATAACAGATATTTTTTTATAAGGATAATTCTCATATTAATACAATTTTTTTTTATTTTTTAATTAAATTTATTGTTATTTACAAGAAATTAAACAGGCGCTCTGTTGGTGCCGAAATAGCTATAAACTATATGAATAAACTTAATAAATATAAAAAAACACTTTGTCTTTAATTTTTTAAAATTATAAAAAAAAGTCACAATCATACATATACGAGCTCGGAGATCATTTTTTATTTAGGAGCAAAACAATATAAATATAAAAATGTTACCTCTACACCCTCTATACCTTACTGATTCTGAAAATATTTTAAATTACTTCAGAAAATAAAAATTTATTTTCTTATCATATTATATAAGTTTCGTACCTAACAACCATTAATATCTATGAAAGCCCCAAACTTAAATTATAAAAGAAATTTACTATTAATAATCTATCAGTATTTAAATAATCTATTAAAAAATTTCGGTATTCAGTGTATAGTTTGAAGAAGTGTACGGTTAACGAAATTCACATGATGTGATTTCTATGGCTAAATGGTATTTTTGTGTAAAGTGACCTGTAGACGGAAGGGTATTTTTGTAGGAAGTGATCAGTGGGCGCAAGGGTATTTTTATGGGAAGTGACCAAACCTGAACGGGGAAAAACAAACGGTATTGACCGTCAACTTAAAAAACTTTGTACTTAGATTTCACTTTAGAATTTTTTTATTAGGCATCAAAATTTTACAAAAATTACTATAAGGGTGGTAATGTTCACCTTTTTAGAGCTTTTTAGAGCTAAAATGTGTGATTCATAAATTGTTTATTTTCTTTGTTCTGTTATACTTATTTAAGAACTAATTTCTCTCTATTATTATCTAGGTACGTATATTGTATAATACGTACATGCATTATATTGGTATTTTTGACATTTTTAATTATCCAACTATTTCAATTTATTTTTTTGTCATCATTTTTCTTGTAAAATTATGGTCACTCTAGTTTATATCAATTTTTATTGTAATTGCCATAGAGATTCTATCACAGTTAGAAATATTAAATTTACAGTCGCATTCCCAAAAAATTTGTTTTGATTTCTTTTTTGAGTTAGAGTTAAAATAGGAAATTAAAATATTTGATAAAAGTTTTTTGTGATTTTGCTTGCAGTTTACAGTAAACGTAAATATAGAATAGATTAGAATAGATTAATAAATTAAAGTTTTTAAAAATTTTATAGAATGTATTATTAATATTTTTAGTTAAAAATATTACGTATTAAATATAATACGTATAATTGTACTGTTTCTTCAAGCTTTGTTTTTGAAATTTTAATTAAATGGCTTGAATACGTTTTCGGAGAAGCAGAAATTCATTTCAGTAATATTTCCTTTACAATACATACTGAAGAGGAATAAATACGGTAAATAATTTGTTTTTTGCAGATGTATACATACATACAAATTATATACTTACATATTGCAGATATACATATATATATACATATATTCTTCAATGAAGTTCAACAAGTGATTGTTGAAATACAACATGACAATAAATGTGTTGCTAGTAAAAGCATGCTAACTATTGTCTTAATGCCTTGTGCAAAAGCATAAGTAATGAATAATCGTGTGAAGTTAATCGAACAAACAACTTTTATTTATATTCCTACATATGTATGTAGGATACCTACATACATATGTTAATATTTAAGGAATAAGGCTGCAAGATATTAAGAAAATAGCGACAGTTGAGTTTCGGAATCAAATTAAATCGTATGGAATTTTTGTGAACAGTTATAATGTTAGTAGAAAATATAAAAAAATTAAAAAAATATATCTATTATGTAATATTTAAACCATAATATTTTGATTTTTAGTTACAAAATGTAAGTATCTTGGTAATATTTTCAAAGAGTATAAACGAAGAAAGCAAAAAAAGGCAAGGTAATTTTATAAAAATTAAAAAAAATCACATAATGTTGATTACGTAATTTTAGAAAAATGGAAAATCAAAATGCTGAAGGAACTAACAATAATTCGGATAGAACACTTGAATTTATGGGATCATATGCTATTAAAACTCTTAAATTGAAATCAGAAAAATGGCAAAGAGTTATTACTTTAGAAGAACATAAAACAATTATTAAAGAATTTGTGGACCGTAATAATGTAAGCATACTTATAATAATTTTAACTCCTGCAGCGCAATTAGTCCCTGTAACTACATTTCCATTGACTCAACTTAAAAGTAAAGGTGTTTATTATATTAAAAAAAAACTCGAACCAGTACCACGCGAGAATCCAGAAAAATTTTTAATATTAGGGGATTTAGCTGCAAGATCGATTGATCAGCTTTCTTCATTAGTTGATCAAATATTTGTACCGTTATTATCAAATGAAGAAAACTATAAAGGATGGCCAACAGTTGTGACTCAAGACGTTCAAAAGCATGTCCATAGTTTAAAAAGTACTGTACATCAAGTTAAAGGACAAGTAAGTGGGCATACAATATTGGCAATGCCTGTTGGAGTCGAAAAAATTGTTAAAGCTGCGAAAGCTCTTACTGAAACGAAAAGATGTACAATAGATTTATATTTGAAAAGTGCTATAGAAGGTGTTGTTATTAAATGGGCTAAACAAATAAACGATATTATGCAAGAAAAATCATCTGATGTTTTTCTTAACAAACAACATCCAATTCCAAGTGTAGGTAAGTTTGTCACCATTTCTTTTTTTTTACATTGTACAAAAATAATTTGATAATAAATTTGTATTAACTTGTAGAAATTGCATTTTGGAACAGTCGTTTGGTGAATTTATCATATATATATGAACAATTGCAACATGAAAAAATAAGTTCAATGGCACTTATACTTGAATATACAGAGAGTGCATATTTCCCATGCTTTAAAACATTGTTCAAACAGGTAGTGACAGGTAATACATAGATATGTAATTTTTCTTAAAATGGATCCACACTTGTTTTTATGTACATACATACATATGTATAACATATAAAACAACTTTTTTTTATTCTATATTTCTAGCTTTAGCTGAAGCTAAAGACGTAAGTCTATTTTTAAATCCATTGCGTAAATTGTTGCAACAGTTGGAAGAAATCGATTTTGCTGACTGTAAAACAATATTTCCACCTCTTATGCATATGGTGTGTAATTTATGGGCGAATTCCCGTTACTATTGTCATTCATCTAAGATTACCGTCTTATTAAGGCAAATATGTAATTTGATAATATGCCAGGTAACTGTAACAATTTAATTTATAAATAGTGTTATATACATATATACATATGTATATATATAGGTATATTAATATTATTTTAATATAAACATTTAAACGTGAAAGTGTAGGTCTTTCATAGGGTTTAATTTCGTTAATTTTTCCAGTATTTATTTAAGATAAAAATGTGTGCAAATTTTTTTATTGTTTTTAAATATTATAAAAAGTTGTACAAAAATTTGAAGTTATAATATATATATGTAATATATATATTAATATATGTATGTAATATAATTCCTTATATTAACTAATGTGTATATTATTTTTGCAGGCAAAAAAATTTCTTGATCCAATGTCAATATTTCATTCAGATATAGATGAGGCTATGCAGAGATTGGCATTATCAATGCAAATTTTAAAATTTTTTCGTGAAGTTTATGATTATTATAAAGAGAATTTAATACAATTTTTTCATGATGAAGGACGTCTTCCAATATTTTGGACATTTCATCCGAATGCAGTATTTGGAAAATTTAATGCTTTTTTGGATCGATTAAATACTATTCAATGGTTTTTTTATACCGTTATCGAATTTTTAAAATTGGAAAAAATTGAAATTGGTGGTTTACGTGGTCGTCAATTAAGTTCTAGAATAACGGCTGTTTATGTTGAATTCAATCAATATTTTACAGCTTTTTCATCAAGAAGCTATGATGTTTTAGATCCAGATGATTCAACATTTAATGATGATTTTGTTAATTTTCAAGAGAAAATTTCTGAATTAGATATGAAATTAGCAGCGATTTTATGTCAAGCATTCGATGATTGTCACAATTTAGAAAGCATTTTTAAGGTAAGTAAATAAAAATTTATGATAATTATATTTTATTAATACATATAAGGCTATTTTTAGTTAATTTTTATAATTTTAAATACAATTGTTAAATGCATTTTAAACAAAAGCAATTCCATGCAAAGTGTTTTAATAAATTATATTTCTTTTTAATTAATTCAGTTAATTCATATAGTTGGAAGTGTATTAGATAGACCGAAAATAAAAGAGGAGTTTACGAAAAAATATACTGAAATAATTAGAATGTTGGATATTGAGTTAACTAGGTGTGAGGGTATTTTCAATACAGAAGTTGAATTGATTAAAGTTGGAAAATCATTATTCATAAATCAAAATTGTCCACCAGTAGCAGCTTTATTAAGATGGTGTAGCCAACTTACTGATAGAATTTCAGTTCCTTTCAAGCATTTTGAAGCTTTGCAACATCCGTAAGTATATAATTTTATTTTGTACAACCCAATGCTATTAGGGTTGCAGAAAAAAAATTACTATAGCAAATTATATTCCATCTATAAAACTAAAATTATAGTTTTTAACTTGAACTATTTTATTGTTTTTAAAATAAATGTATTTAGAATTATTTCATCCCGAGAAGCACAATCTACAATAGAACGTTATAATATATTAATGGAAAATATTGATAAATATAAGAGTAATGTTTTTAAAAAGTGGTCAGATAAAGCTCCTATTATAATAAAGGAAAATTTAGAGAAAAATTTAATATTGCAAAATGAAAAAAATAATAATTTAACACTTAATTTTAGCTCTGAACTATTTGCAATTTTAAGAGAAGTTCATTATTTAAAGCTAACGGAAAAAGAAATAATACCAGAAGTTGCCTTATCTTTTTCAGAAGAGAGTGAATTTTATCTTAGTCATACTTTAAGTTTGAAAAAAACTATTAATTGGTACAATCAAATTTTGACAAATAGCACTTTTGTTGAGTTTCAATTGATTAAAAGTGAAATTGAAGAAATTGATGCTTTGATTAAAATCGGAACAAATGAATTAAATTGGAATTCAAAGAATATTACAGATTATTTAAAAACCTTACAAGAACCAATATCAAGTTTACAATATCGTGTAAATCAAACCCAAAATAATTTAAAAGAAATTCAAAATATAATGTCAGCGTGGACGCGTGCACCATTGTTTGAACGCAAAGATGGTAGAAAAGATTGTGTTTTATGTCTAGATGATCGTAATGAACGAATTAAAAAACGTTACGCAGACATTGAATGTGCATCTGAGAGAGTTCACAAATTATTGGAAGAAAATAAAGAGCAATTTAGAATTGATGTTCTTTTAGAAAAAAAAATTTGGGAAGATTATGTTACATTTATAGACGATATAATTTATGAAAATCTTTTGTTAACCGTTGGCGTTAGTATTGGTTATTTAGCTGAAAATATGAATCAATCAAATAATTACACTCCTTTATTTGAATCAAGACTTGAACTTTTAGAGCCTGATATTATATTTGTCCCATCTTTAAATCCAGAAGATCCAAAAGGTTTTAGTCATCTATTAACTGATTTAACAAACGATATTTTAAAAATGTCAAGTTTTATAACTCGTTTAAGATTGGACGCGACGGAAACATATGAAGAATTAATTACAACTCATACTGATATTGTAGAAATGAAAAATGAAATTTTAGAAGGTATTGAATTTAATTTCAAGATTTAAAATTTATATAACATTTTCTTTAAAAATAATTCGAGAATTATTTGGTAGGTTTAATTTTAATAAATAAGTGGATTTAAGTTCAATAACCAAAAAAAAAATGCAAAATTTTTCGTCAAATGATCTAAATTAATTGGAAAATAAAAAAATTTCTCATATTTCCTATTTTAATATTTTTAGGTGTACAAAATGTGATTGATCAAGCAGCGGATTTTTGCCGTGGATTTGAAAGATATTCTTATTTATGGTATGATGATCGAGCAGAGTATATGGATTTTTTTTTGGAATATGGACGCACTTTGGATTCCGATGAAATTGAACTTATAATAGCTAAAGATCCAGCTGCACCCAAACCATCTCCACCAACTATTGAAGCATTTAGAGAACAAATAGACAATTATGAATCATTATTAAGTGAAATAGAGAATATAGAACCTTTCAAAATATTTAATTCATGGTTTCAAGTTGATGTAAGACCATTTCGGCAAAAACTTCTTAATGTTGTTTGTAAATGGGGAAATATGTTCAAAGAACATTTAGTAAATCGTGTTACAACGAGTCTTTTAGATTTAAGCAGCTTTATACGACGTGCTGACGAAGGGCTTTTACAGACTGTTGAAGAAGGTGATTATGATGCTTTAGTTAGTATTATGGCATTTTTAATGCAAGTAAAAGAGCGCGGTACATGCACTGATGAAATGTTTGAACCAATGCAAGATATGGTGCAATTATTAAAATATTATGACATGGATATACCAGAAGAAGTTAATGTTTTATTGCAAGAATTGCCAGAACAATGGGCAAATACTAAAAAAATTGCATTGGCAGTTAAACAACAAGTATCGCCATTACAAGCAACAGAAGTTGTTAGCATACGAAATAGAATATTAACTTTTGAAGGCCATGTAGTTACATATCGAGAAGTTTTTAAATTCTATGAATTTTTCAAATATCAATGCGAAAGTCCATATGAACTTCTTAATAGAATAAATATTGATGTAGAACATTTGGAGAATGTCATGAAAGATATTCAAGAATCTGGTAGCCTTTTTGAAGTAAATGTTCCGGAGTTTAAATTACTTCGTACATGCAGAAAAGAATTACGAATGCTGAAGGTAAGAGTTATTCTCTTATGTTTTCTTTTTTTAATAGATTTAAAATTACAAAATTCAATTTTCTATAAACAGCAACTTTGGGACTATATTTATATTGTTCGATCATGTATTAAAGAATGGAAAACAACGCCTTGGCGCAAAGTCGATGTTGAAAATATGGATATAGAATGTAAAAAATTTGCAAAAGATATCAGACTTTTAGATAAAGAAATGCGAGCTTGGGATTCATTTATTAAGTTGGAAGCAACTGTGAAAAATATGTTAACATCATTAAGAGCTGTGGGTGAATTACAAAATCCAGCAATTAGAGAAAGACATTGGGATCAATTGATGGTTGCTACAAAGGTTAAAATTTCTATTATGATTTAATATTTGAATAATTGCTGTAAATAAGAAAATGCTATTTAATTTATCAAGTTTTATTTAAAGAAAAGTAAATATTATTTTAATAAAAAAAGTTTTATATATGTATGTAGGATCACTAGCTATAATTTTGAATATTTGATTTTAATCATATACCAATGTAAATACAATTATTATAAAATATTTTGCATGTAAATTTGACTTCCAGAGCTTATCATCTTTGCCTATAGAAATCGATGTAAGTATTTTGTAAATATTTTTGTAAATATAAAAGTACAGAAATAGTGAATAAAAAAAGTAGAATAAATATACATACATATTTATATGTAGTGAATAAGACAATACAGTAAAGTTTTTAAGGGCACATAATAACACAAATTTTTATTAAAACTTTCAAAAAAAACAGATCCATGCAGTAGAAGCAAGCCTTTATAGCTGTGTTGCACACAAAAACGCGTTCAAAACCGCCGCTCAAAATATTTCTGGTGAATCAACTGTACAAATTAGCAAAAAATGAAAGTTATTGGAATTGATTACATGTCGTGGAATATTTATCAAAAGAAATTCTACTCTTTATAATTCGAATTTCTTATTATTAAGCTTAAAAGATCTTTTTTATCGGAAAAAATTGAATTATTATTTTAGACTTCTTTTTATTAGTTTCATCACCTAGCTAGAAAATCGACTTAAAATACAAGCTACACCTAGTACAAAAGTCAACTTAAAATGCAAATAATTAAACTTAAATATACATCCGGGAACCTCTATTATAGGGTTTATATTCGTTCGGATCGACGCACTGTAGATAAATAAATGTGTAGGTGTAGCTTCAATAATAACATTTTAATTAGGTTAATAAAAGACCTATGTAGCGATGTAATTTGCTTTTTTTAAAGGTCAAAATGCATCGTTCACATTTATATTATTACTTAAACAATACTAAATTGATGTACTCTTTTCGTGTTATATATTAACTTAAGGTAGATACTAGACTTAAGATTAATGTACTAAACTTATTTAAATATTTTAAATAATACCTAATTTAAAAATTGTGTAAAAATTTTATATTGATATTAGAGCTATAGGTAGAAAATTATGCAATTTCAATGTTTATTTCGGAAGTAAAAGTCTTTTGAATAATAGAAGTAAAATAATAGATTATTTTGTGCCACTTTGAACATATTTTACTTAATTAGGACCTGTTGCAAAATTGTTCTTTTTTATTTCTAAATAATATTTAGATTAAAAAATCGGATGACTAAAAATATTCGGCAACTAAAATTGTAAAAAAAATTACATAACTTAAATTATTATATTTTTATAGGTTCAATTTATTATGGACCGTGATACAACTTTAGATGAACTTTTGCGTCTTAATTTGCATCAGTGTGAGGAAGAGGTAAAAAACATTGTTGACAAAGCAGTTAAAGAAATGTCGATGGAAAAAATTCTACGTGATTTGAATACAACCTGGTCAGCGATGGAATTTGAACATGAGATCCATCCAAGAACAAAATGTTACTTGCTGAAAGCGTCCGAGGAATTAATCGAAACCCTAGAGGATAATCAAGTGTGTTTGCAAAATTTAATAACTTCTAAATATATTACACATTTCTTGGAAGAAGTGTCTCGTTGGCAAACTAAACTTTTCAATGCAGATCAAGTAATAACTGTATGGTTTGAAGTACAAAGAACCTGGACAAATCTTGAAAGTATTTTTATGAGCTCCGAAGATATTCGTAAACAGTTACCAACAGATTCTGATCGTTTTGATAGAATCGATTTAGAGTTTAAAACACTTATAGATGAAATGTCAATTACTTCAAATGTAGTTGAATCCACTAATAGAGAAGGTTTATGTGAGCGACTTGAGCTTTTACAACGAGAACTTACATTATGTGAAAAGGCACTAGCGGAATATTTGGAAACTAAGAGACTAGCATTTCCAAGATTTTATTTTGTATCTTCGGCTGATCTTTTAGATATTTTAAGCAACGGTATAAATGCAGAATCAGTGACAAAACATTTAACAAAACTTTTTGATTCAATTGCACGTCTTCATTTTAATAAAAATGAACAGGGAGAAGTCGAAACTGCCTCTGGTATGTACGCGAAAGATGGAGAATATGTCGAATTTAATAATATAACTGCTATAACGGGTGCCGTAGAAGTTTGGCTTAACAGAGTTCAAGCAGCGATGAGATCAACATTAAGAAATAGTATAGGTGAAGCTTGCCTAAGTTATGAAGAAAAACAAAGAGAACAATGGTTATTTGATTATCCTGCACAAGTGTCATTGTGCGGTTCTCAAATTTGGTGGACAACAGAAGTAAATATTGCATTCGGAAGATTAGAAGAAGGTTATGATAACGCAATTAAAGATTATTACAAAAAACAAGTATCTCAATTAAGCGTACTAATTTCCCTTCTGTTGGGGGAATTGAGCAAAGGGGATAGACAAAAGATAATGACAATTTGCACAATTGACGTTCATTCTAGAGATGTCGTTTCTAAAATGATTCAATCTAAAGTGGAAAGTGGTTCAGCTTTCATGTGGCAATCACAATTGAGACATAGATATGATGACAAAGAAAAAGATTGTTTTGCAAATATATGTGATGCTCAGTTTCGGTATTCTCATGAATATTTAGGCAATACTCCACGTCTAGTTATAACACCACTTACCGATCGTTGTTATATAACGCTAACACAATCACTACATTTAATAATGGGGGGAGGTCCTGCAGGACCTGCTGGAACTGGAAAAACGGAAACAACAAAAGATTTAGGAAGAGCTCTTGGGATTATGGTTTATGTTTTTAATTGCTCAGAGCAAATGGATTACAAGGTATTATATTTACTTTAGTTTTGTTTGAGATAAATGTTTATTGTTTTTTTCAAGTCTTGTGGCAATATTTATAAAGGGTTGGCTCAAACAGGGTCTTGGGGTTGTTTTGACGAGTTCAATCGGATATCTGTTGAAGTATTGTCAGTAGTGGCAGTACAAGTAAAATCTGTGCAGGATGCAATTCGAGATAATAAATCAAAATTTAACTTTATGGGCGAAATTATAACTTGCGTTCCTACCGTTGGCATTTTTATCACAATGAATCCTGGATACGCAGGGAGAACCGAATTACCGGAAAATTTGAAAGCACTTTTTAGACCTTGTGCTATGGTCGTGCCAGATTTTGAATTAATTTGTGAAATTATGTTGGTTGCTGAAGGTTTTCAAGAAGCAAAAATATTGGCAAGAAAATTCATTACTTTATACACCTTGTGTAAGGAACTTCTTTCAAAACAAGATCATTACGATTGGGGTTTGAGAGCTATCAAGTCCGTTTTAGTTGTGGCAGGGTCTTTGAAGGTACGTGAAAGTTTTCTTTATATTTGAGTATAAAATAAATTTCATGAAATATTTTAGCGTGGAGATCCAGGGAGACCAGAAGAGGAGGTTTTAATGAGGGCCTTACGTGACTTTAATATTCCAAAAATTGTAACAGATGACATTCCAGTTTTCATGGGTTTAATCGGTGATCTTTTTCCTGCTCTTGATGTGCCAAGAAAACGCGATCAAGATTTTGAGAAAACAGTTAAGCAAGCTGCTGGAGATTTACTATTGCAACCTGAAGATAATTTTATTTTGAAGGTAGTTCAATTAGAAGAATTACTTGAAGTAAGGCATTCTGTATTTATCGTTGGAAACGCAGGAACGGGCAAAACAAAAGTATGGAAAACTTTGTTTAAAACTTATCAAAATATGAAAAGAAAACCAATTTTCAATGATTTAAACCCGAAAGCGGTTACAAATGATGAACTTTTTGGAATAATAAATCCTGCGACAAGAGAGTGGAAAGATGGATTGTTTTCAGTGTTAATGCGAGAGCAAGCAAATATTGTTTCAGATCAGCCGAAATGGATTGTTTTAGATGGTGACATTGATCCAATGTGGATAGAGAGTTTAAATACTGTCATGGATGATAACAAAGTTCTAACTTTAGCAAGCAATGAAAGAATTGCTTTAACTCCAACTATGCGTTTAGTTTTTGAAATTTCCAATTTAAGAACAGCAACTCCGGCTACTGTTTCCCGAGCTGGTATCTTGTATATAAATCCGGCCGACTTGGGTTGGAATCCGTAAAAAACTATTTTTTATCAATTTTATTTAATTTAATACAAATGAAATATGTTTACAGATATGTAACCAGTTGGGTTGAAGCGCGCACTATTCCGTCTGAGAAGTCAAATCTAGTTTTGTTGTTTGACAAATATATACCTTTATGTTTGGAGAATATACGAACAAGATTTAAGAAAATAACACCTATTGCTGAAATGGCTCATATTCAAATGTTATGCCATTTATTAGATTGTTTGTTAGTGCCCCAAAATACTCCAGCTGATTGTCCAAAAGAATGGCATGAAATTTATTTTGTTTTCGCTTGTGTTTGGGCATTTGGATCTGCAATGTTTCAGGATCAAGCTATTGATTATAGGGTTGAGTTTACTAAATGGTGGGTAAACGAATTTAAAACTGTTAAATTTCCGCAAGGTTAATGTTTAAGATATTTTTATTTTGCTAAATATTAAAATATCCTTTATTTTAGGAGGAACGGTTTTTGATTATTTTATTGATTCGGAAACGAAACAATTTCTGCCGTGGACCGAAAGACTACCAAAATTTGAGTTTAGTGGGGATGTTCCATTGCAAGCTGTGTTAGTGCATACATCAGAATCAGTTCGAGTGCGGTATTTTTTGGATGTGTTAATGGAAAATAAACATCCGGTTATGTTGGTTGGCAGCGCTGGTTCTGGGAAAACTTTACTTATAAACGAAAAATTGCAAGGGCTTTCTGAAAATTATGCAATTACTAACGCTCCATTAAATTTTTATACAACCTCTGATATGCTACAAAAAATTCTTGAAAAGCCTTTGGAAAAGAAGGCTGGGCGCAATTTTGGTCCACCAGGCAATAAAACTCTTATCTACTTTATTGATGATATGAATATGCCAATGGTCGATTTATATGGAACTGTTCAACCACATACTTTAATTAGACAGCATATAGATTATGGACACTGGTATGACCGGAACAAATTGTCGTTAAAAGATATTCACAATTGTCAATATGTATCATGTATGAATCCAACCTCTGGTAGTTTTACAATTAATCAACGCCTTTTAAGACATTTTTGTGTTTTTGCTGTGAGTTTTCCGGGCTCCGAATCAGTTACATCTATCTTTACTCAAATTTTGACTCAACATTTTAATAATGCTGAACAAAAGTTCAATATTGCAGTTTCTAGATTAACTAGTCACATAGTGTCCGCTAGTATTGCTCTACACAACAAAGTATCACAAGTATTCCTTCCTACAGCTGTGAAATTCCACTATATATTTAATTTAAGAGATCTAAGTAATATATTTCAGGTAATATATAAATATATATAGGCAATATAATTAATAATAATCTAATATATGTCTCAGGTAATATATTACCTGAGATTTACAGGGTTTTAGAAGAGAATTACAAAAAAACAAATTTTAAATGTTTTGAAACTTTTCACAGAATTCAATAATTTGTTCCAGGGACTCTTATTTAGTACCAGTGAGTGCCTAACTAATCCAACAGATATGATAAGGTTATGGCAGCATGAAACTGCACGTGTTTACGGCGACAAATTAACGGACGAGAAAGATATTGACAGCTTTATCAAAATGCAACATGACATAGTTAAAAAATCATTTGAAGAAATTGATGAGTCGGTGATTTTTGATAAACCAAATATATTTTGTCACTTTGCTGGAGGAATAGGTGAACCAAAATATATGACGATAAAAGGATGGACTCAGTTGCATAAACTTTTACAGGAAGCTATGGCTTCATATAATGACTTGGTAGCTGCTATGAATCTTGTTTTATTTGAAGATGCTATGATGCATGTTTGCAGGTAAGATATGTCAATATAGAATGTTTTAAATGAACGGAGTCCAGTCTCACTTTAAAGAATGTGTTGTTGTACCACTTTCCATTATTTATGCATCTTTTCATAAATCATTTCTTTTTTAAATTCTTACCTAACATTAAGCTCAAATGGCATTCCTCCTTTGTAAGAATAGATTATCGCTTTAAAAAATGTGAAAAGTATTAGAGTTGAAAATAAATGAGAATTCGCAAACACTTATGAACTGCCAGGTTTTTCAAAAGCTTTTTTTAGACACGATCGTAAGAAAACTCCTACAGTTTCATGGTCGGGGACAGTTTATTAGTGAGTACCGGTCATACAAAATTTCATTTGTGTATATTATAGAATGTAGAATGAAAATATAGATTCCAAGTATAAATTTGTAGATTGAAAAATGGAATAACAGGGCTTACTTGAAAACTTTCTATAACTTTTAAACCCACGGGTTTTCGGGGGACAATGCAAAATAGCTTTCAAAAGTTTCATGGCGATCGGGTGAACGATTTTTTGATGAGAAGCGATCACATACACTTTTTGTTTTTCTATACATGTATCTATAGATTGGAAAGAAAGGATTTTGTTGTTTAAATTTTACTTTGTATTTCAGAATAAATCGAATACTTGAATCTCCTAGAGGATCTTCTTTATTAGTAGGTGTTGGTGGTAGTGGAAAACAATCTTTGTCACGATTAGCTGCCTTCATATCAAGTCTCGAAGTTTCTCAAATACAGTTAAAAAAAGGCTATGGTGTCACAGATTTAAAGGTTAATAACTTCCTTTTATTTTGTACAATCTGCAACTCAAAAAAAATTTTAATAACACAATAGTGAAAGTTTTTATTTTTTTGTTTTTAGACTGAATTATCCGGTTTGTATATGAAATCTGGAATGAAAAATGTTGGAATTATGTTTCTTATGACCGATGCTCAAGTTCCTAATGAACTATTTTTAGTTCCCATCAATGATATGTTAGCTTCTGGTGAAATTCCAGATCTTTTCCCAGACGATGAAATAGAAAATATTATTGCTGGTGTAAGAAATGAAGTGAAAGGTGCAGGTTTAGTAGATTCAAGAGAAAATTGTTGGAAATTTTTTATAGACCGAGTGCGCCGACAACTTAAAGTGGTTTTGTGTTTTTCTCCAGTTGGTTCAACTTTACGTGTCAGATCACGAAAATTTCCTGCTATGATTAACAGTACATCTATAAATTGGTTTCACGAATGGCCACAAGAAGCCTTAATTTCAGTTGCACTAAATTTTCTCAGTGAAACTGAGGTTTTGCCAGAACAACATACGGATGCTGTTTCTAAATTTATGGCTTATGTGCATACATCAGTTAATCAATCTTCTAAGGCATATTTGCAAAATGAAAGACGATATAATTATACAACTCCAAAAAGTTATTTGGAGCAAATAAGTTTGTATATAAAACTGTTAAATCAAAAACATGATGAGTTACAAAAAAAGATATCTCGTTTGGAAAACGGTCTAGAAAAACTTAGGACTACTGCTGAACAAGTTGCTGATTTAAAAATAAAACTTGCTGTTCAAGAAGTTGAGTTAAAAGAGAAAAATGAAGCAGCTGATACATTAATAGAAATAGTAGGTGTTGAAACGCAAAAGGTTCAAACTGAAAAAGCTTTAGCAGATGAAGAGGAAATGAAGGTTGCGTTGATTGCAGAAGAAGTTACTAAGAAGCAAAAGGATTGCGAAGAAGATCTTGCTAAAGCTGAACCTGCACTTTTAGCAGCTCAAGAAGCCTTAAATACATTAAACAAAGCAAACTTAACAGAGTTAAAATCATTCGGTTCACCACCTGGAGCTGTTACTAATGTAACAGCTGCTGTGATGGTTCTTTTAGCACCAGGAGGTAAAATACCACGCGATCGTACATGGAAAGCTGCAAAAATTACTATGGCTAAAGTAGATGCATTTTTAGATGCTTTAATTAATTATGATAAAGAAAATATTCATCCAGAGATAATAAAAGCTATTCAACCTTATTTGAAAGACGCAGAATTTGAACCAGAATTCGTTAGATCAAAGTCTGCTGCAGCTGCTGGACTCTGTGCTTGGGTTATCAATATCATTAAATTTTACGAAGTCTATTGTGATGTTGAACCTAAAAGAAAAGCGCTTGCACAAGCTAATGCAGAATTGAGTCAAGCAACAGAAAAATTATCTATTATTAAAAGAAAAGTTGCGGTAAGTAGACCTGGTTTTCATGAAGCGGAACAATTTTCTTAGAATTCATTTACAATTAGTAAATGAAATCAATTCACTCATGAAAGTATTATAAAATTCAATTTAACAATCGTTTAACTTAAATAAATATTCCCCTATTAGAGTTTGGAAGAGCAACTTTCAAAATTAACGGCTGATTTTGAGCAAGCTACAGCAGATAAGTTACGTTGCCAACAGGAAGCTGATGCCACACAGGCAACTATTCAGTTAGCCAATCGTTTAGTAGGTGGTTTAGCCAGTGAAAATGTACGATGGGCCGAAGCTGTTAACAGGTAAAAAATGTAACGCTTACAATTCCGAAAATTTTATTAAAATACTCGTAGTTATGTTTATTCAATATTAATAATTAATTATCATTCTTTAGTTTCGTTAAACAAGGTATAACATTACCGGGCGACATCCTCTTGATAACGGCATTTATTTCGTATGCAGGCTCGTTTACCAAACAATTTCGTTTAGACTTAATGAATAAAATGTGGTACCCCTTCTTGAAAGCCATAGATCCACCTATTCCAATAACAGATGCTATAGATCCATTAAGTTTACTTACAGATGATACTACAGTTGCTATTTGGACAAATGAAGGATTACCTAGTGATAGAATGTCCATAGAAAACGCAACTATTTTATCGAATTCTGACCGATGGCCTTTAATGATTGATCCACAATTGCAAGGTGTAAAATGGATTAAACAGAAGTACGGAGACACATTAAATGTAACACGTCCAGGGCAGAAAGGTTATTTAGATGTAATTGAAAAGGCTTGTAACAAAGGAGGCATTGTTTTGATTGAGAATATTGATGAAAGTTTAGATGCCGTTTTAGATCCATTACTTGGTCGAAGTCTAATTAAAAAGGGAAAGTACGTAATAGTTCCAGAATAGGTGATTTTTGGTTGTTTGGTATTTCTTTTTGTTTACCATTTTACAATGGTGCTCTCAAAAAACTCTTTCAAATTATTAATATTTAAAAAATATCAACTCAGCGTGTGTTCGGTGAACAATTCATTCGAAATGGCAAACATTTAAATTTATCTCTTTAAATAAAAATCAATATATGAGAGAACACCTAAATGTAAATTCAACTCCAATTTGGTTTTTTCAGTTATCGAAATTTTATTGTTTAATTAAATTGTAAATTAGTCAATAGTCAAATTGAAGTATAAACTGCATTTGGGTAGGCACCGAATGAATATACCAAAAAATATATATGCACATTTATAAACGTTTGTATGTAGAACATAGAGGCACGAATTAACAATTTTTTTTTATTGTAAACAAATTTTACTTTTCATTGCTCTTATATTTCATAACGCAGAGCAATTAAAATCGGTGACAAAGAAGTAGAATATAATTCAGCATTCAGACTTATTCTTCATACAAAATTAGCCAATCCACATTATAAACCGGAAATGCAAGCTCAAACCACATTAATCAATTTTACCGTTACTAGAGACGGTTTAGAAGATCAATTACTGGCAGAAGTAGTTAAGGCAGAACGACCTGATTTGGAAGCTCTTAAAGTAAATAATAATGACATATGTATATATAAATTTTTGTTACATTTTATTTTAGGCGGATCTGACAAAACAACAAAATGATTTTAAAATTATGTTGAAAAAACTTGAAGATGATTTATTGTCAAGATTGTCTTCGGCAGGTGGTAATTTATTAAGTGATACAGCTTTGGTAGAAAATTTGGAAACTACGAAAAGAACGGCGGCTGAAATAGAACAAAAAGTTCAAGAAACCAAAATCACTTCAAAAGAAATTGATACTGCGAGAGAACATTATAGACCTGCAGCAGCAAGAGCTAGTTTGTTATACTTTATATTAAATGAATTAAATGCTATTAATCCGATTTACCAGTTCTCTTTGAAGGTAAACTTTTTGAATATTTAACTAAATTTGTTTCTTCAGGTATTTAATTTTTCTATTATTAATACTTTAATTTAGGCATTTAGTGTAGTTTTCCAAAAAGCTATTGGAAAAGCTGATCCTGCAGACACTGTTGCAGAAAGGGTGATAAGTTTAATTGACTGCATAACGTATTCAGTTTTTCAATATACTTCCCGTGGTCTCTTTGAATGTGATAAGTTAATTTTTACATCACAAATGACGTTTCAAGTAAAATTTTGCTTATTAAATTTTTATTCTTGAAATCTCATATAATTTTCTATTTTAGATTCTTCTCATGAGCGAAGAGATAACTTCTACAGAACTTGATTTTCTTTTGAGATTTCCAATTAAACCACATGTTATCAGTCCGGTTGACTTCTTGTCAAATTTTTCTTGGGGTGGTATTTGTACATTATCATCAAAAGATGAATTTCGAAATTTAGATAGAGATATTGAAACATCATCAAAACGCTGGAAAAAATTAGTAGAATCTGAATTGCCAGAACGAGAAAAATTCCCACAAGAATGGAAAAATAAAACTTCATTACAACGTTTGTGTATGTTAAGAGCACTGAGAGCTGATCGAATGACATATGCTCTATCGTAAGTGTTATATCTAGTAAAAAATATAAACAACTTATATCAAGGCATATGTTGTCTGAATTGCTCAGAGAATTCACCGATACTTGTTAGATTCAAAAATTTAATGTTTTTCTGACTGAGTCAATATTACTGCATAAATATGTATATTTACATGTATTTATTTTTAAGCAGACAAAGCAATGAAGCACCTGCTGTGCGAATGTGAAAAGTTTTTTCCGCTTAAATCTCAGATTTTGCGGTGAGAGCTTCATGTACGCTTTGAGAGAATTGCAGCCTGACATGACTGTAATATTTCAATTTTTCAATACTATAGGTATTCTATAGCGCTTACGTAGATGTGCATAAGGTTAACAAAGTATTATATGGGTCGAAATGAGAAAGCCTGGAAGCTCGCTAGTTTTCTTCAGCAAAAAATAAATGAAAAAAAAAATAGTTGCTCAATAACAATACTTTCGTCTTTATGTTATTTATGTATTTCGTATTTATTTTTTATTTTTAGCGATTTCATACAAGAAAAGCTAGGATCAAAATATGTTGAAAATCGTACTGTTGAATTCGCAAAGTCTTACGAAGAGGCCAGTTCTTCAACCCCAATTTTTTTCATTTTATCACCTGGTGTTAACCCTTTAAAAGATGTTGAACTTTTGGGAAAACAACTTGGTTTTACAGTTGACAATGGAAATTTTCATAACGTATCTTTGGGGCAAGGACAGGAAGTTGTTGCTGAAGCGGCAATGGACGTTGCGGCCAAAAAAGGCCATTGGGTTATATTGCAAAATATACATTTAGTTCGAAAATGGTTACCAGCCCTCGAGAAAAAGTTAGAATATTATGCTGAAGGATCACATCCAAGTTACAGAGTATTCATGAGTGCTGAGCCAGCTTCTTCGCAAGCTTCTCATATAATACCGCAGGTTCCTATAATATTTTCTTTGTTTTTTATATACTTTATTATTGTTATTGATCTAATGTTATTAAAATGATTGAAATTGGAGAGTTTAACACAATGATGTTGAAACTTCAATAAAGAAGTTGTACTTTAAATGTTCACATGTACATATATGATGTTTATATTAAAAATATGACACTTTTAGGGAATTCTTGAATCATCAATTAAAATTACGAATGAACCACCAACTGGAATGATGGCAAATTTACATAAAGCTTTAGATAATTTTACACAAGAAACCTTAGAGATGTCAGGAAAAGAAGCTGAGTTTAAAGTGATTTTATTCTCCCTTTGTTATTTTCATGCTGTAGTGGCAGAGCGAAGGAAATTTGGTCCACAAGGGTGGAATAAAGTTTATCCATTTAACGTTGGCGATTTAAATATAAGCGTTTCGGTATTATATAACTATTTAGAGGCAAATTCAAAAGTACCTTGGGAGGATTTAAGATATTTGTTTGGAGAGATTATGTACGGTGGACATATAACTGATGACTGGGATAGAAGACTTTGCATAACATATTTAGAAGAGTATATGCAACCTGATTTAGTAGATGGTGAATTACAACTTGCACCAGGTATTTTAAAAATTATATTTATTTTACTTGAAAACTGTAGTGTTATATCAATCAAAATTAATTTAAAGGTTTTGCTGCTCCACCAAATACCGATTACATAGGATATCATGCTTATATTGATGAAACGATGCCAGCAGAGTAAATAATCTTTAAGCATATTTTCAAAAAAAAAACACAAAAAAATTATATTGGTTTGTATTTGTTTTTTTTTATCAGATCCCCAAATTTATATGGATTACACCCAAATGCAGAAATCGGATTTTTGACAACACGTTCAGATAATATATTTCGTACAGTTTTTGAAATGCAACCTCGTGACGCTGGATCATCTGGAGGGGCGACAACCTCAAAGGAAGACAAAGTTAAACAAATGGTTGATGAAATAATGGAAAAACTTCCAGAAGAGTTTAATATGCTTGAAATTACAAATAAAGTTGAAGAAAGAACACCTTATATTATAGTAGCATTTCAAGAATGTGAACGTATGAATTACCTGACAAATGAAATAAAAAGAAGTTTAAAAGAATTGGATTTAGGTTTAAAGGTGACACCAACAATATATGTCAATATTATTTTTATATATGTATATTTTGTAACGGTGATAAATTCACAAAAACATGAGACAGTGGAGACATTATTTAAAAATGTGTTTCTCACTATTTGACTTAAATAAAACAATTAAGTTTTAGCTAAAGTAATTTATAGAACAATTAGAAAGAATTCCAAAATCTTCCTAATTTTAAAATAATAATTAAAGTACTATAGTAGAATTATTTTGATTTAAGTAAAATTGCATTTCAGGGTGAATTAACAATAACGTCCGATATGGAAGGTATAATGTTTGTATTAAAAATTTCAATTTTGTAACGTTTTTAATGTAAAACCAATTTATTTTTTAGAATTAGAAAATGCATTATTCTTAGACCAAGTTCCACCCATTTGGGCAGCTAGGGCTTACCCTTCATTACTAGGACTAACACCATGGTTTGTAGATTTGCTTCTTAGACTACGTGAATTGGAAACATGGTCTACAGATTTTGTGGTACATTTTTTCCCTTTTTTTCATTACAAATTCTAACTTTCTTAGACTTTCCAATACTTATTAAGTACAAACAGTAAGAAATTATTTTTATTTATTTTTCAAAATAGTTACCATCTTGTGTCTGGTTAGCTGGATTCTTTAATCCGCAATCTTTATTAACGGCTATAATGCAAAGTACCGCAAGAAAAAATGAATTACCTTTGGATAAAATGTGTTTACAATGTGATGTTACAAAAAAACAAAAGGAAGATTTTACGTGAGGATAAGTTTAATATGCTAGCACATTTTTCTACAATTAAAAAACATAAATAAATTTTTTAGAACTGTCCCAAGAGAAGGCGCTTATGTTCATGGAATTTTTATGGAAGGTGCCCGATGGGATGTTCAAAAAGGTATACAAATAGTTCCATACAAAATGCGTATGCACGCTATGCCTAAATAACTATGGCTATAAGCATGCAGGTTTTAACTTGTAAAAACGATTTAGTAAGAAGTTGATTTTCGGTGAACCAAGCCCGTTGTTGATTATTGAAGAATAAAATTTTTCAATTTTTATTTTATATTTATTTATGTTCATTTTAAATTGCAGGAATAATTATGGAATCACGACTGAAGGAACTTTATCCATCAATGCCAGTAATTAATATAAGGGTTAGTAAAAAAAATTTAAATAATATTGAATGTTAATATATTATTTTTTTCTTTAAGGCTATCACACAAGATAAACAAGATTTACGAAATATGTATGAGTGTCCAGTTTATAAGACACGAACCAGAGGTCCAACATATATTTGGACATTTAATTTAAAAACAAAGGATAAACCTTCAAAATGGACTTTGGCCGGAGCAGCTTTATTACTTCAAATATAAACACAAAAAAAAACATATTATTAACAAAAAAGATAAATTAGAAAAAATGCAATTTCATTTAAATTTTAATTTTGCACAAACATAATTCTTTAACTTTTCAAATGTAGTTTAAATTTTATTGCAAATACAAATTATTAAACAAAAATTTTCTTTATTTGTAACTTAACAAATTTATTTATTTAATAAGTAATAAGCTTCTTAAGTATTTAATTACTTCTTATAATTAAATGTTTGAAAATAAGGAAGATTAAAATATTTTCAGACCTTCAGATTTTCAGTTTTCGGATTGGTTTTAAATTTTTTTTCGCTAATTTATAATTAGTGAAATTACAGAAGAAAAAATTAAATAATGATTCAAGAGAAAGAAGAGAGCGACAAACATAATTTTAATTTAAAAAAAAAATTCGGGAGTTTCCTTTAGTTGCGTTTTACTTTTTATACTTCCTTTTATACAAATTTAGTTTTTTTTTTGTTTAATTAAAATTGCTTTCATTTACCATAATTTATATAAAAAAAAACTTTTAAATTGAATCCTTTTCAACAATTTTACATACAGAACATTTTTTTTTTATATAAATACTGAAGCGTTATAATTTTATTTTGAATGGAAAATAAAGCAGTAGTTTCTAAACTTTTAATAGAATTTTATGTATGGTTATATTTTGTCTTTACATAATTATGTTATGTTTATAGATTACCACCTATACTCATACATATAAACTAAGGTTTAGGTGTATGTTTAGATTTTTGTTTAAGGAATTTTTTTTTTGTGAAATTTTCGTACAAAAAATTTCATTTAATTTTTTAGTATTCATCAAAATTTCTTTCATTGAATAACCTCGTTTCCAAATTAAATACGTTGTATGCCCTCATTTTTTTGTGTTATATAAACTATAGCCATTAATTGTGTATTACATAATAAAATTGTTTTTTGTTTATAACATTTACAAAATTTATCTGAAAGGATTTGAAATTATTTAGAGTTAAAACTTTCCAAACTGATGATTATTATGTGCTTACGATAAGAAAAGTTGTTATTTGCCAATTGTTTGTAATGCGTGTTTAATTTTTTTTTTTTGTAAAAATTTTTAAACGAGATGAAATTTAAAGTTTCAGAAAATCTTCTCATATGTATAGGTAATGTAGGTAATTAAGCGAACATTGTTTTTATTTTAGTTTTATTTAGTTACAATTATTAATACTAACAATTTAAGAAATCTTGTACATTATGTGTTGATAAAAAAAATTATCTTACATAATAATTTTGCTTTTAAATATATTTAAATTAATTTCATTTTGTAATTGATTCGAAATATTGTTAAACCAATTTAATCCTTTATATAACAACATTATTTTTGTTTTTTCTTATTTATAAAAAAAATTTAGACGAAAATTAAAAATTTTTCTTGAATTTATAGTGAAGAATATCTCGAAAATATATGAGAGACTGCTGCATAAATATGCTGGATATCATATATTATTCTTTAATTTGAACACATGCTGATGAACTGATAAGCACACTGTAGACAATCTAACATAAAATTGTAGGGCATTAAAATGTGTGCCCACGAGCAATCAATCTTATTGGCTTGCTGTTATAGTTGTAAAAAATATTAAAAAAATTTTGCCAAGAAAATTTAAATTTCCTTAATAATAACAAAAAAATTAACACGAACAATTTTTTTTTGTAAGTTTTTATAAACTTTTAATTTTTGAAATTTTTCCAATTTAAATTTATAAAGAAATATTTAAAATTTCACATTATAACTCGACCATAAATCAACATAATGTTTCTATTTATGCTTCTATTTATTTTAAAAGACCTTAACAAAAAAATATTTGTAATTAGTTTATTTTTCATTTTTTTTTTTTTGAAAAACCAAGCTACATAATCACCCAGATTATTGAAAGAAGATAATATGTAAACAACACTTAAGAAAATCATTTTCCTTAACAATATTCACACCAGTGATAATAATAAAAGTATTATGTAATTTAGAATTTAATATCCTTGATCTTAATCTAAAATATGTGAGTTTGTATTGTATATTTAAGAAGGAAAATCAAAGAAATTATAAAACAAGGGCTTTAAAATATGAATTCTGCGTGAAATGCAATTTGCTTTCTGAAATTCGAAATAAAAAAAAATGATTTAGGAAAATAATTTAATGGGTGCTTAAGTAAGAAATGTATGAAAATGTTTGAGAATAATTAAAAATTTAATATTTTTTTTTGTTTCTGGATCATATACGTTATAGGGATAAAGATAGTATATTTTAATTTTTTGACTGAAAGCAAAATACAAATTTTTTTTTAGAATTTTTTAGAATATTTTTTGTTGAGTTTGAAAGACAATATAATTATTGTCATCTAAATATACATACAAAAATTTTTATACATTCACTTTTTGACACTATTTCCATATTTTTAATTGAAAAAAACTTTTTATATTTTGAATCATTGGTTTTTTTTTTCATTTTTGAAAATCTAGTTCAGAATTCCTTAACAAAAAAAAAATATGTATTTTAAATTGTGTTGAAAAAGTGTCAAAAATTATTCATAAAACATTTTATATATTGCATTTTTTCACTCTCATATAATAATGTATATATGTACTTACATACTTGCATATGTCCTGTATATACATATAATTAAGTATGTTGAGTATAAATATATACAGTGAAATCTATGTTAAGCTAAAATTAATATTTTAGAAATTGAGATTTAAAAACAAAAAAAATGCAAACTAAAGAAGTTCTTTTTAAAAAAAAAATACATATTTACAAACATTTTACATATGGATATATACATATATAAATATACGTATTTATTATAATGTTAGTACTCATATTTCTTCCTAAATATTAAGTAAAAAAAGAAAGTTTAGCAAGCATAGCTGAAATACAAAAGAACTCTTTTTTTTTGTGGCTTCTTTTGTAAATTGAGAATCTCACTTTTTCCTTTCTCTTTTTAAATACTTTAAGTATATTAGAGTAGATTTGTATGTTTTGCTGAATATTCGAATAGATTAAATTTATATTAGTAGCAATATAATGGTTTAGTAATATATGGTGTTAATAGGACTGAAAAAAAAAAGTTAGGATTAGTTTGTAAAGTTAAGAATACCAACAAAAAAAATAAAGAAATTTAATTAGAATAGAAACAAGTTCAAAATAAATATAATTAACGAATTGCAATGGCTGTACGAATTGTACTGGAAGAAAAAATACATCATATTTCATAAAAGTATTCATTTCAAAAGTATTTTAGAAATATTAAACGTATGCAGTATATTTCGCATAAGATTGTAAATAATTTTTGGGATGATTTTTTAAATAATTTCCAGCAAAAAATCGTTTGGATGGTGGGGGAAGGGGATGTAGATATACTCGCCTTCGTGCTACAGCCTTTTGAAAAAAATCCGAACTTGATTGTTTCTTGAAATAAATAAACCTTGTCAACTACTTTGAAGTAGGTGGCAAGGTGAAGGTCATATTGAAAAAATCATTTTTGAATTTCGTGACAGGATCTTGATAAGTTATTAATATTTTATAATTCACAATTAACACATTGAGAATTATATTCCATCTCCTGCCCCTGATGAAAGTTGAAAACACTGTTTTGTCTTTCTAACTACCATATTATATTCTTAATGAATTGCTTCTAATTCTTTCCAGTATTGACCACCTTTTAGGATATGCTACGGAATCGGGTTCAACAGATTAACTTTAAACTTTATATATGTTAACTTCATTTGATAATGAGAGAAACCATTTTTTTTTTTTGAAAAAATTAGGTGTCAGGAGCTGGAATTTTACACTTTTACGTATATAAAGAGAAATATTCAACCAGTATATTCTTTTAAAATTTGATATTTTAGTTCAGGCTGTTAAAATAATATTTTTTTTGGGAATATCAGGTCTTGGAAACGGAACAGATGGCTGAGTTAAGAATTTTCACCATATTTTAGTTACTAATTCAACCAGAACTCAAATTTTATATTTGAGCTCTGGTTGATAACGAAATTAGTTGTGGAAACTTTACTGATTTTCTATCTTTTATAGAATTTGAAATAAATATATATATTTAGAAGAAATTTTCATAATCTTATGCAACACCTCAGAAATGCAGTCGGAAATGTTTCTCAAATATTAGTGTTTAATTTGATAGGTTTTACTGTATTAATTTATATGCATTATCTTAATAATATGTGTACATTATGTAACTATGTAAATGTATACATATATATTTATAATATTATGTACATATACTTCATTAATAAAGTCTCGTAAAAGCAAAGAATTAATTTGTTTTTTTTTTTTTCAACGTGTTTAATTCAAAAAATTTTTACTTTATTTTGATGTTTTTATTTTTTTTTGTTATTCTCTTATGCCCGTTTATACCCTTATGTTAACAGAATTTTCCGTGTAAAATTATATAAGCATGAATTTGTTTGCTTTTCTGTTTTCTTTTTGCTTTTTTTTTTGAAACTCCATATATATATGTGTATGTATGTGTATGTATATGTATATAGGAATAAAAAATCAATAAATGCATTGCACATACACATGTGAGTGGTAAAATTTTACATTTTTCCTGCAATTTTAATAAACAGACATATGTAAGTTTGTATAGAGCCTTAGTCTGCATAATATTTATGTTGTATATATGTATATTATATATATACCAAAGTATGTGGATATATATGTGTGTGTGCGTATATATAAATTATTTGAAGATAGACTAGCTGCCTGGCTGGCTGGATGGTTGGTTAGATGAATGAATAGATGGATGGATGAAAATTATTGTTATGGTGTGCTCATTTAAAAAGCAAAAAGAAGAAGAGAAAATAAAAAAAAAGAAATGCTTAGTTCAGTTTATGTTTAGCTTTTTATTAATATTTGTATCTTATTTATATAATGTTTTTTAATTTTATATATTTATATTTTTTACATGTATACATACATATTTCTGTGCATAATTGTACATAATATGTTTGTATGAATTTTGTCATTGTAGGCATGTTTTTATTGATTTATGGTAGGTAAAAATTTGCAAAAATTGCATTTTTATTTTTATTCAATGTGGTCTTGTGTTAGTCTTAAGTCAGAAATACAGAAGAAAAGGAAAATAAACGCTTATTTAGAGCAAAAAAAAATAATTATTTTGTTTTATTAATTTTTAAATTGTACATAATATGCATTTTAAATATTAAATATAAAAGTTTTTAATTATTATGTAATAAAATTCTTCAAATATTATATTATATAATAACAGTAATTACAATATGTATACTGTTATACAATTATATAATTTTGAAAAATGGATGCCATCTAATATATATAATGTTATATTGCTAATAAAAAATGAAGGATCAAAATATGAAGGATTTAATTGAAGGATAAGATTTATAAAATTTAAAAAAAAAAAATTTCAATTAAAAAATTTAATAAATATTTTAAAAAATAAAAATATTTAAATATTTCCAAAAGTTATTCAATTAAGTATTTAAAAAATTTTTTTTTTTTGAATTGTCACAGTGGTGAGTTTTGAGCCAATTATTTAAAAGTGCGTAAGTAATTTTTGCCTATTGTTTTTTCTTATTTCAATGACTTATAGTATATAATTGGAGTAGTCTGGCCTATCAAAAATTTTATTTATATGCATTATATATATACAAACGTATGTCTATATTCATATACCGAAAACCTATTATATATGTATACATTGTAATTAATAATTTATGTTAAATGTGTATATGCGTATAATATACATAACATATTTATGTATAATGCATATACGATAAGAAAAGGTTAATATACTCTTTCCATGGTAAAATTAGGGACGTCTATATATGTAGTCTTGTTTTAACATTATAACATTCATGAAAGAATAAAAAAAAGGAAATATTCTGCAACAAAGTTTCACGGTTATTATTAAAATCTTTAACGCAAAAAAACAAAAAAATAAAATCAAAGAGGACAATTGACAATTCACTTGTCAAGCAGGCAATCATAAAGATTTTTTGAGTGTGTAAAACAATACTTTATTCTTCGTTTTTATAAATTTTATAAATTTGAAACAAAGTCTTTGTCTGTTTTTTAAGATGAATATGGTAAAAAATACTTGAAAAGAAAAATAATAAAATCGCGTTTAAGAAGTCTGGAAAGGAAAAATATTTTTTTTTATTGATGTTAAAATGAAATTGTTTGCAAAAAATTGTAATTATTTTAAAATTATTTTTAAATTTTAAATATTTTTTTTGAGTATAAATTTGAGAGTTTTACAAATTGGTTATATAATTCTGATGTCTTTAAAATTTATGGAATTTTATTTTTTCAGTTAAGGAAAGAAAATATTTTATTGTGTGCATAGGGATTTTATCACTTTAGTCTAAGTCATGAAAAACTGGCTTTAGTCTAAGTCATGAATAAAAAATTTATATCGAAAATGACTAATCATTTCGTCTAAATGACTGACATTTCGTCTAAATCAAAGGTTGCCGTATCATCATTAATGCTCGAACCTGCCTTCTATATTAGTGATCGCATGTCAGAGAAATTTTTTCTCGAGGTTCATGTATATGGTATCCAATTGAACATTTGTGTTGTTATTAAATCGCACTAATTTTATTTATTAAAGAGGTCAAAATGTATTTAAGCTATACCAAACCAAAATTTACTAAACCTATAAATTGCCTTACAACAAAATCATCAAAAAGTCTCGAAATACTCGTAGTTAAATATATATATTTCGATTTTTTTTTTAATTTTTGTTATATAGAACCAATTTTCACAGAAGAAATTTTGTTTTTGTCGTTCAATTGTTTTAATTTTAATTTAAAAGCATAAATTCGAATAAAAAAATATTTTCAAATTACTTAGGTATAGGTACTAACTGTATTCCCTTTGTTTTGAAATATAATTATAAAAAAATAATTTTAAAAAACTTTAAACTTTTTTTGAATACCCATCGACTTCAAATGACTCTCAGTTTTATGGTCATCTTTAAACTTACAAAGATCAATATTTTTTTTTTTAAAAGAGCTTTAATTTTCAGTAGTGCATATATAGAGTGTTGTTTGAATCTCTATATAGGCTTTATCAAAACATGAACAAAAATTAATTGAAAGTTTGAAGTGTTCGAAAGTTTTTTTTTTTCATTTAATTTCAATAAAAAGAGTTCGGAATTTTATTAACTTTTTCTTTTCATAAATTGAAAATTGATTTTATGGAAAATGTTCGATTTTTTCATTTTTTTCTGATTTTCTAATTTTTTATATACAATAGCCGTGTTTCTTTTCAACATTATTGATGAATAAAAATTTTTTGAATAGTGCTGTAATAATTTCAGTTTTCGAACAATATTATGTACATATAAAAATTTAATAAAAGGTTAATCACATTGAATTTGAACTATAATTGATGGTTTTAAACATAAACTAAAATGAATTTATGAAAAACTTTAATTTTGCATATTTATTGGGGCAGTAGTTTGAAGTGGAAAATTTTTCCACAAAGTTGAAAAATAATATTTTTCCATTTTTTATTTTATTTTAAATTTATCTCAGATGAGCACAGTCGCTAGTAAAGAGTATATAGTTTGTAATTCAATTAATAAAAATATATTTTAAAACATTGCAAGGTAGTTAATTAAGAATGAGTAATAACTCAGGTAGTTCAGTTATTCGAAATAGATAGAGAACATTGTAGAATTAAAATCCTTAAATAAAGAATGTAATTAAAATCCATTGTAGCTGCATATTTATCTGGTTTAAAGAACTTTCGTATTACGCCAAAATTAAAATTATTCTCCTTACTAACACAATTTCCCTCGTATACTGCGCTCTATTTGACAAGTAACACCAAGTTCATACAATTCAACTTCTAAGCAGTATTGTACGGCCAACAGTGTGAAACGCATTTTTGACTAAGTTTATAAATAATTGGTGCCCCTTGACTGTATTTTTTGCAATACTTTATTTTTAACTATAAAGCACTACAAATTTAAGTTATTCTTAAATTATATGATTTCAGATAAATTGGAAAATTTTTCAACAACGTTGATTATGATTTCTAATTAAATAATATTAATTGGATTGGAGTACGTTTTGGAGAGTGGGAGTACCATATATTTTTCTTTTATATTAAATTATGTTAAATTTATTATATAGCTAAATATAACTGTTATGGCTGCTAGTAAAAATGTCGTATCCGAATGGTTACGTGTTATTGGACTACCACAATATTCCGATAGTTTTATGGAAAACGGTTATGATGAATTGGAAATATGTAAACAAATTGGAGAAGTTGATTTAGATGCTATTGGCGTTGAAAATATGACACATCGCAATAAAATTATAAGAAGTGTTCGAAATTTACGTGAAAAGGGAGCAGCTATAGTTTATGTCATGATTAATGATCCCAAAGCTTTAACTAGAAGTAACGAAATTTTATCAGAATGTGATATTGAAACTACACCAAAAAAATTAGAATATGTAATGAAAAAGCATTTAGAAGCTGATGGTATACGATTAACTGCTCATCCATATTCTACTCCGGTAAGAACGAAATCATAATCTAAAACAATTTCAATAATTTTAGTACTATTGTAATGAATAGACTAATATAATATTTAAACAGATAACAGATAACAGATTAGTTCTCGCTGCCTTTAATATGCGCTATTATTTAAAATTGAATATCACAGATAATGGTATACGGGAACGTTGCGCTCTGAAACAAAATTTGCCGACATTCTTTTATTATTATCAAATTATTATAAATTTTAATTTTAAAGAATATAATTAAGTTTTTATGATTTTTGTATTTTAATTAAAATTTTATTTATACGCACGTGCATGTACTTGTAAATATATGAAATATCAGGAAGGAAATCGTGGTTATTTAGAGGGACTAGCAGCACATTATAGTAGGCATATATCAATGCCTTATGAAAACGTTTTAGAAGCTATCGAAAAATGCCGTCAATCTAAATGGACTGAAAGGCATATACGTGCAACTGCCGGACTAACAACAAGTCGTCCTTTTAGAGATCCAAACAATTCATTAAGTTTACATAGCAATCAAAACCCACCAATTTATACACCTGGAAAATATTTAGTAAGTATAAATTCTTTAAAATTAATATATTGTTATTAGATGAAATATTTTTATTATGACAGAGTTAAAAATTTTTAACCTAGGTTAAATCTAATAAAATTTTTCATTTTAGCCATCAAGTTGCTTATCGAATAGGGAAGAAAATGAAATTTATAGCTTCACTAGTCAGGATATGGCGTGTAGAATTCCAAGAAGTGTTATTGAAAGTAAATCAACTTTAAATTTGAGTAGTCGGCAAGGTAATTGTATGAATAGTTTTTTAGTTTTGTTGGTAAAAATAGTGCCGCTAACAAAGTGTAAATGTTTATAAGAGGTTTCGTGTAAGTTTTCTTGAAAATAATGAAAGGAGAAAGTGTTTAGAATCAAAATAAAACTTTAGGTCTGATAATTTATGTAGATTATAATTTATAGAGTACGGATTTATTTGAATTTATTTGTGTTACTTCGAATTTTCTTGCGATTTGAGATTTGAAAAAGTGATAAATTGATGGAGATCTAACTGTGCACAAAATAAAGTCTGCTTGAAGTATTTGGGAAATATATCGAGGGTTTATCTACATATATATAAAATTACTTACATTCAATTCTATACACGGCTTATTTAAACAGTAAAACAAAATTTATTTTTAAAATTTTGCCTTTAAATTCTAATATGTTTTGTTTTTAATAAACATAAATTTTAGTTTTAAATTTTATTTATTTTCCTTTTTCTTACTTTTCTTTTATTCTTTTAAAATTAAAATGCCTGCAGTCACAACCAAAAAATTTAATAGTGCTATCTTTTCCCTTCACCTAAAACATCATTTTAAGTAGCATTCGTAAAAATGTGAACGATAAACGACATTTATCGTAAACGTATTATAATTTTTGTTGCAACAGTTCTCGTGTTATTTTTTATTGTAACAAAATTGTACTTCAAAATTAAAAAATTTTGGTGTTGCCATTTTGCAGAGATATTGAAATTTTGATTATTTCAAAGAGACGCGTTCAAAATTAAAAGTTACAATTCGAAAATAGGGGAAAGTTACGATTTATTAAATTACCGCGGTTATGATTGCAGGTATGAATATATTGTTAAAAAAAAAGAGAATTTATTTTTATATTAATTTCAGTTCAAACATATTATTTTAGCTTTAACATTATTGAAATTAAGTTAATATACATATTATATATTATTTTGCCAATTTGATAATTGCATTCCGCCATTTATTTTTAAATTGCGATTCAATGTAAATCAAAAAATTTTCGGACAAAAGATCGAAGAACAAAGCGAACTACTATGTTTACCCGATTTTTGAGTAATTTCAAAATAAATGCTGGTGATATCCATCAAGTGGAAGGAGTGCAATTGAAGGTATGTGCTTTTGACATTTTTAAGGAAATTTTCAAATTTATTTTGCATTTTTGTTTTTTATCGTATACACATATCGATTTTCTCATATTTTTTTTTTGTTTTGTGTTTTGCATTTTTTTTTGTGCATTTGTACATTTATTATGTTTTGATCATTACAAAAATATTATTTTTTTTTGTATTATGAGTGTCATTTTTTCTTCCCGAAATTGGAGTAAAATATAGCACCTACTTCTTCTATGAATTTTTTTTTTTGACCTAATAATATAAAATGCTTCAGTGTGTTTGAGAGTAAAAATTTTAAAAAATTTTCTCAGAGTAATTAAATTCTAACATATAAGAGCCACTTTTGTCTACATGAATCAGAATTAATTATAATATGCGACTCTCCATATTCTTTACAATTCTAGGTTATTTTAAAATTTTTTATATACACATGAAAATTGTGTTATATACACACGTCTGTCATGTGTTATATATAAACATTGATAACTAATATGTATGTTAATACTGCTCATTTATCCATTCAAAAACTGTGTTATAGTTTCTATGTTGCATTTGTCCAGTGCTCTATAATTAAATGTGTAATATTAAACCATTTGATCAAATTCCAATCGATATTTTTTTTTAAATTATCTAAAAAAATATTAGGAAGTTTTGTAAAGTTTTTTGACTTCCAAAATCCAGTAGCACGGTATTACGAGTAATGCACAATTGGATTTATTTGCTGATTTATTTTGGAAAAATTAAAAAAAAAACAGAAGAAATTTGAATTTTAAGGGAATAAGTTAAAAAACGAACATTTAGTTTTGATTGATTCAATTGCACAAATTTGACAAGCTAGTATATAGGTGGGAACACATTTTGTTTGCAAAAATTTTTATAAATATTCGAATATTTATGAAATTTGACAATTAGTTGTACTTTTGTCGTTTGTAACAATTTTGTTAGAGGCTTGACTTATTAAAAGTTGAATTTGAGCTTAACCAGAAAATAAATAGTTTTGTTAATTATATTATGAATTAAATGCACAGCCAAAAATAATTTTAAAAAGGAATTTTAAAAATTTTATTGTCACAAGAAATAGTGTAGGATCTAATATGAAAAAGAAAAAAACTTTGCACCAACTGAAATTAATAGTGACTGCGATGGCGACCGACGCCCATTAAAAAAATTCATTTTGCACAAACATGATATCTCATGAATCTATATAAAATGTAATGTAATGATTTTCATATTTTCCAAAAAAAAAGATATAAATATTTTTTTTTTTTGAATTAATTGTACTACATTTTTATTTTTTTGTTTTTACATTTTTAGCTAAAAGATCAAAAAGCCGCTTTTACAAAAAATAAAGGACTCCTTGACGTACGAAAAGAAGTCACTATACATTCGAAAGTAATGAGTGAATCGTATCCTAAGGAGAACTGAAATAAAATTGAACAGATTTTAATTTAAATATATTTATATGTATATAAAAAATTTAAATTATATAAATCTGTTTATATAAACACATGCATACATACATATATGTAATGAATTAGAAATAATAATAATTTCATGTAATGGAAAGAATCAATTAGAACGGATCAATATATAAATCAATTAGTTCAACTTGTTCAATGTTAAAAAATAATTGTGATTAATAAATGCATTAAATATATATAAAAGAAAAAAAAACATAATGGTGCCAGAAAATATTTAAAATATCTATACATTTTAAAAAATTAAATTAATATAATAATGGTTAATTAAAAAAAAATTATATTAAACATTATCAAAACGAAACATCATAATTTATATACACACATGCAATTATATTTATAAAAAACCAAGTATAATATGTTAAAAATATTTTAAATATTAAGAATTAAATTCGTAGTTTTTATGATATATACATAAAATTATATATATATACATATGTATACACATACGACGAAATTTTAAATGAAATATTAAAAATAATTTTTAAGTAATTGATGCTCTAATATGTATATTTTTTGAATATTTGTAAGAAATATATTAGTCAAATATGACTACCGAAATTTTTATATATCTTTATTTTATTCTGAATGACATCACTCATTTTGCGAGTACAATTTACCCTACATTTAAATGGTAGTTTGTAAAGTTTAATAATGAGGAATATTTTTTTTTACAAAAACAAAGAATCTGATGTGGCCAGCACATAATCGACAGCATTGTTGAAATGTTGCATAAAATTAGGAAAACTTCCTTTAAATATTTGACATCTAATTTCCTCTAAAAGATAAATGACTTGTAGTATGGTCAAGCGAAGCTTATATATAGAATTTTAAGAAAATGCAAATATAATAATATTCAAAATCTTGAAATCGGGTCGTGTCAAAGATCCAGTTCAAGAGATTTAACATATATTAAGAGTTGATCAAACCGTTTAATCCTCAAAGTAAACTATAAGATTTAAATTTTCGATTCACTCGAAATTGACATACTGATTTGTAGAAACAGACAGCCGAATTGACAGATAAACAAACAACAGACATAGAGACAGTCGGATGGGCATACAGATTGATAGGCAAACAGACAAATTGAGAGAAAAACGTACAGACAAAAAGATATCCCTCTAAAAATAGTTTATTTACTCGACATTTAAATTTATTGCCATCACATAACCTCGCTTATTGTATGCAATGTGATCGGTAAAAATTCGCTCATGAATTTAAAATAAATTTGGCATTTCTTTTTTCAAACGACTTGATCTTGAGTTAAAATTAATGAATAAAATAATATTGCAATAACATTTATTCAAAAATACAATATTTATTAATTAGAAAATTTACCTTTTAAAATAAAAATTAAACAAACATTTAGATTTCATCTAAATATTACAAGAATTTCTATATTTCAAGTATAAATTAGATTTGTAAAACTTCCTCATAAAAATTTTAAGCCTTGACTCTTAGAATTTGAATTCAATGATCTGTAATTTTGTTTTTTTGCATATTTTAATTTAATAATCTAATTTTATATTTAAATACTAGCATAATAATTCAATTTAGTTAAATAGAAAATAATAAAAAATTTGGCTTGTGCATAATTATTGTAGCAATTGAAGGTTTTAATAATTTCATTTTGAATCTTTAAATCAAAATAATTATTTAAATATTTTAAAATAATTTTATTAGAAAAATAGGAAAAATAATATTGTTATTTTATCTCTAATGAGAATTTCATTTAGTTAAATTTTGTTTTATTTTTTAGGTACCTATACTGAAAATGGTTTGGATTTGATCATAATAAAAAACTAATTTAAAGAGTAAGTGTATTTTCCAAAAGTAATTCATTAGAATATATAGTGAAAAAAATTATTCGACATAAAAAATATTTTTTAAAGCTCATCTGCCGTGACATTTTGCAAGGTCAAAGTTTTTCCTGTCTATTTTTTTTTTTCACAGAATGTTTCTCTAAACCATATACTGTAAGACATAAAAATGTTGGTGTTATAAAAAAAAGAACTCACTTGGAGCATATTAAATTAATTTTAAACTATATAATTATAAAAATCTGAAATAGGTAATTCAATTACAAATAAGAATTCGCTAATAAGAAGAGTACTTAGCTCATAGTTAATATTCTAATACAACAAGATTCTAGTTTCCATTGTGCTCTTCATAACATAATACGTATAGTAATGAATTCAAATCAAATCAACAGTTAATAGTCGTCATTATGTTCTCGTACTTTGTGCACCACCTAGGGATAGAAAATAAATTTAACTTAATGATTACTTACCAAATAGTTAAAGTGTGTAATTATATTTTCGTACCAATCATTTGAAAAAATAGTAGATAGCTAATCAAAAAATTTTTCTTAGAGATGGTACGTTTCGGAAAATTGTTCATTTTGTACATAAAATCAAAGTACTCTATTTTATATATAAGACTGAATAGAAGCTTTGTGAAAAGACTAATAGACGGTTCGACCAGATAGGCAGATCGAAACTAATAAGATATTTTTTTTTTCTAATTTTGTTACAAAGGTGCTAATGAAATAAAGAAATATAAGTTTACAGTGGTTGATTAAATTGTTAATGTGTCAAATCATTGTATATAATTTTAGAGTTTCGAATTTCGATTTTAAAATTGTAATGTTTTATAACAAATTTCTGTTGATATATTATTTCTAGAGTTTTTAATCTTTTTTAACACATTATCTAAGGAAAATCTTTTTATTCAAACTCAATCACATCTCCAGAAAGGCACACTTATGGTTATAGCAAAAAATTTGCTAGCGTGTGGAAATTTTTTAAATGAAAGGCGGCTTATAACAGCGTGCATAAAATAAATTTCTACTATAGTTATTGTATTATAACAAATCATGTCAGAATTTTAAAATGTTTTTTATTGCTTAACTGTTTTATTCAACCATACTTAAATATATAGACGTTTTAAACAACCAATTCTTATAAGACATGGAGCGCTTAAGTAATAATAATTTTTAATTATTGCTGAATTATTACTTTTTACCGAAAAGAATTCTTATAAACAATTAATAATTAAGCATACTAACTCTACATTTTCTCATATTAACTTGAGATAGTAAAACCATTTATGTTGCGTTTTTATTCTTAAGAAAATTTCACTTGCGTTTTGAAGTTTTTGAAATTTTCTTTTAAAAAGCAAAAAAAAAAACCCAATTAAAAAATTCTCATCAGAAATTTTTTTTTTCGATCCCATTAAATCATAATTAGAATTGTAAAGTACCTACAAAATCTTGATAAAACAACAAAAAAAATTAAGCGAAAAACAAAAGAACGAACAATGGTCAAGCGATTATTTCTCGGTTCAAATATTGTTGTAAGTCGTTGACATCACCGTTCACTGTAGCTATTGTGTTCTCTCTTATTTATTGTTTTGGTTTTTTATTCATTTTCGCAAATAATTCAACACGCTTATCATGGAAAAGTGAACTTTTTCTTTTGTATAGAATAGATTGAGAGAAAATTGAAAATTGCAATCGTAATTTTATTTATTTTTTTTTTAATTAAGAAGTGTTCTTTGATTTATGAGAATGTGTCGGCAACCAAATAATTTTGAAAATTTGTGTAAATATTTATTTATTCGAATTGAAGTTTTAAGAAACTAACGGAATATAACAGTTTTAACAAAAATTTTTATAAGAAAAAAAAGCTATTAATTAGCATAAATTTTAAATTAAAACAATTTGGAAACAAATTAGACTAAAGAAGATTGGTCCAGTTTTTTACTCACTTGATAAAAAGTAAAATTGAATGATGTTTCCTACACAGCATAATTTTTAAAAAATTTGTTATATTTAGTTGGGTATTAATATATGTATTTTGATTCTAAGTGATTTTAGCCGTCTCTATATAAACTTTAAAAATCAAAAAGAAAATCGCAAAAAGGAAAATTTTATAAAATTTATTAAAATTTGAAAGGGGTTTAACACTCCTTGCTTTAAAAATATTGTGCTCTTATATGCAGTTATCATCTACATATGTATAATAATAATTTTTGTTAACACACGATTAAACATCATCTAGTAATGTGTTTGATGAAAAAAATTGTTTTAATAACGTTCATTTGTGAATTATAATTATCAAATTATTAAACATTTATTTCATTTGTCATATTAGTATAATTTGTTTTTATATAACAGTTTATTACTAAGTTACAACTATAATCATTGAAATATAGTTAAAAATAATCATTATATTCAAATACGTAATTTTATAAAAAAAAAGTGAAATTATTGTATTTATGGCATTTAAAAATTAAACGATATTAAAAAATTAGTCCGGAAAAACCTTAATGTTAACAATTTTTAAAACACTTCCTACATAGCCTATACAACATTTTTTATATAGCCAATATACATACACATACATTTGTATACCACTTTGCGATCAAGGATATCAACCCTGACGTATAGTTAATTCATGTTGAACATTTAATACAATTTACTAAATTTTTTGAAGAAAATTTTTTTTATAATTTTTTTACAAAAATTCTAACATTTTATTGCAAACAATGTAGATTTAAAGCTTATTTTCTTGAATTTATTATATAAAAAATGCATTATGTAGTATGTTTGATGACTACCACGGTGAAGGTGGTGTCGCCTCCATAGTAAGTATACATAAATAATAATTACTTACTTTTTTTATGTATACTAGTTGATACTAATTACGGCACCTTAGAATTTTTAATTTTTGAATATACCAATGTGTGTGTCAAATAATACAATCAATTTTAACAAAACAAGCAATAATAAGAATTAAAAATAATAATTAAATTAAATCTTTACTTGATTTTACTTTAAACTTTATTTGACATCAAACTTTTTTTTATGTAATTGTACTTTTAAAATTGAGCAAGCGGATATGACACGAACTTTATAAAACAAAAAAAAAAATATAAAATTTTTCTTTTTTACAAAGTTTAGGCTAAAAATCTTCACTGACACAAGATTGATTTGTTGATGTCTTAATTAATTATAAGAAGATGACTAAACTTTACTCGTAATTTTTATTTTGTTGCTCGTATTTTTGTTTTTTTTTTTAAAACTAATTTAAATATTTACTAAATATAATTTACAATGGTGTAATCTATTATGTAATTATTATTTTTTTACTTAATAAATATCTAGATTTAGGCCAAAAAAAAGTACTCTTTATAAATGAAGAATACCGGAAATTAAGTCTCTTCTAATTATAATTATACTGTCGTTGTAATCACTTATATTAAACATTTTGCTTTTTAAACTAAGAGCTTTAAGGATACAAAACTTTTTGAACAGTAATATTCATAAATTGTGTAGAATTTAACTACGGAACAATTCGCACGGGGAGCATTTGTTTATAGACCAAGGAGAATATTTAAAATTTAATTTAAGTGTAAGTGCTTTTAAGAATATTACCAGAAAGGCGTTT